CCAGAAGATGGAACAGAAGAGTGGACTATTCCAGGAGAAGAGCCAGAAGAACCAAAATCAGTACCAACTACACCTGATTCACCAGAGGAAGATCAAGAAGAAACACCTCTTCCACCAGTCTCTCCTGATCCTTAAGAATTCCCAGAAGAATATCGTGAAGAATTTATCTTTGAAGAAACTCCACTTCCACCAGTTTCTCCTGATCCATTTGTATTCCCAGAAGAAGATTAAGAGGAATTCTTTTTTGAAGAAACTTCACTCCCACCAGTTTCTCCTGATCCTTTAGTATTCCCAGAAGAGGATGAAGAATAATTCATTTTTGAAGAAACACCACTTCCACCTGTTTCTCCTGATCCTTAAGTATTCTCAGAAGAAGATGAAGAAGAATTCATTTTTGAAGAAACACCACTCCCCCCAGTTTCTCCTGATCCTTTAGTATTTCCAGAAGAGCAAGAAGAATAATTTATTTTTGAAGAAACACCTGTTGATGTAGAATCTCCAATAGTTTGCCATTCATCTGAATCTACAGAGAAGATAGAATTAACAGCAACTTAAGTTGAACCTGGATTTACAAGCACACTTACAATAACAAATGAATATGGATTTGGATTATACTTCTAAAAATTATAAAAATATCCAGCATTTGCTGATGGTGAAGAATTCCATTTAGCCAGTTTATAAGATAATGGAAATACAGTTTTGGGAGTATTTGTAACTAAGACTGGTGTTAAATGTGTGACAGCTGATGGATCAACATAATAATCTACATCTGTATAAAATGATGATTTCGAAGGTGACTGGAGTTTTGTATTTATCAGTCATGGTAAAGGAGTCACTGGATGTGGAGTTAAATTCTTTGAAGAATAACCAGCTTTGAGATAAACTCCTGCTTCTCATCCAAGTTTCAGTACTTTAGAATTCATTATTGGTGGTGAATAAGATTCTCATCCATCATTCTAAGGAAAAGTATATGGACATTTTGCAGTTTCAGCACCAAATCTACATTTCCAAGATGAAAAAACATATAAATAAATTGTTGATTCATGCAATAATCCTCCTGAAGAAGTTTGTGAATTGGATACACATGAATTAGGAGATTTTGAATTTTCTGGATTTGATGATAATTCAGAGGAAAGATATGACTTTTCAACTTGGGATGCTGGATATTCAGTTTCTGGTTGGTTCAAATGGGAATCCTTGTAAGATTAAGATGTTTGGCACACTATCTTTAGATTATCTGAGAATGCAGTTGCTGATTTGGATGATATTCAATTAGGAGATAGAGACTTGGCTCTTTATCTTGGTAATGAATTAGTGGGTAATCGATATTAGGTTACTACTTACACATATTCAGGATCTGGTAATCCAAATTTATGGGATTCTGTTGAATATGGTTCAACATTGGGTCAATGGCATTATATTTACTTTGGCTACAACAGAAGAACCAGATATGCTAATTATGCTATTTATTTATCAGAGTCAGAAATGCCATCTAATTAAATTCATGATGTTCGACATTATCTTGTTCCTGAGAAAAGACTTTACATTGGTAATGATGGTTTATATCCTGCATTCAATGGTAAATTCTATAATTGGCGTGTAAATCTTTGTATTGGTGATGTTGCTATTGATGTTGTAACTCCACCAAAGGATATCATTTTTGGATACACTCCTAAACCTACAGGTGATGATCCTTTACCAGAACCAGAAATATTCTCTGAAGAAGAAGAACCATTTTGGCCAGAAGAAGAAGAAGAATTTGTTCCAATTTAACCATCAGATATACCATCTGAAGAAGAATCAATTTGGCCAGAAGAAGAGGAAGAATTTGTTCCTCCTCCTCCAACTTTGATTCCTGAAGAAGAATCTATTTGGCCTGAAGAAGAAGAAGAATTTGTTCCTCCACCACCACCTGAAACTCCACCTGTAATTCCTGATGAAGTACAACCAGAACCACTTCCAGAACCAGAACCTTAACCTTAGCCTGAACCAGAACCTGCTCCTTCACCTAAGCCAGCTCCAGGTCCAGCTCCTCCTTCTGAGCCTCAAGTTCCAGTTGTTAAAGAGTATTAAGAAATTATTTATATATTTTTAGATGTGAAGCAACAATTGATGTCACTAAAGAAAATGCTGCAGATATTTTATGTGCTATTTCAGAGTATTTGGCTTAATTAGCATCTGGTCATGTTCCAGAATTAGGTGTAAATCCATCAAGAGTTTGTTTCTGTTTGCAATATGATGATAGTAATATTAATATATATAATAATTTAGGTGAGTCCAATGAATCTTTCATGTAAGTCGAGGCCATTCTTAAAGAAAATGATGCTTTTACTATAAATAAATTAGTTGGGTAAAGAAGAATTTGATTTAAAATAATAAAACATCATGAATTTATTAATATACGTGTTTCTGATCTCTTTTGTCAAATGTTTTGAATCGACATGCAAATATTTACACGTTTCAACTGACATTGATAAAAGTAGAGATGATATAATCAAAGCAGGTGTGCCAGCCAAATAATGGGTATTAGAAGCAGGTATAATAATTCTATCATATAAATAGACACATTTCAATTGGTGAATAATTCAGTTCAAATGGACTATTTATATGTCTCTATGGATAATAAGATCTAATTAACATAAGATATGGTATAATTAGAATTTGATGATCATTATTTTGCAAATAGTACACTAAGAATAGAGCATCATTAAAACAATGTTTATTCATTAAAAATTGATTACAAATGTAAATAATATGGTGGTAGATTGATTCAGTATGAAGTTTTATTTAATATACCATCTTGTGGGTCTGCTAAAATCTATTGGTAAAAATTATGTGGAAGTCCTTTGATAAAACGACATGGATTAAATGTAGATGCTCTTATTAAGTCTTATAATTAAACAGTTGTTAAGGATGGAGAATTAGTAAATAAAGCCTATTGGGACAAAGACTTCGATAATTTTGTATTTACAGTCCCATCGAATCTGAATTATTCCATCTTTTATGTTTATATGAATCTGACTAAGAGTAGTGATGAAGAAAACATTTTGAATAAAGAGGAAACAAAAGATTTCTTTAATGCAGCTGATTAATCAAAATCAGACACAGAAGCAACATAAGAAGAATTTTAAGTTTTGGAAGCAATACTAAAATTAATTCCAGAAGTACATATATCTCCTCCATATGTTGATGCAGATCATACTATAACAAAACCTATAATTAGAGGTGATTTATTTAAAGGTGGAGTAGTGACAGATGAACCCTCAACTTTAATTGTAGAATATAATTGTGTTGAAAATGGAAATACAACAATAGAATTAAATATTCCTTTATAGTATTTCTAAGATATTACTATGGTGTTTTAAAAGCAATGTGTAGTTTCTACATAAAGTTCATTGTAATAGTTCTTTTAAAATTATTAGTTCAATTTTATCAATTTTATTTTATTTGATTTGTTTTGGAGTTGCAGGGTTTATGCTTTATACATTCGAAGTACATAAAATGAGTTTAAGAGATATTTTGAGAACTTTTCAATAGCGATAGAAATTCAATTATAAAGCTACTGGAAAGGATGAAGATATTGAATCTGAATTCAAAATAGGAAGATTAGTTGATAATTAAGAAAGCAAATATGGTAGCATTTGAATGTTTATATATAAATAAGCTAAGTCTTTGTTATTATTCTTATTATTTAGAATTTTATCATTTAATATATAGACATATATCTGCTTTACTTTTTATTTATATATCATTAATCATCCTAATCTAATGGTAAATTGGTTAAATCTAAATCTTTTCCTGTTATTTTTTTGTAGGCATTCAACACTTATTAAGTTTCACCTTCAAAATGGGATTATGGATCAAATGAACTTGAAATGAAGATATTATCTTTAGATCCATCATCTGTTGGAACATAAACATCAGAAACCTATAATATTTATTATTTATATTACAGTAATAAACTTTTCTAAGACTGGTCCAACAATTTCAAATGCTGGTTCTAATTCTTTTTCTGGATTGTTGGTTTCAACATTAGTACTTAATATAGCAATAAAGAATCCTTTCTTACAAACATTATGAACATCACTCACCATCATAACATAAATATCTAATCTAATTAATATAATATATCTACCATTCTTTCTGCCTGTTTATCTTTAAGGAATAATAACTTAAACAGATGGTAAATTCTTTGTATTTGGAATTGGATGATTAAGAATACAAATGCATCTAACTATCTTTCCAATAGATTTCACTTTATTTGATAATTTTGCTTTTAATGCATATGATGGATCAGCAATAATCATCTTACAATTAATTTATTCTAATCCCATCAATTCCTTAACTTTCTCTGATTTTAATCCGCATACCTAAAATTAAATATTTTTTATACTTTTCCATCCCCATCAAATAATACTTCATCCAAATCAGCATTTAACATAAATGTACCACCATTTACAGCAGCCATTCTAGAAAATCCTTCTGGAATACCACCCAATCCATAAATTGGATATATGAATGGACTATCTCCATATCTCCCAATACTATCCATATACAATTTAATCTTTTCAATTGTTTAAATTGCTGGCTTATCTAAGAATAGATCATTTGAGTATAATGCAACAGCATGACCAATGAAATCAATTGTATTTGGCTCTAATTCAAATTTCTTAAGTAATTGAGCACATGACATTTGATTGAGATTCAATCCTATAATATTAATCACATTTTACCATCATGAGTCTTTGGGTTACTTGCTTCATAATTTGACACATAGGCCAAGAATTTCTAGCATCTTCTTTTTTCAAACATACCCATTAAATCAGATTTAAGAGCTTCTGAAGCTGTTGCTGGAACCTATTGATATTATTATATGATATTTACTTTCTCGATTTTACCACCTCCCTTGCTAAACAAACCTGGCTCTTTCATTTAGAATACATATGTGCCATCAATAGCTTTCCATTCCAAATAACGTGCCACTTTGGTCTTAAGTAATATCTTAACAAGCTATCCATTTGCCATCACAAACTTTGGAATCAAATCAATATTCCAATCTCTATTCTAACCTTTTCAAATTTATAACTAATACATACCTAATTATTATGGAAATTGTTATCCAGCCTTAAACAATTTCCAAAGGTTAGTTAAATTTAGTGATGCACCCTCTCCTCCATAATAAGGGTTACGATCCATGTGAAACACTCTCTTGCCTTCCATACTTAGTAATCCACTAAGTATGCATTCAATCAAACCAGTTCCACACACAACGACATCATAATTAGGATTTATTTACTCTTAAGTATCCATACTTAAATACAAAATATTTATGAAAAAATACTCAAGTCCTTCGAACCTTAATTTATATCAAATGACGTAGAAAAAATTAGGAGATTCCAAAAAATGACAACCTTATCAAAGTTAATTCATGATATACTCTTTAAAATCAATATATTTGATGCATAATTACATTGTGGAATATAAATTGAATTTCTCAGAATTAGCAACTTTTAAAATATTCATATATTTTAAATATACTACATTAAATTTTGGGAAAATTGTTAATATTAGAAAATAATATTATATCAAAAATCTTGTTTAATGAGAAGATAAATAACTTTAAGCATTTTATTGAATTGTTTGATTTTAATTTATTTATTAAAAATTAGTATTTGACAAATTTTTATGATAAAAATAAGATTAATCATGACTTTTATTTGCATTCAGATGGGTTTTATGAGATTAAATTTTTTAAAAGAAATAAAAATATTTATAAACAAAAAAAAAAAATATTTAAAAAAATCTTGTTTCTTGTATATTTTTTTTTATTTATCTCAATTTTTTCTTATTCAGGGGAAATAAGGTCTCGTTTCGGTCTATTGGCTTTAAGAAAATTAGCTGGATTCGTATTCAAAATTCAAAGGTGAAATGGAAGTGTATATGATATTCGAAAAGACTGGATCATAATCTAAATATTAGAAAAAAAATGCGTCATAAAATTCTTCTATGATTTTTGTTTTAATGTCGTTTATAAATTCAGTATTGTTTTTAGCCGCTGCTGCCCCGGCTAGGATTATAAAACTTACAATTTTGTTAATAATTCTTCTATTTTTTGAGGTAAATTAGATTACAGGTTTTTTTTTTTTTGATTTTGATTATTCTCTTTTACTTTAGATCTCTTTTAGAATTTTTTCAAGTTTTTCGTCAAGTTGATAATTATCGATGTCTTGTTTAAGTTATTTTGATATTTGATTTTTTTCTATTTTTCCGTCTTAGCTTTCCTCCAAATTTAAATGTTTGGAGACTAGATACAACTCTAGATCCAAATATAAATTCTTATGGTTTAATTTTTTATAAAATGATCTAATGGTTTCTTTGTTTACATTAAATTGTTATGATATTTGGCTCAATGAATCCCTTGAATGCATAAGGGTGCTCAAAATCTCACGTTTTTTTTCTGCTGAGATTTTTTTGTAAGCACCCCTGATGCTTTTTTTAATATTTTTTTTAATTGAACAAAATTTCTGTGGCTTTTTTTTATAATTCATTAATTTATTTATTAGATAATTCATGCATTCATTTGTGTATAAATAGTCTAAAATGATCCGAATGTATTAGATTTTTTAAGAATTAAACAAAATTCATAAAAGATAGAATACTTCATCACATATTATATAAATAATCGTTAGACTAATAAAGGATGGAAGAAAATAATCTCCATAAATGGAAAAATAAATTTTAGAAAAATCAAATTTCAACGAAATAGAGCTAATAATACATATCCAACTTTGCCTCAATGCTTAATTATTCAAAATAAGTAGATATTTATTTTGATAAAATTCACATTGGAAATTTATTTTGAGCGAATTATGAATTTATGATAATGTAAATTTGCAAATAAGCACTACAAAGAAAAAGGATTAAAAAAAAAAGAAAATAAAAGCAAATTCATAAAATTGATATATAGAAAATTAACAGAATATAGAGATTATTGTTTAATTTCAGATACTCTATACAATTATAGTGGATATGAAAGGCCGTGTCATTTAAGAAAATAAATTACTTAGCTGAATTTAGTAATATAATAATTTATTATAGTAATAGAAATAGGATATTAAATTTGAGTACAATTGAATAAACTCTTTATTGTAAAATAAGACTAGGTTAGATGAATAGATATCTAATAAATAATCATCATTAAGTAAAGGAAGCATGTAATAAAGAATTTATTACTCAAGATTAAAAAATTAGAAACTAGACTTTGAACCTGATGGAATTAAGTAATTCTTTTTGGAAAGAGATGGTAATAAGGATTGATTGCAATATAAAGATTATTCATTGAAATTTGTATCCCTCAAATAAACATTAAACACTTTTTCTTCTGATAAGAGATGCAGCATCTTCTTAGGGTTCACTATCAGCAGATATCTAGCTTTGAAAATCGAAATTTCCATCTATGCTCTAATTTATTATAAAAATCTTTACCCCAGGAACATATGAGGATTTGACTTCTTTGTTGATTAGTTTGCCCCAAGGATATCCTTTTAACCATTAGTGTTCAAATATCTCTTCAATTCCATTGTGACCTAATCTTTATTGAGGCTTTCTTATGAGTAGCTATATAATTATAAAATATAAAGATACTTTATTTATAAAGTCCTGCGCTTTAGAAGAGAATCTTTCATCTTTAATTTAAACTTATTTGGCTAAGATCTGATCTCTAATTTCTTATCTATTCTTGCCATTATAGGGTCTTTTACCAAGTAGTAATTCATAAGCTATAACTCCAAGAGCATAATAATCAACAGGAAATGAATGGTCAAGTCTACACATAACTTCTGGAGCCATATATCCTGGAGTTCCTGAAGTATCACTAGCAGTAGAATCCTTATTTAATCTAGCAACTCCTAAATCAGTTAATCTTAAAAATCCATCTTTATCGAAAACAAGATTTTCAGGCTTTACATCTCTATGGATTATACCATTTTAATGTAAATATTATAGAGCCAATAAAATACAACATACAAAAAACTCTTTTAATATAATATAATGAATACTTGTTTATTCTTCAGAGAATCTAGTGTTTCTACCTATATGATATCTTAGGTCTCCTCCTCTAAGTAAATCCAATACTAGATATAAGTTTTCTCTATCTTAATATGCATAATGCATATTGACTAGAAAAGGATGTTTGAGATGTTCGAGTAAATACTTTTCATTCATTACAGAATTAACAGACCTTTTTGAGATGATTCTAATAATCATTCAGATAAAAAGATACTTGGATTTTAGCATTTCTTTAAGTGCATATTCTTAACGATTGGCTTTCATTTCAACTCTCCAAACTTTTCCAAATCCACCTTTTCCAATTACATATAGAAATTTGAAGGAATGTCTTCCAATTACTATAATAGATTCTAATAAGTTTACCATTTTCTTTAGGAGGTGAGGATTCAAGAGAAGTCTTTCTAGTCCGAGAATTATTAACCATTGTAGTTGAAGTAGTATTATTGATTTATTTACCACTATAATAACTGTGATGAATGACATGATTTGATTGTTGTCTTGATATTTATTTTGAGACTACAGCTTATTATACTAAAATTGCTTTTTGATCAACAGTTCTTTTAGAAACAGGTGAACTTTCATCAACCACCAACGAATTTTTGATACTCAACATTGAGGATGATCTTTTTCGAGCACAGATTAAACAACTTTTTTGATTGCATTGACAAAGAGATTCCACCTTCTTACTAATTTTAAATTTGATCTTTGATAGTGGATTATGTTAGGAATGCTGAGGTGGCATTATGTCTTTTAATGAGACATGCATTATTTTAATTATTAATCAAAACTCAAATAAAAAAAACTGCTCCTATAGAAAATATTTATAATTTGAAATTTTTCAACTGTTCCCTTTTAATATCTTATTACTATTTTCTTCTCTGGTCAATCCATAAATATTATTAAATAATATATTCTTAACAAATCAACTATAAGAGAAATCAAAGACAATTCTTATTTAAGTAAATCAAGTTTTATGATATTATATTAGATTAAATAAATGCATTATGTATATAGAATATATTTCATATAATAATGATAGTTTAATATATTGAGTAGTAATGTGGACTATTTATTTAATGATTATTATTATTATTATTATTATTATTATATTTTCTTTGTTATATAAGATTACAAACCTTTTTCGAAAATATTTTAGCAATAATATGATAAATTAATTATAAAAATAAAAATAATGTAAAGAGAATAAGCAGTTTAAATTGCAGGATAGTTATATAATTATTATACAAAAAAAGGAAGTTTAGATAGTATATTAGACCTTTATATTTGTTAGTTTAAACAATGATGAGTAATAATTATAAGATGATGGGTAAATAATATCAGATCTAATAAGAAGATATTGAAGAATATAAATAAGTTATTGGAAGTGGTTAAAAGAAGGATTTTGAATAATTATGCATCAGATATTTCTGTAATACTATTCAGATAGTGAATTTACAAAAGAAACAAAAATACTCAAAAATTGCTAATGACAGATTAGAAATTGCAAGAAAAATATTCCGTAAATTTGATGCAGATAATTCTGGTTCTATAACTTCTGATGAAGTTCGAGGATTATTAATTGAAACATACAAGTAGGTAGGGATAAATAATTATCAGCCAACAGATGAGGATCTAAAAGAATGGATGAATATGACAGATACAAATGGAGATGGATTAATAAGTATTGAAGAATTTGAAGATTTAGTAATTAGAAGTTTGTAAAGTTCTGGAATAGAAATATATTAGAAATGAAATGTATTTATTATAAATTCAAATTAAATTGTTATTTTCTTCAGGTTATTAATGCAACTGTTTAATTGCATCTTTTTAATATTTAATATCTTTTCCTTAAGATGGTAATGCTCCTATGGATAAGCTAACCCCAATTCCTGCTAATACTAAATAAATAATATCAACATCTCTCATTCTATCTTTCTCTCCCTTTAAAAAAGTGTATACAAATCCTGATAGCATAGGAACTGTTGCCATACAGATATTTTCAATGATTCCCAATATTCCCAAAGCAGTAGCTCTTAATAAAACAAATAAAAATACCTAACATATTATCAGGAACAGTTGATTGTAATGCAGGCATCAGAATGCTTGAATAGCAAGCATAAGACAATCCCAAAGTTATCAAACTTCACATAGTTAGAAAATATAAATTACGCGAAAACTGACATATAGTTGGGATGAGTAGAATGAGGCATATAATACAATTGTAAATGCGATAAAAAGAACATTAAAGTGGATATGACAATAAGTACTTAGCGTTTATGAGAAAAAGAGTCACTAATTTTTCCAATAATTGGAGATGAGATAGCTAATTTTTATATAGATATTATAATACCTGCTACAATATATCCAACAGTAACTATTCTACCAGCATGCATAATACTAAATCCAAATCTCTCATGATAAAATTTATTAGCATTATCTAAAAATGGAACATAAGCTGCTAACATCAATGTTGTTATTAGACTCATCCTAACAAATGGTTTAGTAAGCTTAACTATTTTAGTTTGATCAATTACATTTAGATAATGAAACCTCTTCATCTGGTTCTTCTGCTAAACATGCATCATATTTTGTATCTAAATATATCAATAGTAATCCAGATAAAAATGACTATAATCTTAGGATTATTCAATATACCAATATACACAATGATAATCCAAAAAGTAAAGGCAACTCTAAAGAATGAGTTTTTTCAAATAGATATGGTGATAAAAAAGAATTCAATGCTGCTGCCAACTCTGGAACTGTTAAAATCAAACCCATTGCTGTTCCTAAACAATGTGGCATTCTTCTAGCAATCACTTTAAATACTGCTATATGCAATAGATCACTTGCTATTCCAAATATTGCTCTTCCTACTAACATCATGTAATATTTTTAATAACATCCACCAAATGCTATAAACAATTATGATAATCCAAGCATTAATGAAAATGTAAATACCTATTATTTTATAATTTATACTCCCCATCTTCCTCCCATTCTATCTATCATGATACCTCCTCCAATTGATAATCCTATATTTGGAACTGCAAATATGCTGTACAATAAATTGAATTATGTTTAAGTTAATTTAAACTCTTTCTCAATCGGAATCTCTAGTGCTTGAGGTATGTCAAAGGCATAATTATTTCCAACCATTAACAATATTGCCAAACCTATAATTAGACGATCGATCATCCGTTTTTTATATATATAATATTAAATTCTTAATAGTATTATAAACAATCAAATTTTAAAAATTATACATTTAATCTATATATATTATTAACTCAAATTTAGGATTTTTTTTAATTATTCTATTTATTAGCTGTGAGAGTTCTATTTAATTACTCTAATCCATCGTCACCTTAATTGAATTCAGGATTTGTTTTTAGCATTTTTTAATTGTCACTTATTTAAGGCAAATTTGTATTTGTAATTGTTAATTGCTAACCAGTATCAAAGTCTTATTAGAAGTATCTAATAGATACTCTATTACCCTTCTCTTATTTCTTTGGAGTTAAACCCTTATTTTTTCCTAATTCGACTATCTATCTTACAAGATTCTAAAATCTTTGTCTTATTTAAGTACTTTTCTTAGTTCTTTTTTAAACAAAGCACAAGCAAACTTTTTATTATTTTAATATTGGGAATAATGATGTTAATTTAGAATTTATCTTATCTATAAATTTTTCTACTTACACAGAATTTAGTTTTATGGAAAGCTTGATAAGATACAACAAAAATTAAGCATTTATTGCTATTAATAAAACATAGCTGCAAATTTCTATGAATTTCAAGTTATAATTTTCACTTTAAACAATTAAAATACTAAAAATAATTGTTGTCAGACAAACTATATGCATTTAACTATCTAAATTGTTAAATAAGGATGCTTTATAAGGTTGATATGTTTCTACTAATTGTTAATAGACTATTATAATTAATACTACAAAGGTTGCTTTCCAGACTATTTAATCCTGAAACTATAATAGCACAATTACTAATAAGAATTTTTATATCAATTTGCAGTACTCCCAATAATAATATTTACTTTTATAATTTAAGTATAAATAACCAAACATCATTTTTGTTTTTAAAAGTGTCAATTATTTTTTTCTTTAAAATATTGCTACAAAGTCCAATCCCAAAATGATAAGAAATAAAATGAATATTGGAATAATAAATTATAAAATCCATTAATAATGTTCTTATGAATCAAATAAATAAGTGACATCAGCTAGAATCCATTTTTATCCCCCTATTTCCCTATATGAGATCAAAGATATCAAACAAGAGAATATACTAGGGGAATAATAGAGTTTGCAATATTGTAATGAATTAAATATTAAATGCTGACGAGTTTCACTCTCTACCCTAAATACTAGTAGAATAAATAAACAAATAATTATGAGATAGAGGATTGGTGAAAATATTTAGATTATGGCTCTAATATATATAATATTGAATGTAGTTTCGTAATTAGACCATACACAATCTAATGAAAAGGATATTGACTCTGTAGGATTACCCAAAAAGTTTATAATTGAAGACAATTATATAGGTATATTTAATTGCAACATAGTTAAATAGAATATAATCTAGAAATAATGAAGAAATATTTTATTGCAACTAATAGTTGAAAACCAGAATACCCTAAACAACTTGTTAAAATCATTTTTTATACAAAATGCTGTTATACCAATGGCTAAAATATTCCTAGTTTGTAAAATAAATATTAATACCATATATTTAAAATTATGTAATAGAAGATAGTATATCTCTAGCTTGAACATTATTGACAAGAATACTTAAAAAGATTCTAAAATTTTTCTGAACCTCTAACTCCATAAATATCACATTATTCACACAATGCTCCTACATAACCAATTTCACAACTAAAATCTCCTGTTTCCCAACCTCCTTTGCATTTAGTCTATGAATAAGAGCATTATAAAATATCATCTGAATTCTAATGATATCTCCAAAAACCTTATCTGAGTTTTAATTAACCAGATGTTACTTAAGAGGTTGTGAGTTCATTTCTTTTTGAACATTTAGTTGATTTGATTGTAACAGAATATAAATCTTAAGTGTAATCACAAGCCTTACATTAATCATGATCAAAGATTTCTCCAATTTTACAATGAAATGATCTTACCGAAAATTATAATTAATAATTTTAAGAGTTAGATATTTTTTTACTTAATACTTTAATACAATCACATTTGATATTTAATAAAATAGATAATCCATTGTATGGTGAGAATGTAAAAATTTGATCATCGAAATAAAAATCTTATGAAGATTCATTAAATTTAGTTTTTAAATAGATTTAAGCATCATCATTGAATATTGTGCAGAAGGAATTTGTTAGATTTCTCATAATATCATTTTATCTATTCAAAGCAACAACTCTCAAAGTTAAATTAGCATCTATATATTTATTCTATATCTGATCAAAATACTAATATTAACTAATTTGTTATCCTGAAGGAAAATAAATTTAATTAGTAATGCTTCCATCATACATTGTATAATTTTTAATTAATATTTGATCTAATTGAATTGATTGATTGTTATCCAATTCTATAGGGAATAGAATATTTTAATAATTATCAATTGTAATTGCTAATTTTGATGGAATTTCAACAATATCATTCCCAAAATAACTAGCTTAGTTTGCCTTAAATGTTTCTTGCTCTATAATCGTTGGTAATTAAATATTTGAAAAAATACCTCCACCTTGCTAAGCTCTATTGTAATAAATTTAAGACTGTTAAAGAACTAAACTTTTACCTTCATATAAGATAGCTCCTCCTTTCAATATTGCTGTATTATTAATAAAATTTGAATTTGATAAAATGATAGAAAATTAGAAAATTTAAAAACAAACTCCTTATTAAGCCTTATTTTCTAAACAATAATAATTTGATATAAGGATATCTTTTGATACTATCTTATCTTCTAACTAAAATATTATTGGTTCTATTGTTAAACAAGAATTTAAACACAAATTTTAATGACTGAAAATAGTATCCATAATTATTTAAGATGTGTTTTATTATTTTATTAAAGATTTAATATTAATTAATTCATTAACTTGATTGTTCATAAATGTAATATTTCTAAAAAAAATAGTTTTCATTGTAATTTATTAAAGAATATTAATAAGGGTTGATGCAGATTATTCTGATGAAAAACTCAATTATTCTTAGACACAAACAAATTGGCTAATTTATTCTTTTTCTTATTATAATGTAATACAATCATTAAATTTAGAAGAAATAATTTTACAGATCTTTTTCTTACTCTTATAATTAAATTTATTTTATGTATTAAGCACCTAAATATTTGTTAATTAAATATCACTATAACTTAAAATATTAATTAATTATTGATTAACAATTATTGCATTATCAATTAATAAATTTGCTAAAACAGTTTCAGAAGATTACTCAACAGTTAATATGCCTTCCTAAATCAAATTAACAAAAATGGAATTTTTTAATTCTAAAGAACACATTTTTAAATTTATTAATTACTTTTATTTTAGTAATGTATTATTAATCTAATTTTAATTATCTAATTTTAAATTCTCAAAATAAGTTTAATATGTTGATTATTCAACTTGTATATCTGTAAGACATAATTTACATAGATATTAATTTGAATTGATAGAATTATCAAAATATAGAATTGATCCTTAATCAGCATAATTATCTTTAAAATATGAATTATAAAAATCAATCTATATTTTTTGATAAATTGAAGATTTTATATAAAGAAATCCTCCTAAATTTTAAGTAAAAACTTAGTTTACAGAAATATTGATAAATTTCATTATAATTTCTTATGATTATATTTCTAGATATATAGCTGCTCCATAAGATAATGAATTATCCTTTAAATTAGATAAATTACTAAATTTGCTATTTTGTATTATTATTTAAGAAATATTCTAACTACTTATTTGGAATCCACCTCCATAAAATCCTTATGAAGTATTCAAATGGACATTATTTACTAATAGAGATGATGTTTTCAAATACCCATTTCCAGATTAAGAGTATATTGATGTAATAGAAGATGAAAGATCTTTTATAAAATATTATAGTGTTGTGTAATTCATTACATTATTATTGTTAAATAGTGTATTAACAATATTTAATTATTTAGTATTGATGTAAAGTAATTAAACTGTAGAATTCAATATTAAATTATATTCTAAATAGGAATTAATTAATGAAAATACCCCTCTTGGAGCAATAGCAACTATAAGTAAAGATGATGCACTTTAAGATTCTTCCAAAAATTCATTCAATAAATTACCCTGAAATATTAAATTAGAGAGTTTAATTAAAATTTAGTTTTAATCAATAATACTAATAAGTCCAAGGGAATTTTAATTAAGATTCTTTAGAAGTAGATTTCTTTCAAACTTAACTTAATTAATTGTAATGGTTTTCTGCTAAATCTCTTAAATTAAATTCATCTTTTAATCATAAATAATCTATAATATTCCTTAGTTGTATAGAGTTACATTTGAGAAGATTGAATTTTGAATATTAATATTAATCACTTGAAAAAATGTGATAAGAGAATATTCAAGTTAAAATTTCTAATTGTTTAAACAAATAAAACTTAAAAATTATTCTCTTTATCTAGATATTATTTGTAAATTATCAATATGTACTTCCATTGAATTAAGTATTGCTATTTCTGGTAAATCTTATTCTCTTATTATTAAAAAGTTTTTGATTATAATTGATCTACATGATAAAAATATTTTATATTTTGAAATATCAATCTCATTTAATAATTCTATTTATGTTATTTTAGAATTCTAAATTTAAATATTTAATAATTAAAGTTAAAGTTAAGTTGCTTGAGTATTTTCTAGATTTACAAAGATTAAAGGGATTTCTTTTTCATATTTAATAAAATTGAAATATATTTTGTCCATTATGAATTTTGGATCATCAATAAAAGATAAACCACCTTAAAATAAAGTACTTTAGGATTAGAGGCTTATTTATGATAGAGTAATATCTTCCATTTAAAAAAGATTATTTAATGTAGAAAAAATAGTATTGATAAAGGTTGAATCCTATATGAGTGTATATTTCATAATAATTTAAGAGAAATATATAAAATTGAAGAATGGTAGGGAATCATTAATAATTAAATTCAGATTCAATTTTTGTAATTAAATTTGATTATTCATATCACTACTAGAAAGTTTTATGTAAGTAGTGTTTTTAAGAACCATATTGGTAATTTTTAAGTTTGTATTGTATATTTTAATAGAGTTTTCATTTAAAATGTTGAATAAGATGATATTCTTAAAATTGCAATTTATAAAATTAACATTATTTAAAATTAATTAGGATAATGGCTAAGAAGTTTTAATTAAGATAAATTGAGAATTCATTTCAAATAAATGTAAATTTATAAATTAAGTATCTCTAAATTCTATTGAGTATTAATTTCCTGCAATAATTTTGAATTATTACTATTTTTTAAGAGATCCAAAATTAATATTCTAAAAGAGTGTACTTTGTGTAAAAAAGGAATCAACAGTTATTGTAGCTATTAAATTAGAAGACTATATAAAAGATATATTGGAAATGATTATTTCAGTAAAACCTAAAAATTAAAGATTCCCCAAAATATATAGGTCTGACTATTATTAAGAGTACATATTTAATTTAATTAATCTATAATTAATAACAATATTACATTGCAGAAAATACATATTTGCTCATACTCTATTAAAAGTGTCCTTATTGAGGAATTATACAAGAATTTTCAATACCATCTATAATTTCAAAATTATAAATGACTTCTTTAACAGTATTTTTATTAGCATAAGAGTAAAACTTTTGATTTTCAAAATATGAAAGATAATTAATTTCGCTATTTGAAGAGAATAAATCTTTAATGTTTAATTAATTTTTATTAGAAACAAAACTTTCCTAGCAATATATTTTGACATCAATTGTAACTGATTTAAAGCATTTCTATTGATCAGGATAATTACTACAATCTTAATAACTCTAAAGATCTTGATCATAAAAATATGATTATGAATATCCTTTTATACAAATGTTCTAATAAATTTAAGATTAACTTGTATAATAAGGATTTATTGCTGATACTTATGATTAAGTTCTTTTAATGCAAATAGAACAATAAGTAGGACATTCTAAGCAAATCTTATCAACAACAGAGAGACTCTTACCTAAATAAGTATATGGACAAGATTGACATACGTTTTCATCATTAATTTTAATACATGATTCACAATCTATAGGACATGCTTTGATGCATTTTCCATTATATAATTCTTAATTTTCTAGACATTTAGTGCATTAAACTATGTATTATTCTTTTTCAAATATTTCATTATAATCATTATAAAAGTGATTTGGATTGGTTTCTTCAACAAAATATTTATAAAATGCTCTAAGATTTTTTCTAAAATTATGGTTAAATAATCTTAAATTTTATTCACATCTGAAACAATTAAGCTCAACAGGACATTTAATACAAACTCCAGTATAAGATGCATAATATCCATAATTACAAATTAAACAAATCTGATTATTATCATTGATTTTTAAACAATCTACACATTAATCTATTAATGGACAATAGGCATATTATTCATATATTGTCTAAAAAGGAAGAACTTAATTGTAAATGATTAGACAAATATAATTTCCATAAAAATCAAAAATAGATTATTTACACATTTCATATTAATACAAAGTATATACACATTTTTAAGTAATGAGAGAGTAAGTAAAAAGATCATCCATACATCTTGCACATCCAACCTTAATATTTTCATCAAAATCTCTAGGTTCAAAATATACATCCATAGTTGTTATCGAATGATTATTCTCTAGATACTAAAAGGCGTATTAACAATAATCGATTGTTATTTCTAAACAATCTACAGCATTGAACATTATATAATATAAATTCATATCTATGCATTCTAGACATCTTAAAAATGATTATTATTTTTAAACGTTAAAATCAGGTTAGCAAATTTTACAATTTAAACCACATCGAGTGCAAACTCCATTAAAAATTACAGAACTTACATCCTAACAGCTATCACATAATACTTTGTTAACTATTTCATCATAATGGCATTATAGGCATTCTTGTGGGCATTAAATACAATTTTATTTATCTTAATCAAAGTAATATTTTGTAAGACATTCAATGCAAATTCCTTATGAATTCTAAATTAAACAAAAAGGAGGAGTATGTTTACAAACTCCATTAATAAAGATATAATTTTATTTGCATTTAATATATACTTATTGGCCTAAATGATAATTACCTAAAAGCTTATTACATTCATTGCTATTCTATTAACAAAACTCTGCACATCCATAACATATTTATATTGAAAATGGCTAATTAATTAAATACAAATCCAAAAATTCTTACTATCTTTTTGTATATCTAAATGAAAAAGAATTCTGCTCAAAATCCCAATTACAAATTGGATTTCTAAACCAATCTTTTTAATTATTTATACAATCTAAACAATTGAGCATTTAATTTCCAAATGGACTAATTATAGAGATTGCATTAATACCATGGATAACATGAATTTAGAAATTCAAAATAACCTAATTAACAGTTTATTGCCTCTTCTTCATTTAATTTTTGGTTTAAAATAACAGCATTTTAATACATTTGTTTAAGAGACACACAATCAAGACTATCAAATTATTCTATATATCCAATTTAACAAACACACATATTTTTAATTGGTAAATGCATCCTATTATAAATTGGATTACAATTCAAACATTAATTATCATAAGGACCTAAACAATCTTTACAAGTAGGATGACAATCTCATTTAAACTCAATATTATACTTGGTAAAAATGGTTTAGTATATTTGTAACTATGTATAAATTCTAACTTTGATATCTAACCATTCAGAAAAGTCTTGAAATCTTTTGATCCTGCTAAATTGATGTTTGCATTAACATTAGAAAAATAGTAAGGCTAAAAATTAATGAAAGAAGACCCTCCAACCACCATTTGATCATAAGAAAAGTAGAGGTAAATAGTTGAGAGTTGACCTTTATTTCCTTGTTGATATTAAATATAATGCCAAGATATTAATTGTCGATAAATTTAAGGCAATCCAAAATACCCACTAGATTCTTATCCACAATAAATATAAGGGTCGTATATGTTTGGATGCTAATTAAATTATTAACTTATGGTGAATTAGGTGCTGAGTTAACCACTGGTTGAAAGTTGGTATTGTAACACTAAGATTTAATCTCCTGGAAATTTAAATGAGGTTACATCTTCTGTATAAGAAATAGTAATAAGTATAAATCCATAATCTTAGACTTATTCATTTAATTTGACCCAACCTTATATTAAAAATGTGGAACCTTCCATAAAGATAACTTTATTTTAATGCTAATTTCCATTAAAATATTAATCATCAACTAATAAAATTCTTTATTCTTAAGGTTCAATTCTTTCAAATGTTTAAGCTAAAATTATCTTTTGATAAAACTAATAATAATTATATCCTATCATGTCAAATACTTCTATAATTAGAAATTCAGAATATTTTGCTGTAAAGGGTAACAAATTAAGGTTTTGTACCTATAATAATTGTAATTAATAATACTTTTCCATATCCTCCCAAATAACTATTTATTACTTATGGAATTTAAGTAGTTAATTGAAATTTATTGTAGATGAAACTATTAAATGATTGCTCATTATATAAATAAATTTCAATTGAGCTCTCAATAGGATCTAATGCAACAGTAGTAAAGATCCAAATGCCTTCAAAATCGTAAAATAAATAATTAACTATATATTCTTGATTTGAATTTATAATGAATTTTAAGTTTATCAAGTTATTACTAAAGTCTTTAATTAAGTATAATAAAATTTCAAAGTCATCCCCTTAAGAATATGACATAATATATCCTTTAATTTCTAAACTAGGATCTAAACTTTCGTTTATTATATGACTTTATAATAGCTTCTTAAAAGCAATGTATTTAAACCAAAATCCAAACCCTGTTCTTTAAGTTTAAATTTAAGTTTCTAATTTTTAATATGGGTTCAATTCATCTAATAATTTTAGAGCTTATTTGACATTTTAGGCTAATGAACAAAATGAAACTATAAGGATGATTAATATTCGAAAGTATTTAAATTTTTTCATCAATGGTGAATGTGCCAAATAAAATTAAATAAAATAATTATTTTTTTTTGAAAACTTTGAAAAGATTATCAAAATATGATAAATATATATATTAATACTTTATTGAATTATTGAGATTATTAAAAGATAAGGTATTTTATTATATAATTAAATATAATAATATATAGAGTCTATGCTCAAGTTTATTTCTATATTTTTACAAATTTCTTAGTATATATTTATCATAATTTTAAGTTTTATATAGCAATCAACCAGAGATCTTGAGGTTATTGATGAAAGATTGTCATTTTACAAGAAAGCAAATAAAATTGAATTAGATGAAAATAATAGCTATGGTTATGAATTTTGGTTCAAATTCAATCTAATCCCTCAAAATACTTATTAGGAAGTATTTGAGGAAGAATTCTTAACAATTCGATATAATAGCTAAGAATAGAGTAATGCATTTTTAATTTTTTCTGAGTGGGACTCACTCACAAAATAAAATACTGTTCTATACTTTCTATATTAAACATACTCAGCAGGTTGTATATTATATGTTATAATATATCTATAAAATTAATAATACATACTCGATCAACATTATATTGGATTTTATATTTTAGAGGGAAGTTGGGTATATACTCATTTTGGATTCTAGAGGAACACAAATAAATTTTAATGGTTTTTATACTCTACTGAAGATAGATTATTATAAGAGCACTACTATTAAGTCTAAGGGATATATTAAGATTTAATAGAAACCAGCAATATAGTTGGTGGAAGTGGGAAATTTAAATTCTTCAATCAAGATCTAAATCTTTAAAAAATTAAAGGTAAATTCACTTCAGTGACTTTTACGAAGGGAATTTTAAATAAAACAATGATGTAATGGTGGCTAACATAAATTTAGTTTTCTGATTTGTGTTCTGAAGCTAAATAAGAAGTAATATTTGAAAATTAATATTTGGATGGTACTAATTATTAATCAAATCTAAAATTTTTGAAAGGCAAAAGATATATAATAAGAGGATGGAATAAATTAATTATAAATAAGGTATTATATTGATATATTTAAGAATTAATACTTCGATTCAAATATTTAAATGATGAGAATTACTATTAATAAAGACTATACAGAAAATAGTAATATTGGAGATAAGCTTTTTTAATTAATTTATGTTCTGAATTCAGATTTAAATAAGTAATCAGGAATTAAAGTAAATGTATAAAGAATCTCTTACCCCTTTTAAACTTAATATCAAGGTACACCTTATGATAATTTTAATTATTTTGATGAACTTATGCTAAAGAGATTATCTAATTGGATATACTTTAGTTTTGAATAAGGTGGATATTAATAATAATTGTTCAGAATTTTCTTTGCTTTTGATTCTTTCAGTTTAGCATATGATTTTGGAAATACATTCAATCCTTACTCTATTTATTAATTAGCTGATGTTTAACTTTTTATATAAATTGGAGGAGATAAATTTTCAAGTAGATTTTATTATGAAGGATATATATATAATTTATAGATTTTGACCTGCATTCCTGAATGGTAATTATATCAATAAAATAATCCTTATTATGATTGTAAATATAAATATATATAATGTGAGAATGTCATCCAGTTTGTAAAGCTTGTAATGGGCCAACTGAAAAGAATTGTTTAAGTTGTCATGATTATCAAAACAGATAATATTATATTGGTAAAAATATATGTCCTTGCAAATTTGGATACTCTGAAATTAAAAATTAATTAGTTTGTTAAGACATATATAGTTTATATAAGAAGGAGATAGAATTAGAAGAATCAACAGAAGAATGTTAAATCAATATAAAATTTAATGGTTTATAAATATGTTCAATTTGGTATTCTATTTTATATATGATATGCTAGTCCTGAAATTAATTATAGGTGTTATGATTGTATATTGAATCCTAACAATTGGATTTCAAATCCTTTATGTACAAAAGACATTGTGTATTCTAGTTTAAGTAGTTCATCAATGTTAATTAGCAATAGAGAATATAAAGATTATACTTTGTATACATTTGATATTGAATTTGGATTTTAATTATGTGAAGGTTGTGAAAAACTATGTACTGTAAATGAAGAAGATTGTAATCATTTATAAGGAAGAACTCATTTAAATGAAAAGGTTTTTGTAAAATGTAAGAAGGATAACTTTTATTTTGAAGATAATAGTTGTTAAATGTGCAAACCATAATGTAAGAAATGCTTATCATTAAATAAATGCTTAAATTGTTTAGATGGATACTATCTAAAAGATGGAGATTGTTTTTAATGCCATTAAGAATGCCCAAAATGTATATATGATATTGATTAATTAAAAATAATATGTACAACTTGCATTGAAAATTATGGATTAATTCAAGGATCTTGTTAAAGATGTGGATCACATTGTATTAGTTGTGAACAAAGCATAAACAAACTTACATTTAATCTATTTTTAAGATGCTTAGTTTGTGAAGATAATAAAAAATTTATGATAAGTTATGATTAATTTAATTGTATAGATAATCCAATTAATAATTGTAATTATGGATTCATTTATTCATCAAATGATAGAACTAAGAATACTTTAAGTTTAGATTAAGATTTTATAACAGCTGATACTGCTGTCTTTGGATGTGCATAATGTGAATAGTATTATCAATATGATATTAAAAATTAACTTTGCTAGTATAATTATTCATAATATTGTAAATAATTTATAAGAGACATTGAATATGGATAAGATTAATGCTTAGTTTTTACAAACTATCTAATTATTTTTCCATACAATCCATATAAAGTATTTGTCAACGATTTAGAATGTGATAGATAATAACCTTAATGTATCTAATGTATGAAAGTATTTTTTAATCACTATTGTCTTGCTTGTAAAACTGGTTACTATGCTGATTAAGATGGATTATGCATTGAATGTCCTAAAGATTTAAATTGTAAAAATTGTTATATTCAGTCTAAAAAATATAAAGATAATTGGAAAACAAATATTAGAGCTACTTTTGAATATTTCTATATTACCTATTATGTTGAATCATCTCTATTTAGAAAACTAAATTCAAAACCAAATGATGAATATGAAATATTATGTTATGATTGTTGGGAAGATTATGAATATTATAATGGGTTATGTATTAAAGCTTGTGATTGTATAACTTGTGTTAAAATAGATAACTAGAATATTTGTGAAGTTAGTCCTTACTTTTAAGATTTTTTATCTCTAACCATAATTGAGGGTAAATATATAGATTGTTCAACCTATTGTTTATTTTGTTTTCCTTTATCAGATTAAGAACTTAAATCGATTAATCCTTACTTTTAAAGTAATTAATTTTCTTATTTTTCTAATAAATGTTTAATTCCTAATAGAAATTTCAATAACTTAGTTTATGATTCATATCTCTTATAATATAAAAAATGCTAGGATCATTAAAATTGCTAGATGGAAATATCCATCAACTATTATTTAATATGCTAATATGATTAGACTATTCAAAATTAAGATTCTGCAATATATATTACGATTGAAGAATTATTCTCTTAAAGTAATGTACAGAGATTTAAGGATTTTGAAAATGATGTTTTTTATGAATATGCAAATACTTAAATGATAGAGAAAATAATAATAAAAATTGAAGTTTAAAATTACTAATAATGTTTCTTACCATCATTGTCTTTACTATAAAATCAATTTTTAAAAAATATATTTTCTATAAGAAATGTTGAATTACATTTATTTAGTAAAAATTCAGCTGAATTTATAGTTAATTAAATTGCCATAATGGATTTTTAATTTATTAAACTTTAAAATATATAATTTAAACCATATGATAAGAGCTTATTTAAGTTATATATAAATTCTTTAATAGAATAATAATTAATCTTTCAGAATCTAAATTTTACTAATTAAAAAAAAGTTAATATATTCTCAGTTGAAATTAATAATATCAACATGATAGAATTTCATAATGTTTGTTTTAATGAGATAGAGACTTCTTAAACTTTTGGATTAATAACAATCACTTAAGCCAAATCTAAAAAACTGTATTTTGTAGATTTAAAATTATTAAACTCCAAAATAACTAGTACTCAATTTATAGCCTTAACAAATATAACATCTTCAGAAATCATAATTGAAGGATTATAAATTGAAACTGAATTTTATAATTCTTAATTATTCTATTTTTATGAATCAATTTAAAATGATATTAAGATATCTTAATTATCAATTAAATCAAAATTAATATTATGTTAATTTTGGTTAAATTTTATAGATTAAAATAAAATAGAATTAAAGGAATTAAACATTTATAAATCCTATATTGTTTAAAGTAGATTAATTTTTTTAAGAGACAATACCTAAGTTTCTAATGTAAATGCATCTCAAAATTAATTATATTAGCAATCAATTCTTTTTTATTTTTATAATGGATATAGAGAAAATAGTACAAGTCAATTAATAATTAAAAATGTTTTATTTTTTGAAAATTAATGTTATAATAATTATTGTCTATTATATGTAGTTCAAGATTAAGATACATCTTTAAATCAACTTACATTAACATAATTATTAATATACTTTAATTATAGATTATCGGAAAAAGAGAATGAAAATATTGAAGAATATGAAACTTTAATTTATTTATCTCTTAAAATTATTATAATAGATGATTTATAATTTAAAAGAGATTTTATGTCTACATTTGATAATTAGATTCCAATTAATTATATGCAAATAAATAATTTAATATCACTTTAAATTAACTCTATTAAAATAAGTGATATTAATCAAAAAAGTGTCTCATTTTTGTATTAATCTTACAAATGTTCCATATTAAAATAATCATCAACAACTAATAAACCTATATTAATTATTCAATCATTTTAAAATCTAGAATTAAATTTTATAGATATTTTTAATATCATTAATTTCAATTCACCAATTATTAAGATTTTATCTTAAAATTCATAAGTCAAATAATAAATTGAATAGTTACTTATTAGAAATATTAATTTTACATCCAATTTATTATTAACAACACAATATTTTAATTCAAAATCAATTCTAGAAATCTCTAGTCAATAAAAATAATATATTTAAATAGAAAATTTCTTATCCTCATTTAATATCCTACATGAATATATATAAGATTATAGTATATCATCATCAAATATATTACTAATAGAATCTCCATAAAGTGATATTACTATGATTAATATAAATTTTGCAGATAATACTATTATAAATTCAAGTAATACATAACTCTTAATTTATTGTAATGCTTTGTAGATTATTAATTCAACCTTTATAAATCATAATCAAATGGATTAAAATATGATTTATAAAATATTTAGTAATTTATTTTTTAATGAAATGGTAGTTTAATATTTTGAATAATTATAAAATTATTTCCCAATTATATCTTAAACTGGTATTGGTGAGTTTCATTTTAGAAATCTTATCATTTAAAATATAATTATAAATCATACATTGGGTTATTAAGGAGGAGCATTCTCATTATATCCAAAAAATGAAGGAATAATATAAGTATACAACTCAAAATTTCTTAATGTAAATTCCTAATTTTTACTTTTTGAAACTAAAGGAGGTTGTTTTTATATATTATTACCTTCATTTAAAATAGATATTCTTATTGAAAATTGCACTTTTTCAAATATTAAGACATAAAACTATGGAAGTATAATTTATGTTGAGTCAGTTATTGATCATCTTATAAATCTTAAAATAGTTGAAGTTTTCATTAAAAATGTTTTTAGTTTATAAGGATCAGTCATTTATTTGAAATAAAATAAAGTAGATATGAATTCTATTAGTTAATTGTTATTTTAGAATGTTGAAATTATATAAGAAGAGGATTAATTTGTTAATTATTTAATTGAATATATGACAATATCTGATGAATAATTAAATTAGTTTTTATAGAATCGAAGTTTAATCTATACAACATTTTCTAATGTATCTCTATATAATTTTTCAGTTTAAAATATATTTTAGGAAAAGATTTTAGAATGTAATTAATGTTAAAAAATTTCAATAAAGGATTTAGTCATTTATAAAGGTAAAAATACATTGCCTTTATTTTAAATAATTTCAAATCAAAATTAAACTAGTATTTATTTTTCTGATATCTAATTTATTAATATTTAAAATCAAATTGATTTATTTATAGATTTAAATTGCAATTAAAAAAAGGAACTTTTTAACATTGAATCAGGTTGTTATGTATATAATTAAAATGAATAATTTAATTTGATGAATAATCTAGTATATTATTATGATGATACTTATTTGTAAATACTTGGAAGATGTAATTTCAACACTATTTATTAAGAAATCTTAAATAAATAATCATTAATACAAATTTCAACATAATCATAAATTTGTTAGATTAAATTTGAAAATTGTTTATTTTAGTCATTAAAAGTTTCTAATTCAATTATTAGATTAGCAACTTAAGTAAATCCATCAAATTTTATTAAATTTAAATAAATATATATTTAAAATAATTATTGTGGATTTAATGGATGTATAAGATTAGAATCAAATGGTAACTATCTCAACAGATTACTATAATAATAAGTATCACAAGAATTTGAAACACTTAATTCACTAATTAAAATAGATTAATTAAATTGTTTTAATAATAATGCTTCTAAAGGAGTTTGTTTAAACATATAAAATTAAGCAGTATACATAATTTTCTCTTAATTTTATAATAATACAGCATCTGAATATGGAGGTAGCATTTATTTTGATACTAATTCATCTGATTAATAATTACTATTTAAATTTTGTTAATTTTATAATAATTATGCTTTAATTGCAGGTGCTATTTATTCAACTAAGATTATTAATAGTAAATGGATCAAAGAATATAATTATTTAGATAAAAATGGTTGTAAAGCTTTTGGTTCTACAATTGTTTATCCTCCTATGAAATTAGGGGTTACTTTTGATAATTATAATACTATATATTATCCTATAACATTATATGAAGGTTAAAATATGAAAATTGATTAAATTTAATTCAATAAGAAACCTTAATAAAATTATTTTAATCTTCCTAGTGGCTGTGAATTAAATTCATATTAAACTGTAACAGAGGATAATTTATATATTAATAATAACATAACTTTTCGTTTAATGGGTTTTAATTCAAATGATGAAATTATGAAAAACCTTGAAGATTCATAATGTGTTATTTATGATAGAATTATTAACTTATAATAAGAAAATGAAATATTTTAAGTATCTGAACTTGTTTAATCTTCAGTTAACATTAAATCAATTAAATTTAATAATTCATCTAAAGATTATAATTTAGATACTATTATATTGAATAGCAAAGCAATTAATAATATAACTCATGCTTTATAATTGATTTTCCTATGTAAGAGTATCTAAAGTAAAATATTAAAATAATTTTATAGCATAAAAAGTGAATTCTGAATACCCTTATAATATTATTTCAACTCATAATTAATATTATTTAGAGATCAATATTGTTACATTAGATTGTCAATTAGGTGAAATTAAAAATCAATTAACAGGAGCATGTTAATAATGTGATGCTTCTTAAGGATTTTATTCAGTTTTACTTAATTAAACATTATGCGATGTTCAAGATGACACAACAACTGCAGAAGTTAAACCTGCTTCTCTTAAACTACTTTAGGTATTATTATTGAATCTAATAAAATAGGGATATTGGAGACCTTAATATAATAATAAATATATTACATAATGTTCAAATAAGGTAGAAAATTGTAAAGGAGGTTGGGAAGTAGGATATAATTCATGTGAAGATGGATATTTTGGTGCATTATGTGAATAGTGCGACATATATGATATTAGAGGAGAAGGTAGATATTCAAATACTGAATCATATTAATGTGGAATATGTTAGCCAGATTATTAATCTGCTCTATATGCTATTTTATTAAATCTTTGGTATTAGTTTAAAATAATTTAGGAATTTGTTTTCTATTATATTTTCTGTTAAAAGTTCACAGACTTCGATTCTAAATTAAGTGAATAAAAAGAATCAAATAGCTGTAAGTACATTTTTGAAGATTTTTATCAATTACTTTTAATTATTATTTGTAGTGTCAACCTTTTAATTACCAATACCTTATTAGATTACAATATTATTAGGATTTATGGGAAATCCTGTTAGAGTAATTTCTTATTCATTAGATTGTTCTTTAGTAGATAAAATTGCTATTGATATCATTTATCTTAGGATGATTTAGTAAATCTTATACCCTTTTATTTATCTTTTTATTATGTCAACATCCTATTTAATTTACACAATATATCATAAAAATAAAATCAATTTTAGCTATTTCTATATAGCTATCTCTTATTTAGTGTTGTATTACAGTCCTTAAATCTTAAGTAGTTTAATTAATCTTATGTCTTTTAGAAGCATTTCCAATATCAATTGGGTATAAGCTGATGTATCATTTTAATATGATACACATAAACATTACTAATGGATTTATATTTTATGTATTCCTCTCCTAATATTTTTATTTATCTCTATTAGCAGTCTATTTTTTTTACTTTTCAATAAGCGAAATAATTTAAAAAAAATAAAATCACTTTTATATTGGGGATACTTGTATTTAGAGTATAATACAGGCTCTTATTTTTGGGAATTCGTTAAGTTAATACTTAAGATATTGATTGCAGTTGTTTTGACATTTTTATAAGAAAGAATTATTATTAAAGGTTGTATATGCTTTTTGATACTTGCATTATATAAATCATTTATTTCAAAATACAAACCATATAAATTGAGAAATATAAATAATATAGATCAATAGGCATCTTTTGTATGTTTAGTATCTATTTTATTTGGAATGTTGCTCAGAGTAGCTTATGAAATCAAATTGAATTTTTTTCCATAAGTTATTTATATCTTGTTAGCCACTCTTAATATAGCATTTACAATATACTTATTGAAATTAATTCTTCAATCTTATTTGAGATAATATTCAGAATATTTGGATGAATTAAAATAATTTATTAAGAAAACTTTTCCTAAATTAGAAAAATATAAATTATGTAAAAAATTATTATAAAATTCTTCATTTGTTAGGAATTAAGCAAAATAAAATTTGAGAAGGATAGCTTCTAATGTTATATAAAAAAGTTAGCAATTTAATAAATCTAAATTAATGTCTAAGCAATAATAATAAGCCATATCTATGGAATCAAGAATACAAATATAAACAACTGAAGATTAAATGAAAACAAGCATATAATTACTATAGAAAATTGACTTTAGAAGATCATTTTTCCATAAACAAAGTCTATAAAATATTTAGAATGAAGATAATTGATTTATAAAATAATTTATCAAAAAATAAACTAATTTTATTATTGTAAAAACATATTATTAAAAAAATTAATTAATGCCTCTTATCATTCCTGAATTTTTTATTGAATAAGATGAAAAGTACATCATAATCAAACTTAAATTGCCTTATGTTAAACCTACTAAATCAGAATTTAATATGATGGGTAAGTAATTTAGTTTTTTTCTGAAACCTTACTTACTCTAATTAACTTTTAATGAATTCCTTAAAGATGCTGAATAACCAGCAAAAGCTGTATATGATCCAGAAATATGGAGTTTAAAAGTGTATTTAGAAAAATTGAATATTGGAGAACATTTTACTGAGCTTGATATGATTGGACTTCTTATGAATAAAAAATCTAAAAAAAATAAATAATTTAAAGGATAACTCATAGAAGTTATAGAAAGTACTAATGATAAACAAGAAAGTTAAAATATTGATTAAAATTAAGATGAATAATAAGAAGGATATGTGAATCCATACTGTTATGGATTCAATAATTAATATAAAGATGTGTTTGATGATTTAGAAGAAGAATTATATGAAATTGCTATTCTAGATCCTAAATAAATAGCTAAATAAGATAGAAAATCATTAGCTTTTTAATTTATTTAAAAATAATTTGATAAAGATACTTATTTGTATGATTTGCTTGAAAATGAGTAAGTGGATGAAATATTAATTTATGAATTCAAATTTCAATAATAATTCAATATAGATGAAATCAATTAAATTAGTAAACTTGGTAAAAGAGAATATCTTATTGAAAATAAAGAATATTGTTTATTTGGAATTATAGATATCTTATTTGCATTTTTATATGAGAATAGTTTATTTTAAGGAGATTTAAATTTAGAATCTGCAATAACTATCAATTAGCTTAGTTCTTAATTTTAAGCATTCTATATAGAGAATGACTTGGAAAATGTTTTGATTAATAATTATTAAAGAGCTCTTACATTTCCAATGATTCGAAGTTTTGAAATCTGTGTTAAAACCAAAAACCTATTAATTGAGGTTCTTTAAAATAAAATATAAATTATTAAAATCTTGCTTGCAGTAGAAGGACTTTTTGCAAAAGCAAAACCTAGAAATTACTTAAATTTAATTTATCTTTAAGATTATATTGTTTGGGCATAAAGCATTAAGGAAGAGGATTTATAAACTTTATCAAAACAAATCAAGAAATTAAAAATAGATAAATCTCAGCTCTAATTGAATATTCCAATTATTGAAAATGAAGCAATCTAATAATTTTAAGAATGAAGAGAATGTAATTATTTCTTTGTTTTAATTATTCGAAATTATATTTTATTTTAATTTTCTATTTATTTAAAGTGGGTATAACTTATATTAAAATCTGCTAAGCTTATTTATATTCCAAAAGTAATTCTTTTGTTAAGTATTATAAATTTATAAAAGTAAATCCAAATCTCTTCTGAAAACAAAAATAAATTTACTTCCTTGAGTTTATAAATAGATCTTAAATTGTTTTTTTAATCTCAAATTTTATTATTACAAACTTAAAATTAATCTTTTATCAATTTTTTCATTAATTAACCTTATTGTAGAGATATAATTAAAAGTGAAAGTAAAAGATTGATAGGTTCTTCTAAATTTTATCTGTTATCTACTTATATTTATGCCTCTTGTAATTCAATTGATGAAATATGAATTGTGCATAAATACTTAATCAAAGATATAATGAATTTAATAAAATATAAATAATAAGATTTCTTATTTAGTAATATTATAAAGTCTATATCAGATCCCCAATATTTTCTCAATTTAATATTTTTTTAAATAGCCTTTGAATTTTTCTTAGAATTTCTTATGAAGCCATAACTTATTTTTTAATAATTATTGTTGATTTTATAGGGAAGAATTTAAATCCATAGAGATTAACAGTGAAATCAATGACGTAATAATAATATGAATAAAATCTTTATTATAGGGTTGATTCTTTGTGTAAGCCTATGTCAATAAAGAATAGTAATTGATAGATTGTAGGGCACATAGGTTGTGGAGGAAGGTGATGATGAAACAATATATAATATTCATTATTATGAGAATGAGGATCCAAAAGAAAAATATGAATAATTGATGAACAATTTGTTGAATTTAAGTAATCTTATATTTAATTAAGACCAAACACAACTTTTAACTTGTAGAAAGAGTGACAGCCATGAATTTTTTGGTATGTCATTCCAAAACGTTGGAAGAATAAACAATGAGATAAAGAATATCAAACTTAAATAATTTGATGATGATTGTTTTCGTTAATTGAGAGTGAGTTATGAATATAATGATGCTGAAAATAAAGTTTAAGTTACATTCATGCCAGGAAAATATAAAAATGGAAAATAATGTTCAGAATTTTATATGATTGGAACAACTCTTAATTATAATATTGTTAAAGTTAAGAAAGGTATTATAATATATAAATTAATATAGAATAGGATTATAAGGTTTATTTCCATTTCAGAAATGAATAATAAAAGTAAGCATTTAGATTGGCTGGTGCATATATCTTTAGAACATGTGATCATTTTGATTATTGGATTGGAGATTTGTTAACTACTGTTGAATTATTTTTTGGAGGATTCTCATCAAATCCTTATTTAGGTTCAATTTTTGGTAGTTATCCACCAAATTGGATGATTAGATCAAATATAGAATTTATTGAAAAAGCAACAGGATATAGATGGAAAGAGAGACCTAATGTTTAAGTAGATTGGTCTGAAGAAGAGGTTCATTAAGGAGATTTTTTGGCTATTACTAGATTTGATGGATTAGATTAAATTATTGAATGGGGAACAGGTAGTAGATCAGAACATAGTGCAGTGATTTTTGAAATAGATGGTGTTAAATGGGTAGTAGAATCATAAGATGCATGGTATTGGCCTAAAAAGAATATATAAAAGAATAGATGGGAAGATTGGAAAGTTTATGCTAAAAATGCAGGATTTAATGTAGCCATATTACCATTGAGTCCAGAGAAGAGAGCATAATGGGATTAAGAAGGTGCTCTTAAATTTTGGAATTTTATGGAAGGATAACCATATGGTTATCATAATTTTATTTTTGGATGGATAGATACACCTAAAGATAATTATCCCACTTTATTAAGTGCTGAATTAGCTACTTATATATTTTCATTTATTGAAAAATTTGCACCAAGTATTTCATCAAAAATGGTTGGAGAAGGATTAAATAAGAGATTAGGAACTGAAGGATTGACAATCCCAGAAATCACAATAGAAGCTGCTAAAAGAGGAATAGAAATTGTATTACTCATATATCTAAATTAAGGCTGATTTATATGCTATGGTTGAAAAGGATGAATGGATTTACAGTGATGGACCAAGTTAAGTATGTTCTTCATTTGTTATTGGATTATATAAGGCAGCTGGTTTATTTGGATAATATCATGTTGAAGCAACAGAGTAATTATATTTTATATATTTTATAGATTTACTCCAAAAGATGTTTATTAATTAAATTTCTTTGATAAAAATTATGTTGTTCCTGATAAATGTAAGATTAATGATCCAGATTTACCATATTGTTAAATTATGGGAACTCATAGAATGGAATTAGATGGATACAATACAATTGATCCATATGAACATATGAATGAAAGATGTCCAAGTTAAGCTCCTGATTATTATAGACCTGATGGCTGTTGATTTAATAATAATATATATTAATATTAAGTATTATTATTTTATTAATAAATGTTAACAGAACTAATAATTGAAATTTGTGAATGTGAAAGAAGAACAGAAACTGTCAGAAAATTACTTTCTTAATTATCATAATTTGAACCTTATGCTGGTAAATTGTTTTATCAAGTTAGAGCATTCAAAAGAATGGACAAAAGTAGATGTGGAGAAATTTCTTATCAAGATATCATTGATTTTATGTTAGATAATAATTGTAGTCTCACAAGTTTAGAAGCATCATATTTACTTTAATATTTGGATTTCAATAGAGATGGAAGAGTAACCTATACAGAGTATTTTTATAANGGAACAGGTAGTAGATCAGAACATAGTGCAGTGATTTTTGAAATAGATGGTGTTAAATGGGTAGTAGAATCATAAGATGCATGGTATTGGCCTAAAAAGAATATATAAAAGAATAGATGGGAAGATTGGAAAGTTTATGCTAAAAATGCAGGATTTAATGTAGCCATATTACCATTGAGTCCAGAGAAGAGAGCATAATGGGATTAAGAAGGTGCTCTTAAATTTTGGAATTTTATGGAAGGATAACCATATGGTTATCATAATTTTATTTTTGGATGGATAGATACACCTAAAGATAATTATCCCACTTTATTAAGTGCTGAATTAGCTACTTATATATTTTCATTTATTGAAAAATTTGCACCAAGTATTTCATCAAAAATGGTTGGAGAAGGATTAAATAAGAGATTAGGAACTGAAGGATTGACAATCCCAGAAATCACAATAGAAGCTGCTAAAAGAGGAATAGAAATTGTATTACTCATATATCTAAATTAAGGCTGATTTATATGCTATGGTTGAAAAGGATGAATGGATTTACAGTGATGGACCAAGTTAAGTATGTTCTTCATTTGTTATTGGATTATATAAGGCAGCTGGTTTATTTGGATAATATCATGTTGAAGCAACAGAGTAATTATATTTTATATATTTTATAGATTTACTCCAAAAGATGTTTATTAATTAAATTTCTTTGATAAAAATTATGTTGTTCCTGATAAATGTAAGATTAATGATCCAGATTTACCATATTGTTAAATTATGGGAACTCATAGAATGGAATTAGATGGATACAATACAATTGATCCATATGAACATATGAATGAAAGATGTCCAAGTTAAGCTCCTGATTATTATAGACCTGATGGCTGTTGATTTAATAATAATATATATTAATATTAAGTATTATTATTTTATTAATAAATGTTAACAGAACTAATAATTGAAATTTGTGAATGTGAAAGAAGAACAGAAACTGTCAGAAAATTACTTTCTTAATTATCATAATTTGAACCTTATGCTGGTAAATTGTTTTATCAAGTTAGAGCATTCAAAAGAATGGACAAAAGTAGATGTGGAGAAATTTCTTATCAAGATATCATTGATTTTATGTTAGATAATAATTGTAGTCTCACAAGTTTAGAAGCATCATATTTACTTTAATATTTGGATTTCAATAGAGATGGAAGAGTAACCTATACAGAGTATTTTTATAATCATTATNATTTTTTGGCTATTACTAGATTTGATGGATTAGATTAAATTATTGAATGGGGAACAGGTAGTAGATCAGAACATAGTGCAGTGATTTTTGAAATAGATGGTGTTAAATGGGTAGTAGAATCATAAGATGCATGGTATTGGCCTAAAAAGAATATATAAAAGAATAGATGGGAAGATTGGAAAGTTTATGCTAAAAATGCAGGATTTAATGTAGCCATATTACCATTGAGTCCAGAGAAGAGAGCATAATGGGATTAAGAAGGTGCTCTTAAATTTTGGAATTTTATGGAAGGATAACCATATGGTTATCATAATTTTATTTTTGGATGGATAGATACACCTAAAGATAATTATCCCACTTTATTAAGTGCTGAATTAGCTACTTATATATTTTCATTTATTGAAAAATTTGCACCAAGTATTTCATCAAAAATGGTTGGAGAAGGATTAAATAAGAGATTAGGAACTGAAGGATTGACAATCCCAGAAATCACAATAGAAGCTGCTAAAAGAGGAATAGAAATTGTATTACTCATATATCTAAATTAAGGCTGATTTATATGCTATGGTTGAAAAGGATGAATGGATTTACAGTGATGGACCAAGTTAAGTATGTTCTTCATTTGTTATTGGATTATATAAGGCAGCTGGTTTATTTGGATAATATCATGTTGAAGCAACAGAGTAATTATATTTTATATATTTTATAGATTTACTCCAAAAGATGTTTATTAATTAAATTTCTTTGATAAAAATTATGTTGTTCCTGATAAATGTAAGATTAATGATCCAGATTTACCATATTGTTAAATTATGGGAACTCATAGAATGGAATTAGATGGATACAATACAATTGATCCATATGAACATATGAATGAAAGATGTCCAAGTTAAGCTCCTGATTATTATAGACCTGATGGCTGTTGATTTAATAATAATATATATTAATATTAAGTATTATTATTTTATTAATAAATGTTAACAGAACTAATAATTGAAATTTGTGAATGTGAAAGAAGAACAGAAACTGTCAGAAAATTACTTTCTTAATTATCATAATTTGAACCTTATGCTGGTAAATTGTTTTATCAAGTTAGAGCATTCAAAAGAATGGACAAAAGTAGATGTGGAGAAATTTCTTATCAAGATATCATTGATTTTATGTTAGATAATAATTGTAGTCTCACAAGTTTAGAAGCATCATATTTACTTTAATATTTGGATTTCAATAGAGATGGAAGAGTAACCTATACAGAGTATTTTTATATTCATTCTATAGTTTTGCTAAATAAATATTACCAAAAACTGATCTTATTCTAAAAGAAACAGCTGCTGCTAGAGATTCATATTTTGTATTAGCCAATAAAACATTACCAAATGAAATTGAATGGGGTTTGTACAAAATACTTCATTAAGAATTGTCTAATTTTAAACATCTCAAAATTATCAAAGATTTATGTAAAGAATCAGTCTAATAAGCATTTTAAATGATAGATCATTACTAACTAGGATATTTCACTGCATAACAGTATATTATATATTATATATATTTATTATAGTTTAGAGAATTATTTTAAAAGTAATTACATTTAATATGATAAATAAGATATTAGTGCATTCTTTCATGCTTCAGATAGAGATGAAGATAATAAAATATCTATTGTAGAATTTAACTATGTAATTAAACCTTTTCATCCTTCATAAATTTTAAAAGATAGAGAAAGAGCATTTTATAGTACTCCTAAAAAATATAGAAGAATTGATAATTCCCCAAAACCTTAGAATTCTTTTACTAATGTAAGATCAAAATAATTCATTTACAAAACACCTGTTAAAGCAGATCTTTCTTAACCAGACCTAGAAATTTAAAAATAGTAATTGATTTAGTAAAATGACTTCAATCTCATTGATTTATTTTATTAATAACCTAAAGCTACTCCTGAAATGAAATTTAGAAAGTTTTGCAAAACTATTCTTCCAAAGAATGTCCCTCCTAATTACTAATCAAAGCCAATTAGTGCAAAAACATATTAGATGATGCTTAATATACTTAGATAATGATAATTTTGATATTTCTATATATAACAGAATTCATTTTTTTTTAAATTGATCAGCAACTACCTCTCCTATTTTCTCTTTGGCTGCATGTTCAAGTGAATTTGATGATTTATCCCATACACTTTTGACTTTATCATCTATCTAATATAAAAATAATATATATGATTAATACAAATGAGAAGAATTACTCTATCTTCTTTTCATGTTAATATATAAAGGGCTAGATTGAATTATTGAATATTGCTGCTGAAAATTTAAAGTTGTTATAAATTAATCCTATTGCCAATGATATTAACACTATGTCTACTAACAAACTAAGTTTAAATATTAAAAATACTCATTCAATACTATTTCAAGCACAATATCTAAAAGTGATATCATCCAATTTATACACCAATATTTTAATAGTGTTTATTATCCCTCTTTATCTTTATTCTTTAGTACTTTAAATGATTAAATTAATGGATATATGATTCTGATTGAATGCCTATTAAATTATTATTGATAAATTACAAAAGGTAATTCATTTTTTCGATATTTAAAATAATTTAATAATGTTTGATTATGAGAATGAAGATGGAGGATTTGTTGATTAATTTCAACATAGAGAAGATTAGGATGATAGTTTTGCATCATTATAAAATGAATAATATTGTCCACGTACAGAAGTTCCAAGATTAAACACTAAAGTTTAAGTGGATAGATATAATACTTTAATGGAATAAGATGCAGACACAAAGAATATTCCTAAAACATTTGGAAATAACTTTAAAAAGTTTATGGATAATCAAATATAATAAAAAAAAGACTATTTTACAAAGTATCCTATTCCAAAAGAAATGACAAATTTTTTAAATAAGAAAAAGACTGGTAAGTAAGCAGATTATACAATCCAAGATTTTAGAGAACTTTTTCTTAATAAATAATCAAATGTTTGGTTTTAATTTTATATTGAGAATTTCTCTTTTTTAGATTTGGTCAATTCTAATAGGATAGATGATCCAGAAAAATATATTAAGTTTATAGAATAATATTTAGCAGGGGCTAAAGATCCACTTAACTTTATTTCAAGTCGCCCAATAAAAAATAATAAATAAGAAAAAAAAAAATAAAAAGGAGAGGAAAAAATAATTGAAGTTTAATAAATGTAACTTTATGAACTTCCTCAAATGAATGAAGAAGAATAAGATTAAATCTAACATTAACCTTAAAATGATTATGAAGATTCTAATCAATTACTTATAATCTATGGGAGAGAAGTTTAGAACCAATATTAGGATTGAAATCAATTTAATAAATATATATATAGTGATTATTAATATAATGGATAATAGATAAATTGAACAGAAACCATCGGTTTAAAGTTATTCTTCTTTTGACTCCTATGTCATTCAAGATGAACATGATGGAAATCTTAGTATTCATCAATTAAAAGAAAAGCCTTACTTTAGTTTTTAAGAAGCAAAAGATTAAAATGGAGATGCCAACTTAAATATTAATGGTAAAAATAACTAACACAAATAAAAATAACCTTATGAAACAGTACTTCCTAAAAATATTATAGATTCAGGATTTACTCTATACAGAAGAAAAATTAGAATTACCATCTTAACAACTTAAACAAATTCCTAAATTACAATAAAATTTTGTTAACATAAAGTTATTGAACTTATCTTAAAACTAATTAACAACTGTTCCTCCTTAAATAATGTAATTGTTTACAATTATTATTTTTATAGGCGTATGACTAATTTATAGAAATTGATTTTGAGTAGTAATCAAATTAATGTCTTACCAATATTTTTGCAAACATTAAAATATTTAGAATATTTAGATATGCAAGATAATTTAATTAAGGTTTTTAATATCAATCCTCCAGAACTCAAATACTTAAATTTATCAATCAATTATATTGAATAACTGTATTTTCCTAATCTAGAACATTTATGCATCTAAATGAATTGTTTCACTATTATACCTAAAGGATTTCATAAAGTGCTTTATGGAATGTAATATTTTGAATTTGATTGGTTTAAGTATTGTAAACCTGCTTTACCAATGAAAATTAATTTTGAGAAATATTAGCATATTAAGGATAAATTAATATCAATTTTATAGACTACTAGTCTCACATTTGAAACTTTTGTTAAATTGTTAAGTATATCAGAACCTAATTTTTATTAGACTGATTATAAGTATTTAAATTAATTAATATTCTTATAGATATAGGAATTTATTTTTTTAAGCAGGATCATCTAATGAAATTGGAATTCTTTATAGTTTAATTTAAATTATACCTGAACAAATCAATAATTTAGATTTTGATTAAAATACTCCATTGTCTGCATGTTATAATGAAGGTAAAACAAGGTAATAATATACTTTAATAAAGATCAGTCAAAGTATTAAGAAGTTTGGGTGGAAAATTTGCTCCTTAATCAATCCATGTTATTTGTTAAAGAGTAGATTTAATATTTTTCAAAATAATTTTAAATCTTAATGAAGAAGACAATTCAATTACATAACATACAGATTTAAATTTAATTAATTTTAGAAATATAGATGGCAATACACCTTTACATCATTTGTTTATGAATTATACTAAAAGTCCAGATGCTAAAGAAATTGCAGATATACTATTATATTTAGGTGCTGATCCTAATGGTGAAAATAATGAAGGATGGACTCCTTTAGATTTAGCTGTTAGAAAAGGATAAATCAGTTCAATTTAATATGCAGCCGAATACAATAAAAGATTATATTAATTGAGATCACATTAATAATTATTTGATTTCTAAAAAAAATCTGGAATAAATGAATGGTCTTTAGGTCATGTTGCTGCAAGTGTTGGTAATAATGAAATATTAGAATTACTTAGTCAGGTATTTATATAGTATATTATAGATTAACATAGATATATTTTAAGTAAGTAAATGTAATAGATTACCAAGACATTTAGCTATCTAAAGTTTAACAATGTTAAAAAATATGAGAAAATTAGAAAAAAGATGGATTATAAAGAATGTATTACATGATTCAATATCAATATCACAAACAGAAAAGAATGTATATTAAATGAAAAATTAAATTGAAAAGAATATGAATAAGAAACATTAGAATATTGCTTAAAAGTTAATAGAAAATGAGGATGATAATTTTGATATAGATGATAATTCTTTAAGAATAGCAAGTGAAAGTTCTATAAAAGATGTAGCAAGTGAATCAGCTCCTATATTTTAAAGATTAGCTAACAAAGAAATGACAAGAATGCAATTAGAAAAATAAAATATGTCTAATTTAGATTCTACAGATTTTGCAGATCATTTACCAGAAATATAAAAACTTTTAAGAAATCATAATTATGAACTTGCTCTTTAAAAACTTAAATATGCATTATTGAGTGATATGCTTCCATTGTCTGAAAGATTAAAATATAAAGATTATATATAAGTGATATAATTTAAAATGAAATATTCAAAAGTGGAAATGTAATCATATTTAAGGAATAGTTTAAATCTAAATTTAAGTGAATTTCAATTCAAAGGAATTCCTATTGATTAAAAATGTATTGATTAATTAATTATAATATAGCTAAAATGATTAGAGAATTACTAAGTTTAGTAAAAGATTAATAAAGAAATGAGACTTCCAAAATTTAATTTCATATTGAAAAAATGTAACTTGTATGTTAGAATCCTTTATTACATTAAGATTTACTTGTAAAAGATTTAACAACAATTAATGAATTGAGATAGAGATTAAGTAATAATCTTATTTATGATATTAATAATTATGCTGAATCTATATTTTAGTTAAATGACTAAATTTATTATTGGATAAATACTAATTCTGGAAGATGTGAAAAGATATTAATAAAATCAAACATTCCAAATATTATTAATTATGAATGCTTATAAAAGATGAGATTTGTTAAGAAAATAAAACCAAGAGATAAAGATTATGATAATATTGAGTAAGATATGATAGAACCAGAATCCTCTATATCTTCATATTAATAATTTACTTACATTATTACACCATTTCAAAATAGTAAGCGTTTCTGAAGTTTGATAATTTTTATTTTATTATTCTATAATTTATACTTTTATTTATAAAACAGAATTAATGAATTACCATTAAGAAGTATTAAAATATGGATTTAGTAATTAGAAATATCGATTGATGAGAACTCAACTCCCATTCGATTGAAATGGACTGGCAGAAATAAAGCCTGTTGTAATGATAAAATATTTTATACCAACCAAAGTGCTAAATTTCTCATAGTTCTTTCTCTGTTATTTATTGAAGCCATTCTATATTAGATGATTTATGTAAAATTTATTCTAACCCTTAGATGAAGATACAATATTATGAATTAATTCTATCACTCATATCTATATATTTATTGATCATTACTTATTGTACTGATCCTGGAATAATGCCTAAAATTGTAATATATGAATATGTATGTAGATAGTTTTATAAACATGAAGATGACATAGAAAAATTATAGATACCTTAATCAACTAAAAAGAAAGAGATTTAACATGTTATTGTCAGATTAGAAACTCATACAATCAGATTAAAATATTGTCCAACTTGCAAAATATATAGGCCATCTAGATTATCCCATTGTGGTTTTTGCAATAATTGTGTTTTAAGATTTGATCATCATTGCAATTGGATTGGTACATGTATAGGGAAGAGAAATGTAAGATCTTTTTATTTTTTTTTACTCATCCTAAACACTCAATTTATATTAGAAATAGTCAAGCTCTCTATTTAATAATCGACTATTTGTATCTATTGTATAGCTATGATCATTGTCTTAGCTTTGATTACAATTCTAACATTAGCATTATTTTGTTATCATACATATCTAATTTGCAAGAATTAAACTACAAATGAACATTTAAAACACACTTGGACTTTGGATAGTGGAAATCCATATGACAAGTAAGCAGATTTCATAATTAACTTAGGGGTTCAATCTCAAAAAATATCTGTAATATATTATTTGGTAATGTACCAAATCGATTGGTTTATTTAAATAAAAGATTATTTTCTTAACCTATCCTTAAGGCAAAAGAAGATAAGTAAATCTAATAAGTTGAGTTGACAAAGGTTAACTTATAGACTGATTGATATACATATGACATATCATTATTTATACAAAATTATTTTAATATTATTAAAATATGAATGATAAATAAAAGGATTGAGGAACTTAATTATAATTCTTAAAATCCATCCTTTTTTACAAAGGCTTTTTAGTTTTATTATCAATTCGAAACAATATATTAAATTATTATATGAATTTAGAATTTCCTTTTATAATTCTTGGATGACTATACTAATTTAATAATTAGATATCAATTTATAATTATTTTGATATGAATTAATTGTAGTATTAATTTCGATAAAAATCTTTATTACTATATTACTATTATTCATTATATGAGAAATAAAAAGTTTAATAATATTATTATACAGATCTACATACAAATGCTTCAAATAATTTTAACTGATTATTTTCTTTTCTTTTTTCCTACTTTTGATGGAGGTAATTTTGGGAATCTCCAAAGATCTCCTCCATTTAAGTGTTTGGCCTCATAATAACCACCTTCTTTACCATGAGATTTGGCAACTATACGTCTATGTTTATTTATATATTTAAATACCTCTCCAATTATCCTTATTCTGTACACATATCAAGAATAAGATGCTTTCCTCTTTTTAAAGGATCAAATGTAATTCTTGGCCATTCTTATCCCTCTTAAATCAAAGGTTTCTTAGATACAGCCAAATATGAGAATTTCTCTGTCACTGCAGTATTTTCATAAATGTACTTTGGGAATACTCTTAGTTATATAATTAAGATTACCATCCTTTGGCCAAGCAGTAAACATTTATTTAAAATGACACCATTAAAATCCTTCTTTAGCCATAGGACATGATTATTAATGTTAACATGGTGCAACAATAAACCCTTTTTATTTCAATATCCATTCTCTAAAATCATTAACAAAACGGAATCCTGTTGGTGATCCAGGACATGCTAAAACCATAATACCATCATCAGATAATTTAGCCCATAAAGATTAAAGTGCTAATAATCTTGCTTCAGGATGATTAATTTCTTCTAAAACAAATGCTATGCTTATAAAATCAAAATAATCATAACTTAATTCTAGTGTATGTGATAAACTTTCATAAAATTTAATATCCTTAATATAATCTTAAGTAACAAATTTTCCTAATTTTCTCATATATAAATTTGGTTCAACACAAACTATGTTTTTAACATCAGGATACAATTTCTTGAAACTCCATGCCCATGTTCCTATTCCACTTCCATAATCAAGCATAGATTTTGGATTAAAATTTGGATTTCTTTTTTATATTTCTGTCATTATTTTTTAACCAACTGCAAAAGATCCAGGAACTTTTCTTAAAAAGTATGATACTGTTAATATTTAATCATAATCAATTGCAGATGCAAAATTATGAAATTCTTCTAATTTTTCTTCAGCACTATTTATTCTATCTACATTTATATCCTTCTTTTATCTTCTTTCGAATATCTTTTCTAATATTTATTATTCACTTGTTCCTTATTTATATAAATGAATAACTTTTTTCTCTGTTAATTTTTATAAATTTTCTGGATTTTCAAATAAATTATTTCTTTTAATAGTTATAGATACTGGTTTCTCAAGTGCATGCAATAATTAATACATTCTCATATATTTATAAGATGCTTCTCTTAATTCATCAGGAGGATATTTTGAAAATACTTTTCTAGCTTTTTTTAATATTTCCTCTGGTAAAGAAAGTGCTGGTTAATGACTGNATCAAATGTAATTCTTGGCCATTCTTATCCCTCTTAAATCAAAGGTTTCTTAGATACAGCCAAATATGAGAATTTCTCTGTCACTGCAGTATTTTCATAAATGTACTTTGGGAATACTCTTAGTTATATAATTAAGATTACCATCCTTTGGCCAAGCAGTAAACATTTATTTAAAATGACACCATTAAAATCCTTCTTTAGCCATAGGACATGATTATTAATGTTAACATGGTGCAACAATAAACCCTTTTTATTTCAATATCCATTCTCTAAAATCATTAACAAAACGGAATCCTGTTGGTGATCCAGGACATGCTAAAACCATAATACCATCATCAGATAATTTAGCCCATAAAGATTAAAGTGCTAATAATCTTGCTTCAGGATGATTAATTTCTTCTAAAACAAATGCTATGCTTATAAAATCAAAATAATCATAACTTAATTCTAGTGTATGTGATAAACTTTCATAAAATTTAATATCCTTAATATAATCTTAAGTAACAAATTTTCCTAATTTTCTCATATATAAATTTGGTTCAACACAAACTATGTTTTTAACATCAGGATACAATTTCTTGAAACTCCATGCCCATGTTCCTATTCCACTTCCATAATCAAGCATTGATTTTGGATTAAAATTTGGATTTCTTTTTTATATTTCTGTCATTATTTTTTAACCAACTGCAAAAGATCCAGGAACTTTTCTTAAAAAGTATGATACTGTTAATATTTAATCATAATCTATTGCAGATGCAAAATTATGAAATTCTTCTAATTTTTCTTCAGCACTATTTATTCTATCTACATTTATATCCTTCTTTTATCTTCTTTCAAATATCTTTTCCAATATTTATTATTCACTTGTTCCTTATTTATATAAATGAATAACTTTTTTCTCTGTTAATTTTTATAAATTTTCTGGATTTTCAAATAAATTATTTCTTTTAATAGTTATAGATACTGGTTTCTCAAGTGCATGCAATAATTAATACATTCTCATATATTTATAAGATGCTTCTCTTAATTCATCAGGAGGATATTTTGAAAATACTTTTCTAGCTTTTTTTAATATTTCCTCTGGTAAAGAAAGTGCTGGTTAATGACTACAAGCCATCAAAAATTCTTAAGATTTTATGAATTTTTTCTCAAATACTTTTTTTTAATTATTTTCTTATATCTAATTATTTTGATCTAAACCCTCTTCTTTTTTCGATTCAATTGGTTCATCAGAAATATTTTGATCATCTTTTTTTATTGAGTTTTTAATCGAAGAAGTTCTTAATTATTTAACTTTTCGTGCAAATGCAAAACTTGCCCTAAAAATAATCATATATATAATTTAATTAAATCAAATACAATCATTATAATCTATATTTACATTCTTAAATTATTTGATACTTAACTAATAGTCTCCATTTATTATTTAAAAAAGAACCTCCAAGTAATAATCATGACAACTTTATAAAATAATCCTGAACTTTTTTTAAAAAGCTTAAAGAACGTTGTATAATATTGATTTTAATAATAAATTTACTTGAGTTATATTATAATTAAATTTATGAATCCAGAACCTATTACTTTTTCATCTTTAATTGTACTTAATATGAGTGCATTTCCAAATTTATCACTATATTCAAATGGATTCAGCTCATAGAATTTTAATTTGAGATCATTTCACTAATTGAAAGGTGATTTAGATCAAGATTATTAGAATTGCGTTTTCAGAATACTGCCCATTCTGAATTATAAAGCTCATGATGATCTTTTAAGACAATTTTAAGTTTCTAATTTTAAAAATTTAGAATTGTATGAATAAGGTTAAAGAAAAAATAAAATTTAAACCACATTGCTTAATTTAGAAAATGAACTAACTTCAAATATATCTCTAACAAAAAAATTAGCAGGCACACCTTTAGTTTTTAGTTCATCAATATTTCACTTAGTTCATGTTTCTTCATTGAAATTCTTAGCCTTAGATGATCAAAATCTAGAAGCATTATAATTTAAATTAATTGACTTTCCAAATAATAATACATTATTAAAATTCAACCCTTGTTTGAATTTTCAAAAATTAAGAACAAATTTAGTATATAGTGGTGATGTAGTTTGTATATCTGCAAATAAGTAAGTATGTAATAGAACAGCAAATTTATTTACTGATTATTGGGGATTAAATTATTATGAATTATAAGATGAACCATAAAAATATGATGATGAAGTGTGTAAAGCAAAGGTTATAGCATCTGTTGAAGATTAAACTTAATGGAGAATCAAAATATTTTAAAATCAATAAGAAAATGATGAAGCCTTATTTGTAGGAGATGTGGCCATATTTCATTTGCCAGAACTGAATGTAACAAATTTATAATCAATAGTTATATTTAAATGCAAAGAAAACCTAAGATATCTAAGAAAAAGTCAAAGAAATTTTAGATCGTAACACTGTTGATGATATTAGTAATATGATTCAAGATAAAGTCATTTATACAAAATAATAGACTCTCTTTCCAGGACAATAGGCAATCATTTCAAGATAAGTGAGTGAAGAAGTAGGAAGAAATGAATCAAAAAACTATAAATCAGATTCATAAAATAGTCATATTTATGAGAAATAAAGATCTATGCAATCTCGTTCATCTTAAGTTATTTAGGCATCAAAAAATATTAAAGAGATTGATAAGGCTTTATATTCAGAACTTAAATTATATTTTAGTAACTTTATAGGTAATAAATCTGATAAAATTACTATTCCATTTAGTGCTTATTGGAGAATAGAATCAGAGAATTTCACAGGAGGAGAAGTAAAATGGGATAAGTGTTATCGTATTAGACATTTTTAAACTGGTTAATATTTAGATGTTGATATAATGAGATAAGTAATACTTACAGAAAAAGTGACAAAGAATACTTTATTTTAATTTGTACCTATTAAAAAGAATTCTAAATTTGTTGATAAAGAATCTTATTTCTTAATTAAACATTTTTTGTCTGGTACTTATTTAAATATAAGAAATGATCCTGTATGTACAACCTAAGATGTTAATTTAATTAATTGTATTAAATTTAGAAAAACTGATTATGAGGATATTTGGGAAAAAAGATTTTTAGTATTTTTAGTACCTATTTTAAAAGAGGCAATTTCTTATTTTGAAATACTTTAACCTCTTACAAGTATTGCATGTATGAAAAAAAATGAAGTCTAAGAGAGAATTGAATTTTATTATCTTTTTGAAAAGCTTAATTCCTTACTAGAAATCTTGAATCAATTTATGTATAACAAATTAGTGAGTAACATATAAACAACATAAGATTTCTCATTTGTTTCATAAAATAGATAAGATATTATAAGAGAAGAAAATATTCTACCTTTATTAATATGGTTAATATGTAAGACATTCCCTAATCCTGATGAAAAAATAGAAGGAACTGAACAAAATTTAATAAAAGATTTGTGTGGTGAGAATTCATTTATTTTAAGAGTTTAAACTATGATTTAATAAAAGATGGATAAAACTAATGATATAGAATATGAGAAAAAAGTTTAGAAATTGAAAGAATAACTGGAAGATAATCATAGAAAAAGGAAAAGGTTATTACAATTAAAACTATTTCAAACCATCAAAATAGCATGTCATAATAATTAATAGAATTAAGAAGTTCTTATGAAATTTTTTAAACATTTTGAAAAACATATTACACATGATTACATATGTACAACAATAAGTTAATCTATTACAAATAATTATCAAATATTAAGTATGTTGAATAAATAGGAAACACCATATGAAATGAAATCTACTATGAATTTCAATATGGCAGAATAAAAAAATTAAAAAAGTTAAAGTACAATTTTATCAAGACTCTTGGACATTATTTCTAAGAGTGATCAACTTCAACCAGAATTATTACATTTTCTATCTGAAACTTGTGAAGCAAATGGTGAACCTGTATTTTCTAATTAAGAATATCTATTGAATAGCATTTAATTATTGAATCAAAAGGTCAAAAATGATAAAGGAGAAGAAAAGGTATATATGAATTTAGAACCTATATAAGAGAAAGATGGAAACTATACAGAATTTTATATTACTTATAGAACTTCAAACAAAAATTATGTTACTAGAATGTTACATGATTTCTTAAATGATTATAGATAATACAAAGATGAAGATCATTTTTATGTGGTATAATACAACTATTTAATTGAATAATTGGCTTTTTTTTCAAATATTTGTTTTCATAGAAATACTGCAGCAAGAGAATTGATCTCCAAAACATTTACTTATTCCTTTTTATTATCTTATGCTGAATAAAATAACCATTCATAAGTATTTATGAATGGAGAACAGAATTTTGTAGATGAATAAGTAAGAGCCTATTTTTTCAGAATGATTAGAACTTTATATATTGATAGAGAACCTTATACAACAACTCCTAAACCAGAATTAGTAAGAATTTAAGAAGAAAAAACTACTTAAAAATCTTTGTTTTTATTTGATGAAACATCAAGTCAAAAGTATGAAAAAGGGGGATTTGATATTTAAAAATTGAAATTGAAGATGCTCTAATATTTACATGAATAATCAGTTAAATTGGACAATAATGTAGAAGAAGAAACTGTTTACAATTTAGAAACTTTAGAAATCATTAAGATATTAGAATTAATGTTAAAATTTGAGTTATTTTGGAAAAGAGATGTTGAAGGTCCAATATAGAAAAAGAATTCAAATAAAAGAGGAACTTCAATTTTTAATAAAATATCAGAAAATGGAGTAGGATTAAAGGAAATTGATAAATTAATTACTGCATTGTCAAAGATTTTGGAATATGATCATCAATATTTTAAATGTTTAGCTAATGCAAAAATTAAAAGAAATTGGTAAACAGAGAATGATAAAGAGAAAGGATTTATGAAATTCAATATATCAGGTATTAGTCAAGTATTTGAAAAAGAGAATAAGGAAAAAGATGAATAATAATAATCAAATCATAATTTTAGATAAGTTAAATAATAGGATACAGAAGTTGTAAATGATCCATTGTTTAAGAAAATGAAAAATTTAACAAAAGTATTATAAAGATACAATAATAAAACATTCACCTTACGAGAAAACAAAGAAGAAGACTATTAAGTATTAATCAAGATATAGATATGCTAAATATTCTCTTATTTAATGGATGTTTCATAAGATTATTGGATAGATAATGCCTTAGAGTTTTATAAATCTCTCTAATAAAATAAATAATTAAATGATGAAGTTAAAGAGGAAGACTTAATAAAACTATTTCCAGAGGAAATATTAATGTCAGGTGAATAATGGGTAGATAAATAAGATAGTGAAAGAAAATTAAATAGATCATCTGCTCCAGTCTTAAAAAGTTTTGATGAAGTTTTGAGAAGACCATTTATAGAAGTATTGCTAATTTCATTGTATTTTTCAAGAAATCCTTCATTAGAGAATTAGATTGTCGAATTGATATAACGATTTGCAAGATAAAAAAAAGAGTTCTTATAGCATTTTGAGAATATATAAATTTTAGATACTAATGAATCTCAATAATTATTTAATGTATGGGTTTAAATGACTTCAATATTAAAAAATAACGTTTAAAGGAGTTAAACTTGGATAACAGAAAATAATAGAATTATGCATTAAACACTATAATGTTTATGGAAAATTGATAGTATATTTTAATAAACAGAAAGTGTTTCATTGAAATTGAAATAATAAATATTTGAACATATAGGCGGTTATGAAGTTTTAATAGAATTGATAAATAAAGCTTTAACTGTCATAGACTAAAAATCTTTTCCCCCTGATCTTATACTATTACTTAAGCATACTATGAATATTATGGCTTTTTTTGCCAAAGATAATGAAAGGAATTCTTTAACAGTTTATAGAAAAGTTGTTAAGAAAATCATTTAAAATAGCAATTAAAATATTGGTTAAATAAGTTTAATATGTTCATTATTTGAGAAGAAACCAACTTTGTATGGATAACTTGGATAATAAGAATATGATTATTTTATATAATTAATAAAATAACATGGAAGATATCCTGAATTTCTGTAATTTTATTTAGAAATTGTAGAAGTTACAGAGATATATTCAAAAAAATCAGTTGATATGTTTGAAATAATAATTGAAAAATTAACAGATCCTATGGGTTTATCACCTGATTAAGATAATTACAATCCATTATATCCATTTTAAGATTCTTATAAAATCACTGATTTTTTTGATTACACTCCTAACAAAACTAAATACTAATTTTATTTTATTAATATCATATCAAAATGTCTATCAAAAAAGATTAGAGCTTCATTAATTAGTCAAGCTATTGAATTTTTAAAATTGTAAGATCTTCTAGAAAATACATTTATAGTAACATAAAGAATATTAGGATGTATAAAATAAAAAGAAAAACCTCATTATGAGGACACATAATTATAGAGTGATTATTGGAATATTATTAAAACTATGGTATTTCATAAACCTGAAACACTTGATGAACTTATGTTTCCACATAATTCTGAAATTTTAAATAAAATACTTACTGATGAACATAAGGCAATTAAACAAAAAGATAAATTTATACCTTAAAATTTGAATTATTTGTTTGATTCTTTATTACCTGTTGTAAATAGATATAATGAATTATTACAAAATGCCTTATTATCTTCTGAAAAAGATTAACATTAAATAAGTGAATTTGTATCATTCTTTTTAGAAAATCTTGATAAAATGTTCTTTTTAGCACCAGCAGAATTAACTAATAATAAATAAAGATTAAAAACTATATCAGATTTAGGTTAAAGTTTTAATATTCAAATTCCTATAAAATTCTTTTAACCAGATCCTAATATCTCTTAGGATGAAAGAACAGCTGACATGTAAACTCATAATGATGCATCTTAAGAAAACAATTAAATAAATCAATTTCGTAAAAAATATTTTGGTTAAGAATTTGTTAAAGATTTAGTTAAAAAGGAATCTTTAAAATTATCAAATTCAATTTGGACAATATAAAATATGTTTAAAGATGATAGAAAATAAGAGGTAAAAGATTTATTATTGACAAATTCAGATATTATTGTTAAAATTCTAACTTATTTGGAATTTTGGAAGACAAATGGTGCTAGTAGAGAGAATATTATCTTTATTCTTAAAGTATTATCAGCTATATTAAAAGATACAGAAAATGAATTATATGAGAGATAAGTGTTATTTAATAGAATGAATGTTACTTAAATATTAATTGTTTTATTATGTGAATCTGAATTAGAACCAGTTTATATGGGTACAATAATGTCATTTATGATACTATTACTTAAAAATGGAAATTAAAATGTTTAAAAAACTGCATATGAGTATTTTTTATCAAATACTTAATGTGAAAAGTTTTTTAAATAACTTAAAAATGTATTTGATATCCAAATATTATCAATGAGTAGAGCTCATAAATTAAATGATTAAGAAAATAAATTAGTTTGTAAAGCTTTAAAATTAGTATAATTATTTTGTGAAGGACATAATTAAGACCTTTAAAATTATATGAGATCTTAAAGTAATTAAAAGAATAGTTTTGATTTAGTATCTTAAATTGTATTATTACTTTCTACTTTTTAAATTTCTAAAGGAAATTTTGAAAGTGTTTTATAATGTTTTGAAACATTAACAGAATTAATCCAAGGACCTTGCAAATAAAATTAATAAACATTATTAAAAAGTAGTCTTTTAGAACATGTAGTATTGATTTTATCAGAAGATGAAAAAATATTTGAATAATCTAATTAGTATTTTAAATATGATGGTGAAAAATAATATAGATTAGCTATTCATCCAGGATAATTAGCAAGATTGAAGTTTAAATGTTTAAATTGTTTAGTATCATTATTAGAATGTTGTGATCCTTAAAATTCTGATATTGCTAGATTAGTAAGAGTTATTCCATTAAGTATATTAACAAATAATCTTACAAGAGTATATAAATTATTTAAAAATTAATTTGGAGCTATTTATAAAGATGAAATATTTAAAAGAGCTGAGAATGAAATAACAAATGATGAACCAGCAGTAAATTAAGAATTTATAATAGAAAATGGATTTTGTATATTTTTGTTAATGTAATAATTTCTTGGAAATTAAAAGGCTAAATAATTGTTATATGAGGATAATGAAATGAATGATGTTTTAAATGAGTTTTCTGAAAATAATAATAAAGAAGAAGATAATGCAATAGCAAATATATTTTCAGGTTTAGAAAATTTTGCAAAAATGGGTGGCAATTTAATAGGATAAATAGGATTGCCTTAGAAATCAGAAGAGGAAAAATTACTATAAGAAAAATTAGAGTAAAAAGAATTAACAAAAAATGCTATTAAATTTTTTAGATAAAATACTTGCTCAATTGATATGATTAGAGATTAAAAATTGTATACAATTTATTTTCCTAAATTACCTATTTGTAAATTACCAAAAAGTGCTAGACTTGAATTTCATGATTAAGTTGATAGAACAAGCAGTAAGACTAAATTAACATATTTAATGGAAAGAGCTAATTTTCTAATTAAGGTTATGGAATATGAAGAAAAATTGAATTAAGTATTTGCTAAAAATCCAATTTTTGCATTTTTTGCAACATCAGGAAAATTATGGGAAAATTGTGCATTTGTAACAACATTAGTTATTAATCTTATTGTTTTATTAAGTTATTCATAATCATTTTATAATGAAGGATAATCTGATTAAACAGGTGATTTGATTTATGAAAGATTATAAGATCCAAGATTATTAGAATATTCAGATTTTAAATGGACACCTATTTTAATATAAGGATTGGGAATCACAATGTTAGTGTTTAGTTCATTAATAGTTTTCTTCTTTTTAGTGAAAAGAGCACCTCTAAAAGTTGATCATATATGGGAAGATTATCAAAAACCAAAAACAGTAATGAAAATGATTTGGGATGTGAGTATAAGGGGATTAAAAAGTTTAGTTATTTTATTATAGGATTCAGATATATTGTATTATTGTATCTATATTATTGCTGGAATTGTTGGGTTAACTGTTCATCCATTTTTTTTTGCATTTCATTTAATGGATTTCTTAAAGTTAGAATAATTAAAAACTGTTTTGGATGCAATTTGGGGTCCAAGATAAGAAATAGGATTAGCAATTCTATTATTGGCTGTAGTTGAATATTATGTAGGAATTCTTGGATTTGTCATATTTTTTAATGATTATCCAATAGTTAATGGAACAAGTTGTAGAATATTATCAGATAATGATCATATTATATGTGAGAGGGGATGTAGTACATTGTGGCAATGTATATTTATGAGTTTTGATTTAACATTCAAATTCACAGGTGCAATAGGTCCAGGAATTATGGATTATGAAACTGTAACTGAAATATCTTAAAGTTATGATATGATTGTAAATGGTTGGGATAGAGTAATCTAATCATAAAATGAATATGATGGAGTTGATCATCGCTTTACTTCTAATTACTTTAGTCGTTTTGTATTTGATAATGCTGTCAATATTGTATTAGTTATGATTATGCTCAATATGATATAAGGTATTATTGTAGATACTTTTGGTTCATTAAGAGAAAAACTTTAAGAAAGAATTAAAGATTAAACTATGAAATGCTTTATATGTGGTATCACAAGAGAAAAATTCGAAAAAAATGATGAAGGAGGTGGTATGGGCTTTCAAGAACATATATAATTAGAACATTATATGTGGAATTATATTTATTATTATGCTTATTTGAAACATAAAGATGAAAATGATTATAATGGTAATGAATCATATATTAAATCAAAAATTGGTTTAAAGGATATAAGTTGGATGCCTATAAAAAGGTAATTAAAATATTCATTATTTTTAGAGCAAGATTTGCTGAAGAAGAAATGGATGATTAGTAAAAAGGTAATGAAATCTAAGAAGAAATTGAAATCAAAATGAAAGCCATGAATGATTCATTAGAAAAAATATAAGATAGAATGAAACATATAATAGATATTATCAATAATTAACCTGTAAGCATGACAGAAACATATCATTGATGAATGTTTATATATATATATATTAAACTAATTGATTTAGTTAGCTTATTTAAGACTACTCTAACTTTAAAAATTAATTAAACATATATATGAATAAACACCTTAATATAAATCTTTAATAACTCTTTTTTATTATTTATATATAGAAAATAACTATATAAAGATATTAATACTATTTTTATTTAAAAAGGAGTAGTTCATTTTTATAATTAAGATCCTACTTAGAAGAAAAAAATAGATAATTATGATTAAATCTAGTTACTCAAATTACAAATTTGAAATTAATTAATGAATTTTCTACTTAAATGGAATAAATAGACTTTATTAAATTAATTTTTATATACTATTAGTATTTTGAGGGTTCATCACTACCTTTAAATTAAAATATTATTGTTTTAATATTTGGCAATTATACTTAAAGAATAATAAATGGATTATATTAAGAAATATGTATCTACCTTATGCTTATTAATTTAGAACAAATTATCAAAGTCTAAATCTTGTAATTTATACTAATATAAATTTATAATTGATTGATTCATCAGGATAAAATGTGATTGGAGTAAAAAATATATTTAAACATTTATGTCCAACATTTTCCAAATATTAGTATAAGAATATATGGTATAGAGAGGATCTAATGATGTTTTAATTGAAAATTAATAGTTTAAATATAGCAAAAAAAAAATTAGTTTAGAAAACAAAAAATATCAATAATTTGTTACTATCAAAAAGTAAGCAAATTATTCTCCTAGTTTGATACTCTAAAATTTTATTAAAAATAAATAATAATTTTTGTCTTAACTTATTTGACGATTAAATAAAATAATCAAAGAAGATAATCCTTATCTATTTATTTAATATTTTAAGAATTTAGTTTCTAGTTACTATGTGAAAAATGATTTCTGTTAATTTTCAGGAACACTCTTAGATAATAAGAAAATTTACACATACTAAAATTCTACCACTATATAATGGATTATCTTAAACTCATTTCTTATGATTATTCATATATTATAAAAGTTTTATTTATATGGGTTAGTTTAGTTTTATTTTAGATAAAATTTTCTTTTTAAATTTTTTAGAAGGATTTAATCATTAGGATTAAAATCCCAGATTACTATTGTATTTCAATTTCAAATCTTCTTTAGTTAAAAATAAAATTTCTAATTCAAAATGAATTGAAACTTTTATATATTTTATTAATATGGACTTATATGTTGGAAATAAAGATTAAGAATTGCTTGATTAAACAGAAATCTTCAGAATTTTGAAATATAAGGCTACTAAAATATATATTAAAATTCATAAATTTTTTCTTTAATTTCATGAATTAGGATTATGAAGTTATAAAAACAATATATAACTAAGGATATAGAGGAAAATTATAATTGGTAAAGTTGAAAGAAGACAATTCAGGTACTTTTTACTTATCCTTGCACTTATCAAATATAAATATTTCAGATTAAGATTTTACAAAGCTAAGAAAGCTTAAATTTCTAAACATCATTCAGCCTTATAATTATTATGAAGAAAAATATGAAAAAATCTTAATTTTTCCAGATCTATAACTTTATAAGATAAAGCAGGAATAAATGAACTAAAGTTATTATAGAATATTGCTTCAATTAGCTCTAAGTAAGAATAAAATCTAAATATAGCATACGCTGAGCTTGAGAAAAGATAATGTATTTGGCCTCTTAATTCATTAGATTAATTATACTATGCAGCAGATATTTTATATATTTCTTTAATAGAATTCGATTTTTTTAATCCCATTATTTAATAAACTCCTTTTTAAATTTTCAAAAAGTTTGCTCTCTAATACTTTTCAATATTAATTCCTGATATACAATATTATTTGTAATAGAATTAGTTCAAACCAATTATTGATTTTCTTTTAGAGAAGAACGGAAATTTACATAGAATGAATTATTTGAATCCACCATATGAAAATGTCTTGATATTTCTCTTATCTCAGTAAACCCCATTATAACTTTAATCAATAAATGAAATAGGAAACTCAGTTGTTAAGGGTTTCAATACACCAGAATCTCTCAAATTAACTAATCTTAAACTTTGTGATTAAATAGTTTACAAATCAACTAAATTTCAATCAGATGAATTTAAGGAATAGATATTATAAAATATTTAAAGAGAAATTGAGTTAATGGAATTGTGTTTTAATTCAGAATACTTAGTTACATGTTTTGCTTATATAAGAATTTTTGAGTTTTCTTTTATTTTACAAAAGAAATTTGTTGGAACTTTAGCAGAGTTTTTGGCTAAATGGTAATAGGAAGAGAAAAATAGACCAGAAAAATAGACAATCAAAGATGTACTCTTAATGGCAAATAGATTTGCACTAGGTATTCATTAATGAATATAAAGCACTTAAATCATTGAAAAAAATAAATATTCTACATAGAGATTTAAAACCTGAGAATTTGTTTATAGATCATAATGAAATTCATCAAAGTTACATATATATAGCTGATTTTGATCGTTCCAAATCTATTGATGGATAAATGGGTGATGCTATGACTACTTAAAATGCTTAATGTACTCCAAAGTATGATCCTCCAGAAACTAGCTAATCATTTGAATATGATATCTTTTAATTCGGTCTCATCATATTAACTATTGCAAACAAAGGCAAGTATATAGGAAATGAAAAATAAGGACCAAGATATTTCACCTAATAAGAACATGATCACTATTATAGTAAAGAAGCCATTAAAAAAGCACTTAGTCATACAAATTATGATTAATAATTTATTGAAATCATTGCTCAATGTCTTTAAAGAAAACCAGAAGAAAGGCCTAATATTTAATAGATATATTCGATTATTAATCCATTATATTTAGCTACCAAAATACAAAAAGTTCGAGAAACCTTACCCTCCAACTAAAATAAAGAACAGCTTGAGTAATAGACTAAAGATAACGTTAGATTTTAAAGTTAACCTTCACCTAATTCAAATGAGTAAGCATCTTTAAAATTGATTCCTATTAACAATAACTTGCAAAATGTTTAAATTTAATAACCTAATGATAATTAATTTATTTAAGTTAACTATTAAGGATAATATTAATAATAGCAATAATATTAATAATAACAACAACAATAATAATAATACTAATACTAACCATAATAATAATAATAATTCTAATACTAACCATAATAATAATAACAATAATTCTAATACTAACCATAATAATAATAATAATAATAATAATAATAATAATAATAATAATAATAATAATAATAATAATAATAATAATAATAATAATAATACTAGCCATAATAATAATAATATAAAGAATATAGTACAGCAACTGGAAAATAAATTAAGTTTGTTAAATAATAATCAATTAATTCTCCAAACAATCTTAATTAAGACGGCAATTAAGATCTTATTTATGGTTAAAATAACTAGGTTTAGAATGTAAATCAAAATTAAAACAATAATTTTGCTTAATAAACATTATTTAACAATGTAAATAACAATAATGTCTATCCAAATAATATTAATTATACAAATTTATAGAATAACTTTCCAACATAATCACCATAATAACAAATTTTATAATTAACTCCAAATTAAAGCCCAATATCCCAACAGCAATAGTTTAATAATAATTAAGAAGTAAGCCCTCTAAGTAATTAATCTCCCACTAGTAGAAAAAGTATTAATCAAAAAATTAGACTCGTCGCTATGTAAAATATTTAATTATATTTTAGAACTGGTCCTAATCAATAGAATTTTACTCCACAATGAAAAAAAGCTGCTTGTGAAGAATAATTTAATTTTATAAAATAATAACATTTATTTTTAATATCAATGTTCTTCCTAAGAAAAAGCAAAACCAGTGTAACCTCGTTTAATGGGACTTTTTGGAACCGAGGAGTTATTCATTTAAAATTGGGTATTAGGGGAATGTTATTGCATTTATTGTTCATCTTGTAATTCAATGTGCTATTTTTAAATTAGCATATAAACTTTATCATGTTATATTCCAACCTGAGCATACTAAGACCACTAAGATAATTTGGTTAGAGCCAAATCGAAAATTGATGTTGCTCCAATAACTAATAGTGATATCAAGTAAAATCTCAGATGAGAAAAGCTAGCACTTTGACTATTTGACATATCAGATTTCGGCATTTTCTCTGAAACTAAAATAAATAAAAAGAGATAAATGAAGACCGATCCGAAAAGCCCGACAATAACTCCAATAGAATAAGTGTTACTAAATAGGATAATCTAATTTGGATAATTGAAATGATTACTTTGATATTGCTATTCAAAACTGAATACCCTAACACAATGGCACCTGTTGTCCATAAGCCAGCCATCATCCCATTATAAATAGAGGAGGATTCATAAGTCTGAAAGGTTAGGTATGATATAATGCCAGCTTAGATAGTACCATTTACAACCCAATATAAGAATATTTTAACATTAAATAGTTTATGTTTAATACCAATATCATAAAGACTGGGATCTAAAATAGAAAGATATGTTTACTTGAAGTGAGAATATCACCAGAGAATTCTTCATCGAAAATAGCATATAATACAATAGGAAGACTAGTGAAAAATAAATTGTAACTTTGATAGAGTAACTAGTCATAAAACATAACAGCAGAAAATCCATTGTTAACAGCCCACCAATATTAAGGTAGGACTAGAAGCATATTTTTATAAAAATTGTAATTTACAAGAGTTGAATTTTTTCTATAACTCTCTCTACCATGATAAAGTGTTAATCTTTTTAGTATTCTGAATTCTCCAACAGAATAATCAGAAGCTCTTGCTGCTTATTAACCTTCAACTCCTTTAATTCCGATACCAATATGAGCAGCTGTAATCATATTAACATCATTAGCACCATCTCCAATAGCAAGAGTAGTCACATTAGGTTTATTTTATCTAACTAAAGAAACAATTTCTTATTTTTATTTTGGTGAAACTCTACAAGCTACTACAGCTTCACATCTTTCAGCAATTTACATTACTTTTGATGAAAATTCTGGTTTCATAGCAATAATTAAAGCGTTACCAGAAATTATTAATGCATTTTTATTATTGTTTTAACTTTTTTAAATAGCTTTTTCTAATTCATTACTAATAATTTATTCATTATTTCCATCTACTATAATTTATTATAAAGAATCATTTAATAATTAACAAGAAAAACCAATATTGATGGCAGTTTCTATTTTATCTCCAGTCAATACCCATACTTTTATACCTGCATCTTTTAAGTATTAAATAGTTGGACCTACTTCTTCTTGTAATTTATCTTCAATTGCTGTTCCACCAATAAGTTCTAATTCTTATTCAATTTTTGCTTAAGAATCCATCATTAAATTATCTCTATTTTATATAGCAGAACATGCTTATAGATAATTTTTTTCCCATTCTTTATAAACTTATAAAGGTAATATTCTCTTTGTTAATAAAAGAGTTCTTAAACCAATTGATGCAAACTCTTATAAATCATTCCAGGTTTTCTCTTTTAATTAAGGAACAACTGGTTTCATTAAAGGTTCAATAACTGAATCAGCCCCCTTTGTATATAATATAATTTGATTAGATTAATCTTAAACAATAACAGAAACTCTCTTTCTTGTACTGTTGAATTCAAGTACATGTAATAATTAATAATTCTTTATATCACCTTTAATATTGACTACCATACTATTAGATGCATCTATTCCTTCAAAAGTATAACCACAATATCTTGCAAAATTAACTAATGCTAATTCATCAGGAGATGATGCTTAATAAAAAAGTTATCCATTCTTATTCTCTGTAACAACTGTATGACATAATGATAAACAAAGTAAAAACTCATGAAGTGGTCCCTTACCTGGAGTTTAACTTAAATCATTAAAGAAAGCTCTATCTCTAAAATCAACATTTGAAACTTAAGCTAATTTTGAAACTTCTTCATTTGTTAATGTGGCTTCTTTTCCATATGATTTTTTATTAACTGTAAGACATTTGAAATCCATTTAATTCTTTGTTAATGTTCCTGTTTTATCAGAAAATATATAATCCACTTAACCAAGTTCTTCATTTAAATTTGAAGATTAGACTGCTGTCTTTATATCATATTCAGCTGAATATGTTCCTTTATCCATTGTTATCAATATTCCTTAGAAATATTTGACCATCTCTAAAGAAACAAGCAATGATATTGGTACAAAATTAGTGAAAATGAGTATCCAATTACCCCATTTAATCTAAAAATAAATATATAGTATTTACAAATAAATTTTTAACAAAATTATGTTCAGGATCTGTAATTAAGATATCTAAATATGATAATTAAGAATTATGTATTTGTTACCATGAAGAATTCAAATAGCCTCCTAATCCACACATGACCATCTGAAAATTAATGATACTGAATATTTACTTATAATAGAAATATTACAATAATGAACCAATTCATTGTTCTTTCCAAATGACTACGCTTTGGTTATGCTTTAACTGAATTAAGCATAATTTTAGAGTCATGTCCATTGTAACAAACAATTCCATATATAAAATTCACATTTCTTAAAGCACATCCTCTTAATATGAAATTCTTTTCACTTAGAGGAACTTATTAATTATTAATTTCAGCAGATCCAGTAAATTGATATAAATATGGATTTGGTCTTTCATATTTTATTGTCATTCTCAATGCCAATAGAGAATCTTCACTTTATTCTTACAGTTATTTTAGATTTTTTTGAATATTTTTACATTTCAGATTAGTTTCTCCATCTAAGTTTTTAGTTTCAATAAAGGCACTCCCTTTTTTATCTGATGTTTGCATTAGTAATATATCAGCAGGTATTTATTCATCCTTCTAAACTTTGATTAAATCTCCAATCCTTAATTCACTCCATTAAGCTTCTCTTGGAGGTTCATTTGTACGAATTAAATAAGTTTTGCGATTGTTTTCAGCATTATCTGATTAGCGTCTCTAGTAATCTTCAACAAAATCTTTTATCATCGAAATACAAACAACTATTGATAATGGTCCCATAATCACAGGTTGACCATTTGTTATGCTTATTGCTGAGATCATTTACATTATAGCAATAACCAAAAAGTAAACATTTGCTAACTTTGAGAACTACTCTATCAAATTTAATGGAACAAATGTAATAATCGATGAATATTTTGATGTTGTTATTTTATTATCAGGTACAGCCATATCTGGAACATTAGATACAATTGATCTGTCTATTATATTATTTTTATTTATATACCATTCATTTAATGAGCAGGAGGTCTAACTGTAATCAAGCCCCATTTTTTAATTGTTGTTTCATTGTTATATGAATGAGAATCCATTTAATTAAAATATTATTCTAAAAAACGATAATGAGAATATTGGTTATTGTTGTATTAGCCCTCACAGTGATGGCAGCCCAAAAAAGAAGGAAGTACATTTACTAACCACTTCTAAATTAGATCAATACCAAACCTTATTCATATGGACAATAAATCATATTAAAAATCACATGCAAAAATTGAATATGATGTTGATTCATTTACAAGTCCTAGAACTTAGTAGCTTAAGACTGCCTAGAAAAGATAAGATAGCAGTTTAAAAAGAGCTATCTTACACAGCCAATAGACAACTGGATTTGTTCAAATTTAATAAGAAACAGATCAATTCATTCTTATGAATCAAGATGAAGATGTACATAATATTTCATATTATATTATAGCTTTCTTCTGAATTAATGACAGAATAACAAATTTAATAAGCTTTATTAACTGCTGAAGACTTTAATAATGTCCCCAATATTGAAATGCAAGCAGAATCAAATTACTAAGCTCCAGATGTAGCATAAGATGATGTCAATGAATCCTATTATATTCCAGTAATTACAGAAGGAGATGGCACATTAGAAGAAGTTTAGAACTCTGATGAATAGCCCCAATCAAATCCAGATATTGAGATGCCTTCCTTGGATGAAGTGTCATTTCTTCAATGAAAGATTTAAATATCCAAAATGTTTAGATATTCAAGATATATAATTTTATATTTTTATTAAAATTTTACATTCATTCTTGATTAATAAGTTATGATTTTATTTTCTAAATTCATATTGTAGTTAGAAGTTAAATTTATGTATATTTCATTAAATCTCTTCTATAAATGTTTACCTATAAAAATCATAAGTAAATTAATTGATTTTCTTTATGAAATATTTTAGATAAGTCAATACTTATTTTTTGAAAAACTAGCCGTTATAATTTAAGGTAAAAAGAACTTATTTATGAATATTTAATGACACTATTAATTTTATGCAAAAATCAGACTTTTACTAAAATAGAAATACAAAATAAAAATATATTTCTTTAACTTCTACAATTTTGATATCAATTTATAATATAAATTCATTATCGTTATTAATTATAACTTACTAATAAAATGTAATAGTTAAGGATTATATAAAAAAATCAAATAAAATGATAATAATATCAATTATTAGATCAATGAATGATCAAAATAGAAAATTAACTTATTGGCTATTGATGAAAATCTCTTTATAATAATTGAAAAATAATATTAATTACTTTTGGAAATTTCAAAACTTAAATTATGAGTATTATTCATAATTTAATGCTAACTTTTTATAGTATTAAAGATATATTATAATATTTTTATTGTTTTAGTATTAAGGGATTATTGCGTTTATTCGCTTGCTTTAAATTTTAAATCTGTTTTAATGGTAAGATTTATTATTAATAAATTGAGAAATGAGTTAAGAGAAAAAATCATTCTTTGATTTCACATCCCCTTTTGAATTGAAAAGACCTATTGAAATATTTAAAAAATCCTTAAAGGATCAATTTTATATTCTCAAAAATAACAAGTTTAAGTTAAAGACTTTAGTACTTCAAAGGAATTACCTAATCAAATTTAGTTCTAAGGTATCATACTATGTTATATATATAAAAGAAACCAAGCCAAAAGTATTACAATATTACAAATGCCTTACTAGAATTGGTGAATCATCCACAAATGGGAACAGGAATTTCAATAACTAAAAACGGAGCAAATTTTACATTTTATGGGATAGTTGATGATTGGTACTCCAACTTAAAAAAATGGTGTATATAACCAAACTTTTAGAAAGAGTACTGCATGATTAAACTGATAGGAAAGGGAAGCTTTGCAAAGGTATATAAAAAAATTGATCAATTAGGTGTATAAAATTTAGAGATTGAGTGATAAAAAGGAATTTGCAGTGAAGCTATTTGATAAAACCACTTTTAAAACTCAAGATAGACCAGCTTTGCTTAAAGAAATTGAGTTAATGAGAATAATGAACCATAAAAACGTAGTCACAATTCTTGAAACTTATGAAAACGAGCAATATATATTTATTGTACAAGAATTATTCAATGGAGGAGAGCTTCATTAAGAATTGAAAAAAACTCGAACTTTTTCAGAATATGGAGCTTTCATTGTTATTTAATAAGTAATAGAAGCCTTACATTATATACATTCTCATGGTATAATTCATAGAGACATAAAACCTGAAAATATAATTTTGAGAGAGTAAGGAATGATAGAATAGGTAGTATTAGCTGATTTTGGTTTGGCTGATTACTTTAGAAAGGATTGCAAATATATGTTTACAAGATGTGGTACTCCTGGATTTGTTGCACCAGAATTATTGCAAGATAAAATTTATGATTATAAAGTTGATATATATAGTTGTGGAATACTATTTTACTATTTGTTAGTAGGCAAAGGACCATTTGATTCAAATAATTATGATTAGACAGTTATGGCAAATTTTAATGGATGGGTAGACTTGACAAAATTTTAATTTTCAATTGAATGTCTTGATTTATTAAGAGGAATGTTGGACCCTAATCCTTTCAAAAGATATTCAATAGATCAAATTCAATAAAGTTCATTCTTTAGAAAACATTAAACAGTTTTCTAACAAATTGGAAGTTAAAGTAGTCTATGTAGCATTCCTTCATAAGGTGACTCATCATCAATATCTCCAAAATAAAGTCCAAATTTAGAACCAAAAAAGTCCCCTAGCGATTTAAAAAATAGATTTACAAATTCTTGTGTTTCACCGTTATAATCACCAATTAGATTAAATACAACAAGTTTTTCTCCATTATCAGCTCCATTTGGGAAGACACAAAATTTATAAAGAATACCAATACAAATATGAATTAAATATATATATATCGAGTTATTAGATAAATAAAAAATAATATAATATTTTATGAGAGATATCAAATTAATACTATATAATGTAATTAAATAAATTTAAATAATTAATAAAATATAATCACAATTATTTGTTATTTATTGTTGTAATTAGAAAATATTAAATAATTAAGTATTACATAAGTTAAAAAAATAAATAAATGTATAAATATTTTGACAAAAATTAATAATCTATAATCATCTTCTAAATATATTAAAATAACTGATAATATAAATTTAGATTAATGATTGGAGTAAATTTGATTAATATTATGAATATAAAGAGATAAGTGCCCTCAACTTCTTTCTTCGATATTTCAAAAGGCCCTCTATGGTAAAATACAACTGCTTCACGCAATATCAATGAATCTATTTAAGAAAATTTCTACATTTATTCAAGCAAACATAAAAACTATAAAATAAAGACATTGTATTTGCAAAGTCATTTCATTTTTAGAAAAAAAAAGAATGTAATAATATTTCATTATAATCAAAGGGTTAAAATCAAATAGCTGATATTCTCAATGCAACTATTTGTGAAATTGAGCTACCTAATTATGGTGCAGGAATAAGAATTATTAAAGCAGGTCAAATTATAGAAATATATGGCATGACAATAACTTGGCTTCAATAATTAAGGTTTTATTGTATTCAGTAGGATTTTGCCAACAAATATTCTATCATAAGGTTACTTGGCAAAGGTACATTTGGCAAAGTATTAAATTATTTTTTAAATCTTAGGTGTTCAAAATTAAATCTAGAATTACACAATAAGACTTTGCTGTCAAAGTATTTGAAAAAAAAGCCATCTCTAACTATCAAGATTATTTATTAATAACAAAAGAGCTTCAAATTATTCGAAATCTAAATCATCCTGGAATCACCAAATTTTTTGAAACCTATGAAAATGATGAACATGTTTTTCTGATTTATGAAATGGTAGAATAAGGAGAATTATATGCCTTTATAAAAGAGAGATATCTTTCAGAAGATGAATCCTTATTAATTATCAAACAACTATTATAAGCAGTCCTCTATATTCACTCTAAAGGAATTTTACATAGAGATTTAAAACCTTCCAATCTTCTATTAAGAGATAGAAACACTTTATCAATAGCAATTGCAGATTTTGGGTTAGCAGAATTCTATAGAGTTGATGGAAAATATATATATACTAGATGTGGAACTCCTGGATATGTTGCTCCAGAAATACTACAAGACAAAATTTATGATTATAAAATAGATATTTATAGTGCAGGTGTCATTCTTTTTATGATGCTGAGTGGTGGGAAATCTCCTTTCAATAGCACAGATCCAGAGGAGAGATTGTATTAAAATTATAAAAGTCTTATAGATTATACTTTGGTTTCAAATGTCTCTGAAGCAACATATAATTTATTATAAAGTATGCTTGAACCTGATAATAACAAAAGGATATCAGCAAGAGCTGCTTTAAATCATTAGGTTTTTCGAAATAATAGAGCAAGTAAGTGCTCTCTTGTAATCAAGAAAATTCCTAAAAGTATTGATAAAATAACTACTCCAAGACTCATAATAAATACAAATAATAATTTAGATAAATATTTATAATTATCCCCAAAATTATAAAATTTATAATCAAAACCATAAAATAATATGAAATAGGAAGCTATAAGACGAGGATTTTAAAAAATGTAAACATTCTCTCATAGATCTCCTTAATTATCACCAATATAATCTTAAACAAAATTCGAACCATTTCCTTGATGAATATTGTATTAATTTATATAATTTTAATTCATGTGATATTCTTTATTTAATCATAATCTTAAATAAGAAAATAATATTAATAAAAATTAGTTTAAAATTTATTTATTAACATAATTCATCATAAACACAAAATTAGGAGATAATAATAGTATTATTATTTTTTAATTAATAAATTATAATGAATTAGTAGACTAAATTATTTTAAATTAAATTCTCTAACTATATGCCATACTAACATTGCATGATAATATATGTATTTTAAAATATAAATTAAAATTTGGGATAAATAATAATTTTAATTCATTGATCATTAACGATTTATTCTTCAATTTGTTGACTTTTTTGCCATTTAAAACTTTAACTTGAAAATAACTTTGGTCCTTTAGTCTGTTTAGATAATTCTTTTTCATATAATTTTTACATTATTTTTTCAATTTCTCTTGCTTATGGTCTTTATTATGGATCTTCCTTTAAACATGATTTAATAGCATCTAGAAATTCTTTATCATAATTATATTATTATAGCCTTCCTTCAATTACTTAAGGAGAATAATATCTATTAAATTCTAGACAGATTCTTGCCCCTGGATATTAACCTTTATTGGCTACTTCATATATTGTTAATCCATATTGCCATATATCAACAGAATGATCTCTTAATTTTTTTTATTCTGGAGGATTATATTCTGGTGTATTAGTTTGATCAAGATAATCAATATCTATACCTTAAGTATCTTTATTTTAAATAATGGATCTATCAAAATCAGCTATGTGTATTTGACCTTAAAGTATATTTTCATTAGTCAAAAATAAATTCTCTGGTTTTAAATCTCTGTGTTTAATTCCTGCAAAATGTAAAAGAGCTAATCCTTTTATGAATTAATAAGCAATTGCATACACTATTAATTTTGTAAAATAGACAGATGGATTTTCATTCATTAAGTCAAAATATTATCTCAAATTCTTACAATAATATCTCATAAATAAATAAGATTAATCTAAAATCCTTATATATTTAAAACAAGCTGCTATTTCATGATTAACTTCAAATAACTCCATTAATTCAATTTCTCTAATTATATTGACTTTAACATCTTCAATATCTTAATCCTCCTCTCCTTAAATTTTTGTGGATTTAGCTATAATATCTGAAGTCAAGGGAAAACTGAAAATCTTTTCAAAAACAGGTAATTTTTAGAATTTATAAATATGAGAATTAGCTTAAAAGTCAGCCAATTATAAGTAATTGGATATTTTAAAAATATTTTTGAAGACTTTAAAATATTATGCATTTTCATGGTCATTAATTATTAAATTAAAAGTTGATAAAATGGATTCAGTAAAAGATTCTATTGTTTTTGCATCAAAATGAAAGTGATCAATTTCATAAATTTCATCTAATCTAAAATTATTCCTAACTCAATATTAATATATATAATATACTAAATTATTTTAAATAATTTAATGATAAAGTATCTGTTGATTTTTCATAATAATGAAACTCTTACATATTTATAAAAACTAATCCATCAATCAATATTAATTAATCTAGATTTGTGATATTAAAAGGAATTTTTCTTTTTGCCATTTCCAATAGAGCTAAAAGTTAAATAAATATAAAAGTTTTACTTATGCTTAATTAAACAAGGATAGAAATTTTTGTATTTTTATCTAAATTTTTAATTGATTCTGCACTTAATTAGTAATTTTATAAAAATGGATAAACTATAATAAATTAATCATCTTCATGATAAAAGTCTTCTTTATTTATAATATTTAGTATTTTTATTTATTTTATTAAGTAAAACATATCTATAATTTACTTTTATTATCTGTTAAAAGGATAGTAAGCAGCAATATATTTTTATTTTGTTTCTTAATCATTTTTCTTTACTACTATTTAATATTTTTCATAAGGTTTATTTTAATTAGGTGATACATTAAATTCTTAAAGGATGTCGTAATCGGCATTGAAGCTAATTATTTTTATTGATTGAAACATCATTTAATTTATATTAATAAATCTATAGATTTGAAAAATTGTATATAAATAGCAATTATTATATAATTATAAAAACTATGAAAAAAAAAAGTTTTTAATAATAAGAATATAATTAATTGCATTAAAGAATATGTATCATAAGATTAGACATATAATATAATAGTAATTTATAAATTGTATACAAAGTATATCTAAAAAAAAATAAATTCTATAAACCTATTAGTTTAATTATTAAATTATTGATATAAGAGAGTCTTTAAACAATCTATAATAGATTTAAAAGATATAAAGAATATCTTTGTAGTAATTTTATTAATGTAAAAACATAGAGTTATGGCTACCTTGATTTTATCATATGTTTTATAAGTATTCTATCAATAAAACTAAATAGATTATTATAATATACTTTAAATAAATAATTATAAATTTCATCTATAATTCATCATAAATCATCTGAGACAACTTCAGCACTACAACTAGCAAATATAACCTTAGCCTTTGGTTATCCATTTTATTATCCTTTAGATTCAATCTTTTTTACTAATTCCATATTTTCTATTACTCTTCCAAAAACTACATGTTTTCCATTTAACTAGAATAATATATAATTGTATATAATACCCATTGAGTATCTGCTGTTGTAATAAAAAATTAACTTCCATTAGTATTTGGTCCTGCATTAGCCATTGATATACATCCAATTTCATGTTGTAAATTAAAATTTTCATCGTTGAATTTATTTCCATAGATTGACTCTCCACCAGTACCATTTCCTTTTGTGAAATCACCTCCTTAAATCATAAAATAAGGAATAATTCTATGAAATGGGGAACCTACATAGCTTTTGCCATTCTATTCACCAGTACATAAAGCTCTGAAATTTTCTACTGTCTTTGGTACTACTTTTCCAAACAAACCTAAAGTGATTTCTCCTTGTTTCTTGCCATCAATAGTAATACCAATCTTAATTTTGTGTGTGACTGTCTACTTTGATAATTGAGATAAGACACCAAATGACAATAAACAAAGAATAATAACATTCATAATTATTTTTATATTTTATTCATATCAATAGTTTTTATTTAATTTCTTTTGAGTAACAATCATATATCATTATTTACTTTTCCTTATTTAACAATAAAAGTCTAAAAACTATTATATATTGCTAAAGGTATTAGTGTAATAGCATAAACCAAAAAAAATATAATTATAATAAAAGGTAGGTTAATTATTAATAAAATTATCTTAATAGGATCTTGACTTTCACATATTGGATCAATCTTATTTACAAAATAATCAAGTATTTAAGGGATCTAAATAAAGATCATTGAATAAATTGAATATAAAACCAAGATTAATGCTGTGAATAGAAGTTATAAGATTCTCTTAAATTTTGGAATTCTCTGTTATTTTCTTTTCCATGCTTTATATGTATTTATACAATTATCACATTTGCTATTTGAGAATAATGTAATGCTAGTTTATGCTTAGCAATCATAACAAAATTATTTTTTACAAACATAACATTCATATATATTGTATTGCCATTCTCTAAATAAATGTTTAAAATTATACTTAAATTTCATGATTTTCTGATTTTGATGACAGAATTATGGTTAACATAAACTTCTACAACAATTACATCTAAAACATTTATGTTATTCTAAATAGTTTTTTAATAAAATCTCATTACTGCATTCAAGACCAGTATGAATAGTTCTGCATTTATAACAGAATTGAATATGACACAATTAACATTTGCATTAATTTAAAGATATGATTTCTACATTTCCTTAAATATAAGTAGGCCAAACAGACCAAACTCCAGAACAATACTATCCAATACAATGAATTTATTTGGTTATTGGTATCCATTTTATCAATTAATGAGGTTCTAGATATAAATACATGAGTTAATAGTTGATATTTTCATTACAATCATTATGAAAACAATTTACAGTATTATCAAAATTACTTTAAATAAAGGATGATATACAAGTCTCACAAAAAAAGTGATTCTTATTACATACTTTGATCAGCATTTTAGTTTAATAACATATTTAGCATAGAGAAATAGTAAAATCAAATTAAGATGTAGGTGTCATTGTCAATTTACAATAATAATTATTAACAGGACTTTGAAATAATTTGGATTAGGGAGATAAATCATATTTGACTTTTAAAAGAGAGATTTAATCTAAACATTGAAAGCATACATATCGAGCATTAACTTTAGTAAATTTAGAACTGACTATATTTTTACAGCAATGACATTCAATCGAATTCTTATTTTTTTATTTATTTTATTCAATCATTATTATCTGAGATTCATCAAATTTTGTTGAAAATTATTATAATTCCGTGTTAGGATTCATTAATATAAATTAATATTAATATTTAATGTTAAGAATAGGATATTAAAATATGTTCTCAAATCAGATTTAATATAAAAATAAGGTATTTATCTTTGATAATAATTTGATGGTATTGATGATTTCCTTATATTATAGAAAATGAAATATAAAAATTTCAGAATATTAACCTTAGTTGATTGTAGAAAATATATATCATTTAAATAAGACAATTTATCTTTAATGATATTGAGAATAATTTAGTTCACGTAGAATTTTTTTGGAAAGATTTCAGAAAAATTTAGAAATAAATTGTATAATTGAAAGAATACAATAAAACAATATTAGGAAGCATTATAGTATATAAAATTAATTATATGCTTAGGTATATAATTAATTTATATTATATGAAAGATATAAAAAAAAGCAGTTTTTGAGTTAAGAATATACAGAGATACTTAAATGGAATAGATAATAAATTTGAATTTAAGAATGAGTTTTAAAAGAAAGAAAGCTTGCAAAAGGAAATTTAAATTCAGCCAATCCATACTATATTGAGTAATCAAAGTGAGAGCGGGAAAAGCTCAATTATTATTATTTAATTTAACTAAAATTTGTTAATACTTAAGTAGAACATACATGAATTAGATCAAATAGGAATAATTATATTAAACTACTGATATGTAATAGTTAGTTAAAAAAAGTAATATAATTTTCATTCTAATAAAATGAATATTGAATGAATTTAAATATTAAATATCTATAAGGATCGACAATTTATCAGGATGATTTAAGGATCAGATAATTTAGACTGTTACATCAAACAAAATCATAATGTTCTTCTCATCCTCCAAGTAACCGTTCAAATTTTGAACTTCCTAAATGTTACAATGTCGAAATAGATTTCAATAAGTTTATATAACCAAAGAAATTGAAGCCATCATTATAAATAAAATAATAGAAAAAAGAATAATAATAGAAATAACTAAAATTACCTTTGTTATTAAAATAAGAGAGGCCAACTCTTGTAAAAAGGAGAAGGAGTCTTAATTTGTTTGTAATATGATAAAAACGATTGAAAAAAATGATTATAATACAAATTTTAGCGATTATTTTTCTCTATCGTTTTTATTTTGCTAAGTATATTTTTACAAGTTTTCATTCATAGTCTCTTAGTTTTTCAATCAAATAATCTATGACTAAGACTTATTTATCAAATTTTTGACTAGATGATTTTCTAGAGCTTTATGAATCTGATTATACGTCATTTAAATTGAATTCTTCAAGACTCTCTAAAGAGGGACTAGGTAGAGGTCTAAAATATTATTCAATATAATACCTTGTTTTTAATGGTGATGAAGGAGTAAAGTTTAATTTTTACTGAAAAAAGTTTTGATTGGAATCCATTAAGAGTTGTTAGTATATAAAAATATATATTTATTAAATTTCAAATTGATAAAATCACAATTTAAAATTTGTTATTTAATATAATTTACTAATAAATGTGAAATTAGATAGTATATTATTACAACATATGACTTAATTTAGATAAATAAATTATTTTTGAATATTAAATACGAAACTTTTATTTTTGATGACAATTATATTATAATAATCATAATAATTTATGACTTAATGTAGGCATTGAAAGCTCAGTTATTGGAGGTGTGATTGTAAATGTTACTAATCTTTCACCTTATGGAGGAATAAAACTCTTGAAATAATAACCTCTTTCAGGTTTAGTTAATTTACAACCTCCCTTATTTACTAAATTGGTTTCAAAATTAACTTATTGATTGGATTCATTCTTATAGTAAATATAACCAATTCTAAAAATATTAAATAATAATTAACCCTAAATTTCCATTATTGTCCATCTTCATCATTACTCCTGGTAATACTTCTTCTACCTTATTATTAGATCTAACTTAATGCATCATTGTTTAAGGAACAAGATTGGGATCTCTAGGAACTTCTTTCAATTAAACATATTGTTCTCCATAAGTACTCAAAACAACTGAATGTTCATTCCAAGATGGTACATGCCATTTAATTTTTATGTATAATATGTATTTACCAGGAGTGAAATTTACACCTACTCTACCAACATGTGTTTCTATATCTTTATAGAATTTGCCCTCTATATATTCATATCCATGTTGTAATTCCTTTGCTAACAATAGCCTAACATAAGAATAATCATATTTTAATTCTGGTTGAGATCTATATAATCTTGTAGATTCCTAATGAATGGCAAAGAAATATTCTCCTTCTTTTTTAATTTCAAATCCAAAATATGCTCCCTTGTTTCTTTTGATATTAAATCTCATTGAATTGTATATGTAATCAGTTTTGAAATATCCACAAAAGACTGAAAAGAAGTATTTGGTATAATCATCTAATGACATATAAAAGATTCCATCATTCTCTCTTCCTGTATTACCAGCTTACTCTTTTAATTCAGGAGTCCATAACTCTGATTCATCACTCCAATCACCTTTCCATTCTTTACGAGCCCATGGATTTCTTATTTTTAATAAATGAACTTATCCTCTTTATGGATGATTTACAGTCTTAACATTTAAAATAGAATATGCATGTCCTGGTTCTAATCCAATGGCAGAATAATCAGCATTTTTACTATATGTACCAGTCACCATAACACACTTTTATTTAACACAAGTAATGAAATTTTCTTTGAAACTAGGTTTGTTTGTTAATAATAACCAAACTGGACCTCCTGTTATTGTTTTGATAACTTCTCTAGGATCTCCAGCATCAATATTAGTATATGATCCATTTACTTTTGCCCATGTTTTTTCTAATAATGACACCCAAATCTCTTTATCAGAATTTTTAGTAAATGCAATTTTACCATTTTTTACTGGTATATTATCATCAACAGGGATAACCTTCCACTCTCCATTAATACACATCTTAACACCATAAACACCAAATTTATTTGCTCTTTAAATTGGAAATAGATCTTTAATTTAATCAGGCCTAAATTATTGATTTACATATATACCATTTGCATGCTATAGAACTTAAAGTTGACATAAAATAGCAATCACCTAAATCTCCTTAACAAATATCTCTATGAGATATCCATTTATTTAAACCAACACCACTTTTATCATGTTAAGTGTCTATTGAAAAAACTTTTTGTTCTCCTTAAAAAAGTTCTTACAATCTTTACCAGCTATTGCCACTGAATTTAGGTCCTAAACTCTTTACATTTGGAGGGAAATCAGGATCTGTAAATATTTCTTATGTTTATTAGCATCTTTTTTAAAGATCAGCCAATTCTTTAACTCCAGGAATCTTAAAATCAACTCCCATAAAATCTTTAAATCTTTCATCTTCTTCTCTTGTCAATTCTAAACTAATTGTTTGATTTTATTTAGGTACAGTTAATAGATTTTATGTTTCTAAAATCAAATAAATATTCATACTTGATGGAGCTTCCAATATCACTTATGGATCACCTTAAGTATTTTCAAAAACGATTTCTTACCATTTTTCAAAAAGACTAACAATAACACTCTCAGAAAGTGGATGATCAGGAAACTCTTCTCTAAGCTTTTTGAATTGAGCATCTGTAATTGCCACGTAAAAAAATTCTAATAAATTTCTGAATTCAGGGTCTTATAATTCTTTATCTTTATTTTTATCATAGAAATTATACAATCTCNATGTACCAGTCACCATAACACACTTTTATTTAACACAAGTAATGAAATTTTCTTTGAAACTAGGTTTGTTTGTTAATAATAACCAAACTGGACCTCCTGTTATTGTTTTGATAACTTCTCTAGGATCTCCAGCATCAATATTAGTATATGATCCATTTACTTTTGCCCATGTTTTTTCTAATAATGACACCCAAATCTCTTTATCAGAATTTTTAGTAAATGCAATTTTACCATTTTTTACTGGTATATTATCATCAACAGGGATAACCTTCCACTCTCCATTAATACACATCTTAACACCATAAACACCAAATTTATTTGCTCTTTAAATTGGAAATAGATCTTTAATTTAATCAGGCCTAAATTATTGATTTACATATATACCATTTGCATGCTATAGAACTTAAAGTTGACATAAAATAGCAATCACCTAAATCTCCTTAACAAATATCTCTATGAGATATCCATTTATTTAAACCAACACCACTTTTATCATGTTAAGTGTCTATTGAAAAAACTTTTTGTTCTCCTTAAAAAAGTTCTTACAATCTTTACCAGCTATTGCCACTGAATTTAGGTCCTAAACTCTTTACATTTGGAGGGAAATCAGGATCTGTAAATATTTCTTATGTTTATTAGCATCTTTTTTAAAGATCAGCCAATTCTTTAACTCCAGGAATCTTAAAATCAACTCCCATAAAATCTTTAAATCTTTCATCTTCTTCTCTTGTCAATTCTAAACTAATTGTTTGATTTTATTTAGGTACAGTTAATAGATTTTATGTTTCTAAAATCAAATAAATATTCATACTTGATGGAGCTTCCAATATCACTTATGGATCACCTTAAGTATTTTCAAAAACGATTTCTTACCATTTTTCAAAAAGACTAACAATAACACTCTCAGAAAGTGGATGATCAGGAAACTCTTCTCTAAGCTTTTTGAATTGAGCATCTGTAATTGCCACGTAAAAAAATTCTAATAAATTTCTGAATTCAGGGTCTTATAATTCTTTATCTTTATTTTTATCATAGAAATTATACAATCTCTAGATAGGTACCTTCTTTTCTCTGACTCCTCTTATAATATTCTTTAATAAGGGTAAAGATTCATAAGAATTTGATGATCCAGCTCTCAATGTAAATTCTTCATCATCAACTATTTATTAATAAATATCTGCTGTTATTCCTTCAGAACTTTTGAATTTGGTAATCACCTTTAAATAAAAGTGTTTAATGTCTTCATTAGGGATATTTGGATCGAAAACTTACACTAGTTATCTTATTTATTCTAAATTCAAAGTTTAGGTCTTAAATTCATGTACCAATTCTTCTGGACTTCTTAACATAATAAATTAAGAAAGGGCTTCTTAAATTAATGAATCTTAACTCATTTTGGATATTTTATTAAATAATTATTAACATAACATTAATTGGATATGAATTCCATAATTATTTTTAAGAAATATCTCAAATAAACAATTAAATTTGATTGATAATTTAATTGATTTATATATACTCATATTGTTTATATAAAAATTGATATTTAAATCAATAATAAAATAATTTAACATAAGTTTAGTATTATATTAATTTAAAATTTTATTTATTAAAAAGTATTAATTGTTAAAATACACTTATCAAATCAAAATAATCCCTAATCTCTTTTTTCATTTAATAACCTAATTTTACTGTTGGAAAAGTAATAATTTTCACATTGTTGTGCAGATAATTAAATTTAATTAGTTTAACCATCTTATTCATCCATTAATTCAGCATCATCATCATCATCATTAAAAACAATACTATCTTTAATAATCTAAAATTTATATATATTATTTTAGGAATCATCACTATCTTCTAAAAAACAATCTTTCAATTTTGATTTATTCCACAATGGTGATGTACATTTTATACTCAAAAATTTTTAATGTTTTTTATGTCCAGATAAATTAGTTAATGTTGATAAGATTAAATTATTTGTTAAACTAGGAGGTAATTTAAACCATTCATGTTTTAAAGCCTCTTATGCTGTAGGTCTTTTCTCAGGATTTTCATTTAATAAACTAAAGACAAATTACTTTGCCTTATCTGTAATATTAATTTATTTTAATTATGATGCATTTATTTTCGCTTATAAATTATTTTAGTAAATTTCTATTGTTGAATTTCCTACAAATGGCAAAGAACCTGTAAATAATGTAAATAAAATAACTCCTATTGAATAGATATCAATCTTTTAATCATATGGTTTATTTCTTAATACTTCTGGTGCTATATATCCTATTGTACCACATTTTTCTAAATATTATACATCATTTTTATAAAATTCAGCCAATCCAAAATCTGCAATTGCAAAATCTGTGTAATTATTTGAATCCTTTAAAATTAAATTTTCTGGTTTCAAATCTCTATGCATGATACCTGTTTAATGAACATAATCAATGATTTTCAATAAATTTGATGCAAAATCCATGACAAATTATTCATTATATTGATATGAAGGTGATCTAATTTAATCCAATAGTTCACCACCATTTAAACATTCTAATATTATATATATCTTCTTTTTATTTTCAAAAACTTCATAGAATTTTGTAATACCATCATGATTTAATTATCTAAGAATAGATATTTCTTTAAGCAAATGAGACTAAAATTATATTTATATAATACCAAGGAGGATTCATTAATTTTATTTTTTTCAAATTATTTTGTTGCAAAAGTTTTACCTGTTTTTATATTTAATATTTTATAAACTTTTGCTTATGAACCTCTACCTAATAATTCACATTTCTTAAATTTATTTTTGAAATTTCTTTAAATTGTGTAATGCTTTAAATGTTCAAACCATTTAAAGAGAGATTCCTTTTTACCATATATTTAAAACTTTTTTCCTTCTTTTTATAATAAAATGAAAGAATCATATATTTAGTTTTATTTAGATTCATCATAAGTAATTTAGCAATTTTCAAAATTAATAAATTTATTCTTCATTACAAGATATTAGTTGAACAAATAATAATGCTTTTTAATTAAAAATTTATCTTTTTTGTTTTAAAAATAGAGATGTTCATCACTTTTTGTTAAATTAGCATTCTTATTATTAAAATACATTTGGAATTCTTTTGTGATTAATTAAGATTCAAATTTTTCTTATTGATTCTTAATAATTTCCTATGTATATTACATAATCAAATTTTAAATAGTAAAATTAATAAAAATATTACTAGCAAAAACATAATTACTTATAATTTCATACATATTAAATGAAGAGACACATTATTTATATAATAGTTACAATAAAATTATAAGATAATATTATCAATATTCTTATCATTTTCTACCTCCTTTAATACTTAAGTGATAAATTTATAGTAGACTGGATGGAGATTTAGTATATTTATAGAAATCATCATCATTCATATCCTCTAAATTGTCTTCTATACTTCCCTATCTCAATTTATATTTATATTTATAATCTACTTAAGTTTCCTCCTCTTATACTTAATCTTAAATGTCATCAAGAATACTTAAACATTCTGAAGCATTCTTTGATTTAGAACTGTCTGAGAGAGTAAGCTTAGAACAAAGATTATTCCATAAAGGAGATTAAGAAATTAAAATATTTTGTAATTCAGGTCTTTTTTTGATGTTTAAGAGTGGTATATTCTTTAATGAAAGTGAAAAATATTGTAAAGTTTCCATTTTAGGTAAATAAAACCAATCATGTTAGAGGGCCTATTATGCGGTAGGTCTTAAATTTGGATTTTATTCTAAAAGACATTTAACAAAATCATATGCATGTGTGCTTATTTTAGCCTTTTCTAATTATTAAAAATCAATATTGCATGAGTAATTGTTTTTAATAACTTCATTAGTATCTTTTCCATCAAATGGACTAGAATCTGTTAATAACATAAACATGATAACTCCAACAGAAAATATATCAACTTTATAATCATAGATTTCATTTCTCAATATTTCTGGAGCTATATATCCTATTGTTCCACATCTTTAAAATATATAATCACCTCTATTATTATATTCATCTGATAAACCAAAATCAGCAATTACAAGATCTGTGATATTATTTTAGGTTCTTAATAATAAATTTTAAGGTTTGATATCTCTATGTAAAATTTTATTTTAATGAATATAATCTAAAGCTTTTAATAAATTTTAGATTAATTCTTGTACCACAGTTTCACTATATACTTCTGCAGAACTAATTGCTTATAATAATTCTCCTCCTGGTAAATAATCTAGTATTAAGTAGAGATGTTTGGCATTCTCATAAACTTCATTTAATCTTATGACATTTTTATGTTATAATTATCTTAGTATCTAAACTTCTTTGAATAGACCTAACTTTGAATACAAATCATTCATTACTTTATTACTGATGTTTTTCTTTTTAAATACTTTAACTGCATATATTTGATTGTCTCTCTTACTAAAAATTTTGTATACTTTAGCATGGGCTCCTTTCCCAGTTAATTTAATAAAATCATAATTCATACGAAAATCATTTTAGATTGTATAAATCTTAATATAACCATACCATTCATCTATAATATCCTTACATCCATATAAATACAAAGTTTCATAATTTGTACTCAATTCTAATCCATAATACTAATTTATAATCATAATAATACATGTTCCTTCATTGTTTTCTTTAGAATTAAGTTTTCCAAATTTACATGTTTATTTTTTGATAATAGATACTAATTCTTTAAATGATAATGAGGTTTCTAGATTAATTCATCCTATCCATTTATGGAATAAATTTTATTATGATGATGATCTTAATTTAATGATCGTACAACTTCAAATGTTTTAAGTGTATTCTATAATTTCCATAAAGCATCATTTCTATTTTGAATCTCATAGAAGTAAGAGTTATTACTTTAATTCATTTATTTTATATTATTATTCACTTAAGAAATATAATTTTGATAGTTTTAGCTGAATCATATACTCTAAGTACTTTTTTTAATTAAATTTTTAGACTATATTAATAAATTCTTGATCAAATTCATTATGTTGATCAGTTTAATAAAATTAAAAAGCATTTTATGAAAAATATTTAAAATGATTGATTAATTAAGTTTTAATAATAAATTTAAGTAAGTTAATTTTATCTTATCAATTATATACTAAAATATTGATAAGATAAATTATGAAATCTATTAAAAGTACTTATAAATTTAACTTGATTTTATAAACATAATAAATTAAATACTTATCCCTTATATAGTTTATTCATATTATTTTAAAAAGTAAATGTTCAAATGTCAAATTTAAAATGTTGTTAATTTAAAATATTCACATGAGATATTAATATTAATCATTTATATTTTTATATTATAATTAATAACAGAAAAATTGATTAATTTAGAATGCTCAGGATTCAAAATCGCATTAAATAGGATAATGCTGAATTGCTGGCTATTATAGATAGATGTGCATGTATGATATTATTTGAAGTTAGAAATTATGAAAGAAGACAGGTTGACTCTTAGACAAATGATAAAAGACAATAATTCAGAAATAATTTCATTAGTTACAACTTATAAAAAGAAAAATGGTATTAATATTCATATAATATTTTAGATTTAAGATTGTTATAATAAGAATTAAGAAAATTGTTGAATAAGATTAAAGGCAAATAATAATAATAATAATAAAATCAGATTTAATTTAATACTAGAACATCAAAAGAAAACTAATTAAATATTTCTTAATCTAAAACCTCACGAACTCCTTCTAGATAAACTGCAAGTATTTAAAAAAATAGAAATTTTGTAAGTCCACCTAAAAGATCTTTAAGCAGATAAACTAAATAGTCAATAATTCCAAAATAAGAAAACTCTCCAAGATTTAATGAAGATATAAAATAAAATAGTCCTAATTCCCCAGAATTTCATTTGTATATAATTAACATTAAATATTAAGTGTTTCACCAAATAAAATTGAATAATAAAGATAATAGTTGGAATAATTTGAATAAAAACTAAAGCAATATACTTAAGGGGATAACTTCTAAAAATTATTTGATTAATAAGAATATACAAAAAAGAGAGATGATGTTGTTCTAGCTAGTTTTTAAAATGTATTTTAATTATTATTAATTAAATAGTTTACAATTTAACATTCAGAACCTGATAAAGATTAGAATAAAGATAAAGAGGAAGAATTATTATCATAAAATCTTCATAGAAGACAGCATTCTTATATGTCAATGCCAAAAGAAATTGGAATTCATCAACATCATAATACAGAGATAATAGAAATAAAATTATCAACATAAATAAAACAAGAACCATAATAAACATTCGAAAATTCTTATTAAGAGGTTGGAACTGATAATTAAGAGTATCAAAATAACCAAAGATATGGATATGGAAAATATAATTAAGATAATATAAATAACATTTAAGTTAAATAATAAACTATAATTGAAGAAGATAATAAATAGTATTTTGAAAATTAAAATGATAATATTTATCAATCTTAATTATTAGATAAATATGAAGAGGATGAATATGTTTAATTTTAAAATACTTAAAATGAAAGATAATAAACATAATAGTTTGTAGCTACTAATGATGAAGATTAATATAAACCAGTAATTACTGAAGATGAAATAATGAAGAAATATGCAGATCTTTTTACAGCACCTGATTTTTTGAAATAATGTAGAGCTACTTGCTAAACTCAGAAAACACTTGATTCTTTTGCTGATAGTAGAAGTCTTAATTTTATAGTTCCCTGTTAAAGTATGGTTTGTTAAGATGTTGAAATTACTAAAAAAGGAAAATATTAATTATTATCATAATTAACAGCTGAATAAATATTTGATGAAATTTTTCCTGAATCTTCTTTATAAAAAATAAGCAAAGCCTTTTTTAGGTTTAAGATGGAGGTTGTATTTTAATAATTGTAACATGATCCTTCATAAGAGGAATTAGATGAAATGTTTTATTAGGTTGATATTCAAAGAGATGGATTTGTAGATGTGAATGAGATGGGATAATTTTTAGATAGTGTTTGTCCTAAATAAGATAGATAAATTTATAATAAAATTGATAGAAGTAATAAGGGATATTTTGATGAATAAGAATTGAGTTAATAGTTAAATAAAAATATTGCTAAACAATACTTTTAAGAATTGGATTTATTAAATACTAATAAAATAACATATTGGGAATATTATTTAAAGTAATATATACTATTTATATAGACGTACTACAAATATTGGACAATAAGTTATTAATATGATATAAAAAAGTTTAGATTGATTAAATTTTTAATATAAAATTATTAATTTTTTATTATATCGTTAATGTTAACTTAGAAAGAATCATTAGGAAAGGAGGAAGATTTCAATTTGAATAAATTTCGGGATTCTTTGTATCTTAGAATGTCCAGTCCTAGTACCTTAAAAGTAAGTAGCACACGTAAGGAGGATAATTCAGTTAAGAAATCTTCCAAATCTTCTCTTAATACTGATTTGCAACATAGAAAAAGGTGGGTTAAATATTTATAAATAGTGCTCCATCATTTGATGAATTACTTAAATCAATGAATAATGGTAGTGGGTTTACATAATTATAGAATGGATCAAATCAAAAAAAAAGTATAAATGATTCATCTAGAAAAATGAGTGGGTTATAACATAAAATAGAATGTTTTGGTAACAATGAAATAAATTAGCTAACAAAATTATCTCAACCGTAATCCTTATATAAATTTTAGATTTATTAGCAATTAGCCCCTCTATTAATCAACAAAAGCTTAACAAAAAAGAACCACATTCTCTAGCAGTATTACAGAAAAACCTGTATTTAATAAAGGCTCTGGTAAAACACTTTTGGATAAATTATCTTTAAAAGAATTGATAGAACTAAGAAGTAAAGTTGATCATAGTACTTAATCAGAAGTTCATTAATTATCAGCTAATTATGTTTAAGAATTAGTAAAATTGTCTTAAATTATAACAAAGCAAGTTAAAAATGTTAAATATTGATACAAAGTATCTATCTACATTAATATAAAATAAAATCATATTGTTTTAAAGTCCTCTTAGAATAATATAATAAATAGTAACCAAACAATTTTTATGATAACCTAAAAAAATATTATGAAATTTGTTGAATGGTAATATGAATTTGTATTATTTAATGGATAAATCTCTACATTATTTTAATAAAATAATTCATATTAATGATTGTAAAGATATATTCAATTATATTATAAATAAAAAGACACAAATATTATGTTTATACAATAAATACTCAAAAAAAAGAGATTTATAATAGACATATAAATGAGATTAATAAAATAAAAATAAAGTAATGTTCAAAAACAACTTCTATTCATATGTTGGTGGTACAAGATCAGACATTGCTATGAGTATTGAATCATACTTTGAAGTGATGGAGGTCCTTTTGGATTAATATTTAAGTAGAGAAGTAATCAATGGCTATCTTAATATCTCTAGATGTTGTTCAATTTCAAAAACTGCAGTCAAGTATTGAATGATATTGTTGTATCTGCACCTTTGGCCTTTTTGCCATTTTCACTTATAGGAACATAATGGTTGTTTGCAGGTGCCAATAGAAAAGGTGCTAATAAAGCTTATGGACCAATCCTTGCTTCTGTTCATATGTTGGTATTATGGAGAGCATATACTGCCCCAATTCCAAATAAATTATTTACTAAAATCATTGCAGATCCTACAGTTGATGGATAATACATTAGGTATAAATTTATAAATCATTTAAGAACATAATTATCTGTAATGAAACCTGGATTGTGGTCAGTTTTAAGTAGAGAATTGTATCACAAGGGATATAGATTCCCAGAAATGTTGGAATTCAAGACTGCTACTGAATTCCCAACTGGATTTGTTAAACCATATTGATGGTACATAATATATAAAATATATCCAATAATTTAATACAATTTTTTATTAATATAAAAATATATTAGTAAATGCAGACAGATGAACCATTTGTGACTAATTTTTATATCGAATAATAAATAAAAATATTAAAACCACATCCTATAGCTATTAAATTAAGTGTCGATATTTTATAAAATTACTATTAATTGTAAGCAGTAACATATAACATTATCAAATATAATAGAGAGAATCAATTAGAACATTACAATCATAATTGTTAAAAATTTATAAGTTTTTCTAATAAGATCAATTTGAAGGATAATAGGAGATCAATGATAAAATAAATAATTTACTTGACAAAATTAAAAAAATTGATGATAACTCTATTAAAAAAATACCATTTCGACGTTCAGTCAATAGAAAATCATTAGCAAAGTATTTTAGTTGTTTTTCAAATTTAAATAGATCTTTTAAAATGTTATCTTTTAAATTAAGAATAAGTTTTGATGCAATCATTATAATTTGGATTAACAAATAAAGTATTCCTAATCAACTGAAATGGTCTTGTCAATGTATTAAGAATATACAAAAGTACATCTCCTTTTAGTAAAAAAAGTTAATTGAATCAAGATCAAGAAAGAGTAGCAAAAAACCAATTAAAAATGTTTATATGCAGAATTTGTGAATAATAAATGTAGGCCATAGATATGAATCAACATTGTATTCAATGTGAAAAATATGCTGAAAGTAAAAAAAGATTAATAGAGTTGAATCTAGAATTAGCAAATTTATGTGATTAAGCATATTAAGAAAAAAGAAATGTTTAAATTAAATTAGCAATCAAAAAGTATCAATATTAATTGATATTTAGAATGAAAGATAAAAATAAATAAAAGCAATAAACAAATGATTAAATTTACTTTAGAAGAACATAAACCTATGATGATTAAGATGATGAAGATGTTAGTGAATATTAATAAGAATAAAATTAAATTGCAAATATAATGACATAAATTATCAATTTTGCTGAAAAAACACTAAATAATGAAGTAGAAATTGAAGATACTAAATGTAATAATTATTTATAATTAGTAACTCTTATATTATTAAATGATTTAGTAAGTTCTACTGAATATATTGAAAACTAAGAGGCTTTAAATGTAATTAATTCCACACATAAATGTTTATTGGAGAGACTTGAATATCATAAAAAGCAAGAAGTATATAAAAATAATGTTAAAAATTAATCATAATAAGATTAATCTGAAGATAATATTAATAAAATAAGAAGAGCTTTTACTAAATCAAATTCTATTTCATTTAGACTCCCAAAATTCTAAAATACTCCATCCTCTTCTTTATAAAGAATATCAACAGATCCTATTCAAGAAGAAGAAGATTCACCAACACAACTTTAAATGAAATCATCATAAAAAATTATATCTTAAAGAAGAGGATTTAGAATGAATTCTTCAATTTTTAAGGTAAGTGATGGTTCTGAATCCCCTAAATCTTTAAAGAATATATAAACATCAATAAATTAATCTAAATCAAATAGTTTAAATAATAATGAAAGTAACTAATCTATAAATTCAAATTTTACAGATATTAAGGTTGATTAATTTTAGAAATATTCAAATAATGAATAATAAAATGAATAAGATTAATAATCTATTGCTGAAGTAAAACTTTCATCATTCAAAGCACAACTTTAACCATTAACAGTTGAAAAAAGATAACCATCATTATAAGAAATTAGTCCTGTTATGGAACCATTAAATCTATCAATAAAAGAAGGAGAAAATTCATCAAATATATCAAGTTTTGACTCTGGATAATCTAATTCGGCAATTAATAATGATTTAAATTTATTAGCTTTACAAAAAAGAACTTGTAAATAAAAATAAAGAAAAAAATAAAATTTTTAATCTTAAGATATTGAAAAAATGTAATAGTGTCATTATAAGACTTAACATAGAAAAAGTAGATTTTATGAGAATTAGATTTGTAAATCTCCAATAGTTTTGCATGATTATGGAATGGATGAAATTTAAATTGATAAGGGATATCATTCAGATTCAAATTTAATTAAAACTACAAGTTATTAATAAAATTAAGTATCATAAGTTGGAATTAAAGATTTTGAATTTATTAAACCATTAGGAAAAGGTGCTTATGGATGGGTATTTCTAGTTAAGAAGAAAGGATCTGGAGATTTATATGCATTAAAGATAATTGATTGTGCTTAAAGAGTAATATTTTTTAAATGATTTAGAACTTAGAAGCATTTCTTGAATAACTTAAGGCAGAAAGAAATATATTTGAAATTTTAAATAGTAATTTTGTAGTCAAAGCATACTTCTCTTTTGTGCATGAACAATATTTATGTTTTGTTTAAGAATATATGGTTGGTGGAGATCTTGCAAGTATTTTAAAAACATATACAGTATTATTTTTTATATATGTTTAGGCTTTAGATGAATTTTATGTTCGTCATTATATGGCAGAGATTGTCTTAGCTTTAGATTATTTAAGATAATAAAATATTGTTCATAGAGATTTAAAACCAGAGAATATTCTATTAGATTGTCAAGGACATGCAAAACTTGCTGATTTTGGTTTATCTGAATAAGGAGTCAATAGTAGATTAAAATTAAAGGATAGTATGAATTCATAAAATACTATTGAAATACCAACATGTGTTGAAAAAATGATTGATGAATAAGGTTATCAAACAGTATATAAATAATTGAAGAAAGTAGAATCAATATTAGTGGATAAACCTGGTAGTAAAACAAAAAAGTATATTGTTTATAAAATTTAGAATTGTAGGCACTCCTGATTATATTGCTCCTGAAATAATATTGGGTACATCTGCTAGTAATTTCAGTTGTGATTATTGGAGTTTAGGAATTATTATGTATGAATTATTGTGTGGAATTGCTCCTTTTAATGATGATACAGTAGATAAAATATTTGATAATATTGTTAATATGAGAATAGAATGGCCATAAATTGGAGATGCAGAAGATTGTATATCTGAATAGGCTTAAGATCTAATGATTTAATTACTAGAACCTGATTTTAAAAATCGTTTAGGACATAAATCTATTGAAGAGATTAAAAATCATCAATTTTTTAAAGGTATTTTATATGTATAAACCAAAGGAATTTCCTGGAATACATTGTTAAGTAAACCAGGTTTGATTGTTCCTGAATTGAATTTTGAATTAAAAGATACAGAAAAAATGTTATAATTCTTAAAAAAATTAGAAAAAACAAATAAAGATAATGAGAATAAGAAATTAACATAATAATTAAAGGCACAATTACAAAGTTTAGAAAGAATTGATCTACTTAAATAGAGAAGTATTTAGGAATCAGAGAAATACTTGTATTTTTATTTTTATTAATTAGATAACAAGTGAAAAATGAAGAAACTAAATTAAATAAATAGATTGATTCTCTAACATAATTTTTTGCTAAGATTTACTAAACTTATTCGTAGATGTAGTGAATAAATATTGCATTAGTAAAAAATCATTATTCATCTTTTGTTAAATTTACAATTTTGTAATCTTTTCCACAAGTTTCTTTGAATTTTAAAAATTTCATTCTATCTGTATTAACATTAAGTTTTGCTGGTTTTTGACTTATTACTCTTTCAAAAGTATCCAATCTTTAAGTTTCACATCTTTTTTTGCTATTCCAATCTTTTGATAAATGAAAAGATAAATTCATTTGATCTCCAATAAAACCATTTGTATTATTAAATTCAAGACATTCATTTTAATTACGATATTTGTCATAACCTAAAATTAATAAATATAAATTAACTTATATTTCTATGTTTTGATTGTTTTTATGTTTCATATTGATGTAAATTATCTAAAATTCTTTTTTTTCTATTTAAAAAATTAACATTTTATCTTAAAGATTTATATAATTCTTATTCTTTTTTAATTAATTATAAATCTTATAATCTTTGTTTTGGTTCTAATGGTAATCCTAAATCTTTAGAATAATCTAACTTATCAGAGTTATATTGAAAAGAATAGTTTTTCTATTTAAAATCATTTCTAATATTTTCGAATATATCACTATGAAACTGAGTTTATTTTTATCCAAATATTTTTTAGTTGCAATTAATATCATCCTTAAATCTTGGATAATGTTCAATAAAAATATAATCAGGTTTTGTAGTCCCTCTTATTTTTGGATATAATTCAGATTAATTTAATGATGATTTTTCAAGTCTTTTAGAAAAAACTGATGTTTTTAAGAAATTATCAAATTTAGTAACTGGATTATCTATTCTATCATAAGCCTCATGTACTTGTTTGTAACCTAAATTTCTATATTATTTAGTAAAATCTAAATAAGAATTAGTTACTTTGTTCATAACAATTATTTTATATAATAAATTTTAACAAATAACAATAATTATAAAATAAACTAATAATAAACTTTAGAAATTATTACATATATCATATTAAAATCTTGCACTTTACATATATTAGACAATATTATGAATGATTTTTGGATTTGTATTATGTTGATTTGAAAATACTATAATTTCAATTATTTAAAGTAATATGAAAATTAATTCAATAAGAGAAATAACAATTTAGTTGGATAAATATTATTAAGATGATTTATAAAGATTTAAAAAGTTGAATAAATAGAAAGTAAAAGACGAAGGTTTACTTTAGAAGGAATAAAATTTATTGAAAGAATGGGATTATTATAAATAAAGTAATATAAATTATATTGCAACACATACAATTCAATCTGAGACTCTTAAGATTTGTTTATGTGAATTTAAAAGAAAAAGATAGACAACAATGGAATTTTGGATAAAAGTTGCTTATGATTTGATGAATGAGTAAAAATTTGGTAGAGTAATAAGAACTAAACTTTTTGGATAATTTTATAAGAATTAAAATGATTTAATCTTTTAATTAATACATAGATAATGGCCAAAAAGATGGTGTAGTATTGAGGATGATTCATGCTTAAACTTAGAAATCATATAACTTTATCTAGAATATTTACCTATTCGATTATTTTTATAATAAAATATTAATGAATAGACTAATATATTAGTTGATATTAGAAGAATGCCATATCTTTAAGAAAATTACATTTTTAGATTTGCAATAAAATAAGAATTATTCTTTCCAAGTGTTAAATATAGTGGATATTAAATGTTATAATAAATAACTAATTCAGCTAATATATTTTGTACATAATATATATCTTTTATAAAATGCATAACACCTTTAATAATTCCAATACTTAATTTAATGATCTGTAATAAATCTGAAGGGAGAACAATTAATTTATATGGTACATAATATTAATTTATATTTGATTTGTTATTGTCCTTAAAGATAATTGGAGCAAATAAAATTGAGTGTATAAAAAATTCGACTAGATCTATCAAAACATATGATCAATTACAGAAATACAAATTAAAGAATTAAATGAGTGAAATAATAATAACTAATATGGAATAATATCACATAAATATAGATGTACTTAATGATATAAGGGATAATTTAAAAAATGGATATTTAGCAATTATAGATCAAATTGGTAAATAAAATGAAGGTATATAAAAAAGATTAATTATAATTTGCAGCTCTAAATAATTAAATTTTGGTAATATAGATCATAAAATAAGTTTTCAGAAATTGCCTGATTAAGATATTGAATAAATATTATTAAGATGTGACTATTAATTCTTAATATTTTATACTAATATGCTTTTTAATTATCATGAATTGGAATATTAAATAGATAAATTTAGATAGAGAAATGCATAAATAATGATTTGCATGTGGAGTTATGTATTTTCATAATTTTTTTTAAAGAATCAAGATATATTATAAATAAATGATGTTAATATCACTAAATAAGAGGTATCAACTTAAAATTAAATTGAAGAACCTTTAATATTACTTTCTGATATAGAGGAATAAATTACTCCTTAAGATAATTAAATCACTCGAAAGAAAATGTAAAATATTGAAATGGGCTAATTATAATGAAATTATAATATTTTATTACATAATTTTTACAATTAACCTTCACTATGATGCTAATTATTATTATTATGAATAAATCAAATATTCATTTGTCATATAGTAAATCAAATATTCTTTTGCCATGCAGTAAATAACTTTTGCATTAAGAAGATAATTCAATTTTAAAAATTGAGTCTGTTGAATCAGAATCTCCATTAAAAGAAATTCATAGAGATCAGGATGATAATGAAGATTCTGAGAAAATTTAATTATCTATTTAACATGAAATATTTAAAAATGAAAAATAGACTATAGAGAACCCTAATCAATGTTAAAATTTTGTTTATCCAAATCCATTAGAAGAGTTAAGAATTCCATTTGATAAAATTTAGTTTATTTTATAGCCTATTTAAAGAGAGAGAATCTTATAATGTTAAATTCGTAAAGTTAACATCTAATCTCCAAAATAAAATGCAAAATATGAATTAATTATGTGTGATTTACCAATTTTGATAGCTGAAAAAGTTCATACATTATTTAAAAGGAAAATTATAATTAAATAATCAGGTTTGAATTATTATGCTGGAAAATTAAAATGGGATAAATATGGTTAGAATTTCATATTTATGGACAATAAAGTAAATCCTAAAAAATGTTCTACTATTAGTATGCATAGATTATGTACTGGAGGAGCTAATTATTAAAAAACTGGAAAGTAGAAGCCTCATCGAATTAGAGTAATTTAATGATTGAGAATAGGTATATTTGCCAGAGATAGACTCAAGTAATTAGATGTATTAATACCGTTTAGAAAAGTGTAAATACTTTGACAAAAAGCCTAAATTTTTTTAAGAATTTTAGAATAGAGAAGCAGAATATAGTAAAGAAGCAAAATAATTTGTTTTGCCGTTTTACAATAGAGCTAAAATAGCATCATCTAAAAATTTATAGTTGTGTTAATAAGATAAAAATTAAGTTTTTTTTCTTTTAGGAAAGGTTGATAAAGGGTTATACAATCTCGATTTCTAATGGCCAATATTTCCTTTGTAGGCATTTTAAATAGCAATGTCATGTTTTGTATCTAGAGCTTCAGATTGATTAAATAATTAATATTTACATTATAAATTAATACAGCTTTAAATGTTCCTTAATCCTTAATTAATAGAGGATGCTCAAGAATCTGCTAATCAAACTCCATAATATAGTTAAAGATAATAACCTAAAGGAAGATCAAATGTTACTAAATTTTAAGCAAAATCAAAAGAAGAGCCTAAATAAGAAAATAAACCTTTGAGTAGAATTTAATAAGTAATAATCATAATAAAGATTTCAGAAAGAGATAGAAATATAGAAGAAATAGTCAGAATCTCAAATAAAATAGAATGATGAAATGGTTGAAAGTTTAGTTTAATTCGATTCAGATCCAGAATAATAAGACACAAATAAATATACAAATCCATTAATAGATAGTCAAAATAAATAAGAAGAATAAAGAGTATATAATAAATAAGAAGAATAAATAGTATATAACAATATAATTATTTATAGCCTTAACAATAAACTAAACTATAAGGCAAAATTGAATTCAAATAGTAAATTGTATTAAAGAACAATTAACAATACAAAAAAAATCTTGGTCAGAATTAATCTACTTATGATTAAGATTTCGAATTAGAAATTGAGAAAGTAACTATCAAAATTTATATAAGTTATCTATAATTGGAAATAATCATAATTAATATTATGAACCTGGTCAATAATTAAGTTAGAATGATTCATTACCTTAACTCTAAAAGAAGGATCAAAAAATTTAATTTGTTGAAACTTTATATTAACAAACCAAACAACAATAAAATAATATACAAGAAGATTAGGTTATTATATAAAATTAGTTAATTTAAGAAGAAGAGAAAATAATATAAAATAATGATAAATATCAAGAATTATAAGATATAGAAGGTCAAGATGAAGATGATGAATTATTATATTAATAATAAAAAGAATAAGAAATAAGGAAAGAGTTGAAATAATAAAATGACAAAATATAAATGGATCTCCCCCATGATACACCAGAAGTTGTAGAGTAAGAAGAAAATAAACAACAAATCCAATAAGTTCCTTAAGAATAACCTAAATAAACTTGTCCATATCCAAAACCTCTCATTTCTATTGAGATGCCTCATGGAAAGAAACATTTTCTTTTAAATCCTGCACCTAAAGGAGGGATGATATAATGTACAATAAAAAGAGATAGAAGTGGAATGAGCAGATTTTATCCTAAATATCATTTACATATATCAAATGGATTTTTGTATTTAATGAGTGCAAAAAAGAGGGCTTGTAATAACACAAGCAATTATATAATCTCTATGTCAAGAGAGGATTTAGAGAAAGGGAATAATTTTATTGGAAAAGTTAGAAGTAATTTCATGGGGACTGAATTCATTTTATATGATGATGGATTAAATCCTGAAAAAACAAAAGATTAATCTAAAATTAGATAATAACTTGGTATCATTTAATATGAAAGCAATATTCTAGGATCCAAAGGACCAAGAAAAATGGTGGTATAATATATTATTTTTATTAAGGTATTATTACCTAATTTAGATGAAAGAGAATAAATGTATGTTTTTAAACCTACTAATTCAAAGGATGGAATACTAAAAGAATATTAAAATAACAATAGAGATCATATTGTAACATATGTTAATAGACCTCCATAATGGAATAGTAAACATAAGGCTTTTGTTCTAAATTTCTATTAAAGAGTAGATAAACCAAGTGTCAAAAATTTCCAACTCATTGTTTAAAATAAGGAAGACAATATTTTACTACAATTTGGAAGAGTCGGAAATGATCTCTTTAATTTAGATTTCTAATATCCTATTACTCCTTTATAGGCATTTTAAATTGCATTAACAAGTTTTGACTACAAAATTGCATGTGAATGAAATGTTTTGTCAATAAATAAATTAACAAATTATATATATTTTCAAAACAAATGTAAAGTAAATAACTAGATTGGATTTGTATTGGATGCAAAAACCTCAATTATTCCTTCAGAAAGTATTGTAATCGTTGTCACACGTTTACAAAAGATGCTCCAGGAACTAAATTTATTCCTCTTGAATAACCCAGCATCATAGATTCACTTAAACTTTAAGAACATAATCTAACAGGTAGTGGACATAGCACTGCTGATAGTGTTGGTAGTATTACCTAAGATCATACCGCATTTCATCAAGCACTTTTCCTAGAAAATTTATCATACACAAAGTAAGAAACGGTCAATAAGAACTTCAATTTTATGAAATCATGTAGAATTTGTGCAACAGAAAACTACTTTTATTAATCCAAGTGTAAATAGTGTGGGTTTTAAATCTCTAATTGATTTCATATCAACTTTCAACATCTTATGATTATTCATATTTATTTCTTGTTCTAAAAATTAACACATTTAATTAACTAAATATATGATCTATTTATAATCAAAATTCTTCAACTTTTTAATATTAACGCTCTATTTGGAAGCTGTTTGTCTTTTTTTATTTTTATTATTATAATTCATTTGTTCCTAAATATTAGTATCATCCAATTCTAAATTTTTTATTTAAATTTAGAAATAGTAGATTCATAATTCAATTATCTATGATATTAATACTTTAGTTATACAATTCTCAAATGATAATCTCAATTATCTATATTTTATAAGCATAAAATTAATTAAATCTGATAAATTCTTACGTTTTACCTAATATTTAATAAAATTTTATTATAAACTGCATAATAAGACTTTTCATATATTATCACATTGCCTCTCAATTAATGTTATTTTTTAAAATATGAATATTATATATTTTTCAATAAATTAGCTTTAGTTTATTGAATTAATAACAATATTTCACAAAAATATTTTTTTTATTTTTATCTCCAATTATTAAATGTTAAATTATTAATTTAGAATTTAAGAGATTAATTAAAATAAACTAAAAAGTCTTATGAATTTTTATTTATCTAAAAAATTCAGCAACAAATTTGATTATAAAAATAATCAAAAAACATTGTTTTAGTATAATAATAATTATTTATATATATATTGAAATTATATATAATGAATAAAAGGCGTTATTTTTTTTTAAATATCAAAAAACAATATTTTTATCATTTATTATAAGTTCAATCAATCATTTACAGATGCAAAATTATAATTTTCTTTAAAAACTAAAGAAATGCTTATCATTATAATAGCATAAAATTTTTATTGATAATTATTTTTAATTATCTTGTATTTTAATAATTTATGATAAGTTATATTTTTACATTAAATATCTTTTAATTAAACACATGAATTATAATAATCTAAAACAAATAACATAAATTATATATATATTCTTATTAATAAATAAAAAAATTCATAGATTAATATTATCTTTTATATTTTATTATTTTATTTATCTCATATTTATTAACATGTATCTCATTTAGGTTTAGAACTCTTTCTAAACCAAGGAATAAAACAACTAACCTCAGATTGATATTTGCTATATGAAGGTCTTTTTTTTAATAAATGAGACTCCATATTTGGAATAGAATAGGTTAAAAACATAATCTGAATTCCAAAAGCTCCAATTCCCCAATACCAATATTACATTCCAAATGATAATGCTGCAATGTACATACCCCACCAAAATAAACATTCTCCAAAGTAATTAGGATGTCTAGAATATTTCCATAATCCAACATCACAATCTCCTTTTTTTTATTTTGTTCTATATGGATATAATTAATAATCTGCAATCCATTAAATAATCACAGCAATAATTGATATTATTAACCCTAATTCAAATAATATATTATGCTCTTAAGTTTCTTTGATGGTGTAATATAAGGGAATGTAGCCCAAATATACAATAATTGTAGGATAAATATGAAATGCAACTAAACTAAATATCCAATAAATAAAACTATTATTTATTTTATTTTTAAATTCTTCATATCTAAAATCTTCATAAGTGAGACCTAATGATAATAATAAAACTAATATACCTGGCCAAAATCTAAAATAACTTATATCTTGTTTAATACAATAAAAAAAGCAAACTAATACAGGCCACCATGTTTAACTTTCTAAACACCAATATGCTGTAAAATACATTGGGATTATATGCCAATATGGATCATAAATAGAGGAATTTCTATATTTAAATAAGTTTGAATGACTTACTTGATTAAAATAGATTAAACAAAAACAATAAATGTTGCTATTAGATCGACAATGAATTAAGAGATCAATTAATTTGGGTAGAAAGTTTCGACAAATTTTGAAAGTGGAATCCTTTAATATTTTAATAGTCTTACCATAATACACCACTAATAATATATGGGATAAGCATATGTTGAAGAGATTGCTAATAAGAATATTTCATTAATTTTAAGAATATTATTAATCTTCTTTTAAAGAAAATTTAGAAAAGATTTAAATTATATATAACAAAATATCAAATGCATTTATGTTATTACATAAAGTTTCTGATCATATAAGTTTAATTAAATACATGAATAATTTATAGTAACCATTAAATTCAAAATTTTAAATATGAATTAGAAAATCAATCATTTATTTTGATTGAAATTTATTCTTTTCCATCCAAATATTTCTTCTTTTATGTCCCAATTATCATAAGGTTTACTATAATGATAAAATATAATTATTTACCCAATTCTTTAATTTGTAATGAAATATTATCCATTTTCAATTTTCATAATCAATCTTCTTGCATATTCTGGACATTCCCATCCAGCCTCTTCATAATTTTATTCACCAATATCTACAAACTTTTCTTCCAAATTCACATTGATTATTACTCCAACATGACCAAATCTTTGTTCTTTGGAGTAAGGATATATGATAAGATCTCCAAACTTAGGAGGTCTAAAAGTAATATAAATAAATATTAAACTCTTAAGAGCCATTTGGAAAATTGATGAATGGGAATGTTCCTTCTTCTTTAGTACAATCTTCAATTGTATCAAGTGCCCAAATGTGATGAGCATGTGGAACATCTTAAAAGGCAGCTTTAAAATTCAAAGTTAGAAATCTTCTAGCATATTCGACACATTGATATCTATTTAAGATTTAAGATTTACTTAAATCCAATATAAACATCTCTAGCTAAACCAGTCTCTTCTTTAGGCCAATAAGTCTAATATTCATGGATTTTATTTCTGTCAAATGTAAATCCAGTATTACAATAAGCTATAACACCAAATGGTTATCCCATTACTGTTCCCCAAGCTGGATAATTCATAAAATTAAATTAAATTAAATAATCAGTTATTTTATTGTTATTATAATTTATATGCATGGTCATTCTCCTTTTTTTTAAAAGAATTCGATTAATTTTGTTAAGTTCAGCATGAAAATTAATCCTTTAATTAATTCATAAAATTTTTTAAGTTCATTTCTATCATTATCTGTTAAAAGATTTTTAAATTAATTTTGAAAATACACTCTATTTAACAAAAATAATTATACAAAATGATATTTTGTAATGGATAGAAATATTATTATTTGTTATTTTAATATAATATAATGATTATATAATAAATTTTTTGGGATTTGATAAAATAGATATATTATGGTTTGTAAAACCATTTATTTAAAGTAAAAAAGGATTATTATATATTATTTATAATTAGCAACTATATAATTATATATAATCACTTAACTTTAATTCTATTTAAAATACCGTGATTGTCACAATGGCCATCATGGGGATAGTGTAGCATTTCATTGACTAAATAATCAATATGACCATTATGGATAACAATTGGATGACCACAATTTGGACCATGAAAATGTAATACTTTTGATATAGCAAATGGAGTTTCTCCACAATTTCCACCATTACATGCTAAACAACAATTATTAACCAACTATTTTGATTTACAACAACATTATTCTTATTTACAATCTATACATTTAATTAAATCATATTAATTTTACGAATCAAAATGTTAATGATCTTTGATTGGTTCACAATTTTATTATTATTAATCAATCAAATCATGTAATTCAATCCTGCCAGTTTCTTAATATTATTAATTTAATAATTACATTCATTATAATTATATAATCTTCCATTAAATAATATATCAATATGATTAGAATGAAATATTTAAGGATGTTATGCTGTAAAAAATATTCTTAAATCTGATGAAATTTAATTTATTTCTTATAGATTTATAAATTAATCTGTATTTTCTAATTTATTATGAATTTTCTAATGTTTTTTTAAACTACATTTATAGAGAAAAGTTCTATTACATTCACAAACATAACTTTATCTTTATGTTTTATGTTTGTTTTGATGTTATTAATAATTTTAATTAGTTATGAATTGTTTTTAACAAATCTCACAAGTAAAAGGTTTCTATTCTTTATGTTTGAATTAGTGTCTTTTCAGATTTGAAATTTGAGAGAATGTTTAATTACACACTTAACAGTTATATGGTTTTTCTCCTGTATGAATACGGTCATGCTTTTATAATGAGGAATATTATCTAAACGATTAATTACAAGAAACACTAGTAAATTATCGATAAAAACTAACCATTTATAGGGCTTCTCCCCTGAATGGATTAATTAATGTTCTTATAAAGCACGCTTTTATTTAAAGGCTTTATTGCAAGTATTGCAAATAAATTCTTATTAATTCATTATTATATATTTATTAAATTAAATTTGAATATCTCTTCTTATCTAATAAATACATTATTTTTAATCAAAATTATTCTACAGTAATAAAAATTACAAAACTTTTTATTAAAAAAAGATCTTATAAATAATAGATGTATAAAAAGTCTAATTTATAATCAATTTTCATTATATTATGCACTTCTTTCTGCATCATTTTGATTTTAAAGTTCCTTTTTAAGTGCTTCAATATCAAGAAATTTAATTCCTTTTTTTCTATTTCTTATTGTTCTTATTTTTCCTTAGATAAAAATAATACTTGACATCTAACCACTATTATATGGTGTTTTCTTAAAGAATTTATGATAATCATGAAAAAAGTCCTTGCCTTTATATGAACTCGATTCCAAACTAATAATTATTAGAATTTATATACTCTTTTACTCCATATTTTAATTCAACAGATAATTTAGTTAGACTAACTATAACATCATGAAATAAGTATCCCATAAGTCCCTATTCATCTTCATAAAGTGGAATATTTAAAGCTCTTAGAAAATTAGTTTTATTGGCAGGATCTAAAAGTTCTTTAACTGGAACTCCAAAACAGATAGCAATTTCCGAAGATAACTTCCAAAATTATTTATAATTAAGGAATCCTGTTCCTTTTGGATCATATTATGCCCAATAATTCAATACATCATGTAATTGATATTTAGATATTGCACTCTATTCTGATTTTACATGCTCTTCATATGCACCTAGTATAGAGGCTATAAATAAATTAAGTATGACTAAGGAAAATATAAGATGGAAAGAAATATAGTAAGCATATGCCCAATATGTACCACATCCATTAAAACCATGTTCTTAATAATCATAATAATCCTTAATGTAAATACATGCAAAATCTGGTGTTCTTGTGTGAACTGAATCAACTAATAAAGCCCACCATTATTCTGAACTAGCTACTCTGATTAATGAAAACATAGCTGTTGTAAATTTTCTAAAATGAAGATCAAACCCTTCAATATAATTTTATGGTCTTAAATATCCTAATAGATCCATTCCCAAAGAGGCATATATATAAAGAAATAAAGCCATAATAAATATCATTGCTAAAGCAGAAGGGATAACTGAAAATATTGTATTGAATAATTTCTCTAATTCTGGAAAACGTCTACAAAATAAATAGATCATTACCTAATTATATAGTAGTTTCTTAATAATTAAAATGCTACTGAGACTGCTCTGCAAGTTCTAAGAACATAAAAATTATCAGACAATTATTGTAAGATAAATAAATCAAAAAGATTTAAAATTATTCCAAAAAAATCAATTATTACAAATATATCTCTCTGTTTCCACTATTTTACTATAAATCTTCCACAAATTTCAACTGCAGATATCAATATACAATATTAATTAATTTCTATTAATATATTTCTAAATATTTCATTTTATCTTGTATAAAATAATGATAAAATTATTGTATTTAATGCAATAATTGAATGCCAAAAGTATTTCAATTTCTTACTTTCAGCAAAATAATAAAATAACATCATTAACTTATTTTTAGGTAATTCATAATTAACTCTTGGAGTAAGATTATGTATACTATTTTTAATTTACAACCATTCTCTTTGATTACCATTTAATTCTGACATACCTTAAGCTTTTATTTTAGTTTCCTAATATGTATTCACAACCAAACTGATAAACATATTTAACATACAAATATTTCCAATAAAAAAAAACACTTAAAAATATACTGCCCACCATCTATTATGATTGTTAATAGGAGCAAGATCTTTTCCTCTTGAACTCCATGTATCTATTAAAATAGGTAGCCATGCTTCTGTTGTTGCAGTGACAAACAAAGTTAAAGCACTATCAAATACATTATCAAATCCTAATATTTTATTTATCCATGAACCACCATTATCCATACAATCCCATTTATCCTGTACTTTATCTTATAATTCAATTGATATTGAACAATAATATAGACAACCCTTCAATAACTTTGTTGCAAATATTCCATATACAAGAAGAATCACAAAACAAAATATACTTAATTGAATCATTGTCTAAAAAGCCTTCATTAATGCTTAAGATACATAATTTATATTTTAATTTAATTCTGCTCCTATTCTTATAAATTCTAAAATTCTTAAACTAGAAAAGAGATTAAATATTAATTAATTATAATTAAAGATAGCTACAATATCTATAGTTGTAATTATGAAATTTAATGCATTATAAGGTGATTTTTATAAATATGAATCCTCTCCAATAATTAAACCATCAGAAACAATGTTTAAGAAAATTTAAATGCAAAATAAAATTGTATTAACAGTATGGATTGTTTTTAAAATTGCAAACAAATCAGATTCAGGACTTAAAAATGGAGTTAATAACATAGTTCTTATAACACATATTAAAACTAAAATAATTAGAAATACTCTAAATGGTAAATTTTCAATAAAGTACTTAACACGAATCCTAAGTGGATTTTTTTCAGAAAATATAAACAATGTCTTATTTTCATATTCTTATTATTTTAAGGCATTATCAGATTTAATTACTTATATTTTACTTTCTTATTATTAATTATCTTAAAAAAGGTTCAAAAATTCATCAAGATTTTAAAATGAAGCTTAACCTTATAATTAATTTATCATTGAATTAGTTTTCTTCTTTTATCCAATTACTCTTAATTCCTTTAAATAAGTAGATTCTCTCTTTTTTTCCTTTCTTTTTTCTTATTTATTTTATTATAATTCCAATTTCTATTCTTTTTTTTCAACCTATATTTTCTTTTTTGAAAATAGCTTTTTATAATCTATTGGTTTTAAACTTGTTTATACACTTTCAATATGTAAACTAAATTCATTTAAAAATACAGCTGTTAATAATCTAATAAAGAATATTTGTCCAAATATCACACAAATTATATAAAATACTATGGATGCTTAAGTGTGTCTTCCATATTTATACATTGTAATATGCCATTCTTCATTATAAAATATATTAACTACAGCCATTATAGAAGATCCTAAATCATTATAATATATAGTCATGTTTTATTCAGACATTTTGTATTATAATAAATGCTTACCAAATATTGACATTAAAAATATTAGACAAATCCATAAAAATAGTATTTTCTTAAGAGCAATTAAAGTACTAATCAATGATCTTATTAATACTGCAATAGTGTAAAACACTTTAGCAAAAAATAATGATTTAAATATTCTTAAAATTTTAAGAGATTTTATAAAAATAATTTCTTTATTATCATTAAAGATTAATGGTTAATTAAAACTGACTAAATAGAAAATTAAAAGCCATTAGGATAAAATTATCAAAAAATCGAAAACATTAATTCTCTTTGAAAAAAAATCTTAGATTCCTTTTCCACAAAATTATACTGTAATCTCAAAAAATGTATAAAGTATGCAAATAAAATCTATTAATTATAAACGCTAATTCTAAATTTAAGGAATACCATCATAATCATAGGCAATAACAAAGGCAGAAATAAAAATAAATAAAGTATTTAAAACTAAGATTTTAGGAGAATTTAACAATTTATTAATAAACAATTCTTATTCAACTTCTTTAACATTAATATTTTATTCTTCTGTAAAATAAATACTAAAATTAGAAATTTAATTTCCTTTCTCTTTTTGTTTGCTAATAACACTAAGACGATTTATTAATTATTATTGATTTTTTTTCTTTATTTCTTCCTCTATCTATTATTACTCTTATTTTAACTTTTTTTAAGTATTTTTAATTGATGATTTTTCCATAAAAGATTCATAAAACAATGCTAATAACAAATTAGAAAGAATAAAAGCCATTAATAAAATCATAATTAAAAAATATGTTGCAGTTACATATGTTGTCATAGCTTTCCAAAACTAAAAATGTTATTAATTTTTACCATAAATGTTGTTCCAGACCAACCAGTCACATTTAAAAATGTAAAGACAACTAATAATGAATGAAAAAAATCATCAAATCTTGTAAAATTCCAATTAAATGCTTCTAAATCATTTTCTGTTTCATTTCTTGGAAGATCATAATCTAAAAGACTTCCACAATAAGTATTTTCTGGACATTCCCATATTCCACATAATTTTTATATATTGGGATCTGCTATCCATATATCATCTATAGGATATTGTGTTAAACGACATCTTCTTTCTGTTAAACCTATAAATAAGTGTAAACCAATAATAGAAAAATATATCATAACCAAAAATATAGGTATTAAGACTGGCTTTACTCTTAAAAAACTTCCAACATAAGCATTAAATTATATCTTTAAAATTGAGACTTCCTCTATAAATCTAAAGATTCTTAAGAATCTTATTGTTTTTATTATTTCTGAAATTTATGAATCATCTAAAAACAAACACCATGTAAAAAGAAATGCTATAAAATTTAAGGAATTCCAAATATTTTTAAGATATGATTTTTTACTTAAAATAAATCCATTTGCTATTGATTTTAAGATGATATCAATTCCTAATATTAAATTAATAATGATTTCTATTCCTTAACTTATTCTAGAGTCTTCCATACAAAAAGGTACAATCCCAATAATTGCTACTATTAAAAATGTTTATTGATATTTCCTTAATTAGAATATATATATATATACTTTGATTTTATTGTTGCAATAACTTTTATCCTTAATGGATTATTGATATCAAATATAAAGAATGAGTTACTTGATTCCTTTTCATCCTACATTATCAAAGTTCCTAATTTTTCAGGATACTTTAAGCTTACTAAATCTGGACGATTCAATAAATTTTGCCAATCAAATATTTCTCCTTCTGATATTAAAATTTATTCAAGTCTCATAGTTTGAATAGAATAGATTGCTTCATCTACTTGAGATTATGGTAATTCCTTAAATTCAATACCCAACTTTTTTAAAGTGGAAGACATTATTTATTTTTAACATTAAAAATATAGATTTTGACTTCATCTAAATTCAAAACGAACTCCACTTCCCCCAAATGGAAATTATTGGAATCCACCTCCACCACCGAAAAACATTTAGAAGACTTAAGTAGGATCAACTCCTCCATCAAATCCACCACTTTGATCATTAGGATCAACTCCTGAGTCAAAGAGTTCCTTCTTTTTTTTATCAGATAATACAGCATATGCTTCAGCTATATCTCTAAACTTCTATTATCCTATTTACTATATTTTGTTATTAATTAATTTTTACTTTAGTTTCTTCATCTTTATCTTTCAATTTATCAGGATGCCATAATAATGCCAATTTTCTATAAGATTTTTTGATTTCATTTTCTGTTGCATCCCTACCAACTTCTAATATTTTATAATAGTCTTTCTTTTTTGCTAATTTCTCTTTCTTTTGAGCTTCTCTTAATTTTTATGCCATTTCCTATTCTAAGGATGGTTCAATTTAAATAACTTATTAATAATCATGAACTGATTCTCCAAATTATCCTAATTTATCATATGATTCAGCTCTCCTCATTAAAGCTTTATAGTATTAGGGATTCAATTCAATAGATTTAGTAAAATCTTCAATGGCCTCTTTATGTTAACTCATTTTTTATTTAACTAAATTGAATTTAATTTATATACCTAATCCTCTATTGGCATATATAATTGAATTAATTTTACGATTATATGGATCAACACTCAATGCTTCAGTATAACATTCAATGGCATCATTTAATTTTACTTATTAAAGTAATTGATTTCCTTTCTCTTTTAATTCTTCACATTTCCTTGCTTTCTTTAATGCTTCTCTGCATTTCTTATTGTCTGGATCAACTTTCATACCATCAATTAATATTTTCTTTGCTCTTTCACTATTTCCATTATATAAATCAATGATCCCTTTTAAATAATAAACATCTGGTGTTGTTCCATGTTCACTTTAAATTTGCATTAACCATTTACTTGCTCTTTCATTTTCACCACATTTAGCTAAACATTCAACAAATAAGATCTAAATTTCTAGAGATTGAGAACAAACTTATATAACTTATTAAAATTAATATAAGGCCTTTTAATAATCTTCATTTTGAATTTATTTCAAACCCTCTTAATAGCTTTAAAAAGCCTAATATTAATTATTATTTTACTTATTAGGCTGTTAAATATTCTTATTTTAATGATTAATCCCCTGGAGTAATTTACAAAGCTGCATTAAGTGAATTTACACATTCTTCCAATCTTCCTAAATTTTAAAGAGCAATAGCTTTTCTTCTTAATGTTTTTACATTGTTAGAATCCCTCTTTAATGCTTATTCTGTATCATCTAAGGCTTTCTTGTATTATCTTAATGGTATATAACAAGCTGCTCTATTTGAATAATAAATAGGTTCATTTGGATTATGATCTAACCATAGATGATCCATTTAAAATACCAATAGCTTCAGAATAGCATTTAATGGCTTCATCATACTTCTTTTCAGCAAAGAATTTGTTTCCTTCTTCTTTTTTTGCCAATGCTTCTTATAAAGTAACTTCAGAAACTTAAATCATAACTTTAATTGCAAAATAAACTTTTTTTAATAGAAATCAAATCTAATTAATAAATGCTTTCAGAATCAATTCATAACTTATATTATCTTAAACTCCTGGTTTTAAAAATCCTCCTGATATTTTTAATTCAATTTTTGTTTCTTTCCATTATCCTATCTTCTTTAAAGCTTCGATAGAGGCTATAAATTAATCTGGTTAAGGAGGTTTGAATGTAAATGTTATTACAACTTCATTACCTGGTTATATGGCACCTTTTTAATTATCACAAACAAAATATTTTTCATCTTTCTATTAAATTTATAATTTATTTAAAATTACCGATAATATTACTTCATAATTAACAGGTTTCTCCATTTTTGGATCTAAAAGTTTACAACTACCAATAACTATTTTTCTAGAATTATCTTCTTCTTTCAATTTCTCAAATTCTAACATAATCTTATTATTTAAATATGTATAGACTTTCTCCTCATCTTTTAATTTCAATTAATCAAATGGAAATTCAATTTTCTTATTAATTTCATTAATTTAAGGAATTAAATTATAAGGCTAATAAATATTTACATAAGCTTAACGATTATAACAATAACCCCAAATAAAAACTCTCTTCTCAGATTTCTAATTTGGTACATGAACTGATATTAGATCATAAAATTTATCTGAAACTCGATCAGGTTTAAATATCACCTTACAAGTTATTTCTTATTAAGCATTTACAATTGCCTCTTAAGGTATAAATTAAAACACTTCAGTTCCACAAGAATTTTAAACTCCCCTAGCTTTACTTATTAATTAAAATTTTATAGGAAAATTTGAAACATTTGTTATTTTAAATGTTCTTTCTGCATATTCTCCTAATACTACACCTCCAACTGATATTAATCCATTTTCTGGTACAACCTTTACTTCTGGTCTTACACCTATTCCTTTTAATTTAGCTGAAACTGCTGCATGATCACAATATAATTTTAAAGTCTCTTCAAATGGTTAATCTTCTGTAGGTTAAAATTAAACAATTAAAGATTTCTTATTACTAGGTTCTATTGTTCTCAGAGCATTTAATATTGTAAAACCACAAGAAATTGGTAACATTTACATTTTTAATTCAGCTTTAAATGGAGTTTGATTGAAAACTGTAAGTTCTTTGGTTTACCTTATTCCAACTGCAACTTCACCAAAATCTATTATGGTTTTACTTAAGAGCAAACTTTTTTATACAGTGACAGTTGAAATCTATAAATATACTACTTATTTTGCATTATCTGGCATATCAGTGTACTTAAAATAACAAGGAATTAACCAAGAATAGTGTTATGAATAATCTTATATAATATTATAATATAATACTTAAATCTTCAGGTTTATTGAATTCAACAAGAGTACCTCCTAAATTTCTTAATTCTTTAGCACTATCAAATTATTTTTCAAATTCTTCTCTTTTAAGTCTTTCTTCTTCCTATTTTAATTTTTCTAATTCTGCTTATCTTCTTTCTTCTTCTTCTAATTATTATTATTAAGCTTTTGTTAATTTTTCTGGTTTTTTTTAATCTTTTTTAACTTCTTTTTTGGCACCTTTACCTTTAGTTGCCATTTCTTCTTCTTTTTTTAATTCTTCTTATTCTCTTTTCTTTCTTTCTTCTTCTTCATATCTAATTTTTAATCTTAATTCAAAATTATTATTTGGATCATTTTCATATTTTTCTTTTAATTCTTAAAGAGTATAAGCACCTAATTTTTTAAAGAAAGAATCATATTCCAAATGCACTTATATTAATTAATCCCTTTAAATTTATTGAACCATTGGTGCCATTCTAAGACCACACAATTCATAAAAAGGTAAAAAAAACTCTATTATTATATCTCTTTAAGATATATTTTTTATATCAATAGTGGTCGAATATTTCTCATCAATTTATTAAACTGGAATATCAAACTTAAGTCCTGAAAATTCTAAAGGACATTTAGAAATTTCACAAGTATAAGGTATTCTGATTTCTTTTGTTGATATAGTACCTGATACTATTTTACATTTTAAAATTCCTTCATCTTATCTATCACTAATTCCAATTACTTTCTAAGTTCTATATATTATATCTGTTGTAAATTTCTATTTAGGAAGTAAACGTAATGGTACTAAGTCAGTTGTTATTGAAATCTCTTTTGGTAAAGGGTATATTGCTAATTCTTAGGGTAAATCACTTAAATTCTCAAAAGTGATAGCTCTTTTTGCACCTTATCCATCAAACAATTTTCCAAAGTCTAATCTTGCAGGTGTAATTTAAAGAGTAGCCATAGTCATCTAAGCAACTATATTAAAAGGGACAGGCATTTTTTAATCAGCTCCAATTAATTTAAAAGGTACATCTATAACATTATCCTTGAAAAATCTTTAACATATTGTTTGTAATTGTCTTTCTGCATTAAATTTAACCCAAATCTCAAATTTAGAATTTCCTTATATGTATCCTAATTTTGGATTAAATTCAAAGAAATCTTTAGTCTCTTTTGGAGTTTAAATTTAAATTTTCATTGCATTTTAACTTCTATTAAAAAAAACAATCTTTTCTCTATAAATATGATTGAATAAACAAATTTGGAAATTATAAATTTATTTTTCTACATAAATTGGTACTTCAGTACAATATCCTCTTATTTCTATTTAACAAGGTGGAGAATGTAAGAAATTTTCATAATACAATGTTAGAGGTAATGAAAAGGGACCAACTTCTGCTGGTATATATTGAATTGGTATTTTAAGCATAGAATATCCTTATAATATATGTTATCTTTAGAATTTAAGTTACTTTAAGTAAGGTAAAATACCTTCTTCATCAAAAGGTCGATCTCTATTTGATTTTTAGGAGACTGATTCAGTAGCTATTGTTTATAAATCCATGCCTTTTGCACTTCTTATAAATACATCTGTATCTAGTGCACCTAAATTTTGAATTTTGAGAATAAGAGTAGAATCTTCTCCTAATATAACTTTGCCAAAATCAATTATAGGTTATTCTACTTTTGCTATTGCTTTTTTGCTAGTGCATAAAATATGGATTTAAAAGGGTCCAGTTTCAGCTTGACATTATAATTAGACATCTATATCATCATTTAATTATGGAGTAAATCTAACTGTAATTGGACATGACATGCCTGCTGAAACTCTACCAGGAGGAGTGTATATTAATTCAAAGAAATCCTTAAGTTAAATTCATATTTTACTCTAACAGATTCTGGAAGTGGAAGTATTTTGAATGAATTAAAAGTGTAAGAAACATTTGTAAGTTACATTATTATGGTGTGTGGCTTACCTACATCAAAATCCTATAATAAAGTATCTACATCTTACTTTAAAAATAATCTCAGCAGGTTTAGAAATGAAAGCTACTCCCTCAAATTTTCTACCTTGGACTATTTAATCTTTGTAAATATTTTCTTTGTGACGTTAACGAGCTTTTTCAAAATATTCTTTTTCTAGAGGAGTTAATTCTTTCAACTTTATTATTCTTTATCCAAATTCATCTTATCTTGGTGATTCTTCCTCTTAATCTGACATAATAAATTAATGTTATTAAGAAAATCAATAAATTACTTTTCTATTTTCACAAACAAAATACCTAAGACATATTACGAAGTACTTGAAGTCACTCCAAAAGCAACAATAAAAGAAATCAAATTGCAATATATTAAATTGGTGAAATTGTATCATCCTGATAATGGTGAATCTGGATCAGAAGAGAAATTCAAAGAAATATCTAAAGCTTATCAAGTACTTAAAGATCCAATAAAAAGATAACTCTATGATTCAGATGCTTTAAATTTTGAATAATCTGGAGAAGCACATTCAGCTAATGATATGAATCCTGACTCTTATTTTTATAACACAAATAAAAGGGAATATTATTAAAATAAATGGTATAATTTTAGAAAACCATCTTATGAAACATAACATGAAGAATAAACATATTAATTTGTTGATGAACTAACATCTAAAGCAATTATTGGAAGAGTGTTAATAGTTTTAGGAGTTTATGCTATATGGGATTTATATAGATTATATTCTAGAAGACAACATAAAAAGTTTTTAGAAACATAAAAAGAAATACTAGATTCAAGTTTCATTTAAGCACCTTTAGAATAATACATTGATACAAGATAAACTGAATTGTAATTAGATTTAAATTGATATTATAATAAAAATGAATTATTAATATTAAATACAAAATTTACTATATAAATAGTAAAATATAAAAATTATTTTATAATTGATAAAATTAATCTTCTAAGATTCTATTTATATAAAAATGATAAAAATTAAATATAAATATAAATATAAATATAAATATAAATAGATATATCATTCATTAATTTCTTCAATTTATTTTGATTATTATTCTATGTCTTATGGTTATTACTTTATAAATTCTATTTAACTTTCATTAACAGATTCTAAATTATTTTTCATACGACTTAAATAAGTAGAATCTGTATTATTAACTCTAATAGTATTAATTTCCAACCAAGGATAATCTTTAATTATTTTTTTTCTTGTGAATTCAGTTCTACAAAATGGACAATTTTTTTATCTTAATAACCATTCCTCCAAACACATTGAATGAAAAATATGAAAACAAGGAGTAACAGAACAAATCTTTTAAAGTTTTGTAGTAGCCTTCTTCATTTATTCTAAACATACAGCACATTCTTCAAATTAGGACAAACCTGGATATGCTTTAATTATTTTTTCATTGGTATGTCCTTTAAAATGATCTTTAATAAACCTTAACGAGAAACCTCATAAGTTGCTTAAGTTGTACCTTTATTATTTGTTTAAATAATTTAACGCTCTGGACTTTAGTTTTAAATTGGTTCCATATCACGAACTTAATCTAGATTTCTTCTAATGACCTCTTGTATTTGTTATTGGAATTATCGTTATTATCGAGATTTGAGAGCTGATAAACCAAATGCAAATAAAAGTAATGATCCTACAACACAGCCAGTTACAATGATAATAATTTTATTTCTTTCAAATGTGCTTTCTTCCTCTTCTTCAGTTGTAATGATCTTAAATTATAAATTAACAGATTTTGATTGATTATTGTATAATCCTATGTAAATTATATCGACATAAGTATAAGACATTTTACTTTTTAATTCTTATTAAATATTATTAACTGAATATAATTTCTAACTATCTTTCAAAGTTGGAATATTCAATTATGGATTTGCCTTTAATACAAAACTGTAATCTATATATTTTATTACACAATTAAATACATAATTCATCTTCTTCATTTTAAGAAGATAGATTAATGTCCTTTGTACTAAATTTGTATTGAAAATACTTCCAATTATGTGAATCTAATGTAAATGAAGTAAGAACATTGCTTTATATCTATGAAAATTAGAATTAGCAATATTATCCAAAGGCACCTTATAAACAATGACATTATTAAGCTACACAAACAGAATCCATAATTTCAGGATAATTGTATCCATTACAATCATTAATACATCCTTAAACAAGTTCATTTTCAGAATAATAGATTTCTAGACTGATAGGTTATTATTGAATATAGTTTTATTGCAAACATTTAATATAGATTATTGATGCATAAACAATTTAGACAAGCTGATTCTCATTATTGGCTAAGTAACTTTGATAATCATATATTTCAGATCCTTTGGGATTGTAATTTAAGTCTAGATCACTTAATTTTGTTTAATCCAAATCACTTGAAGAAACTAAACAAAGTATATTTTCTTCTCTTTTATAGAATTTGATTATTAAGCTATTCACTTTTTAAGTTTAGTTTAGTTAAATTATTTATTGAGTATCTATCTAGACTGTTCCATAGTAATTTGGTAAACTTTACACAAGACATAAGAATATTGTATATATAATCATTTATAAATTAATGTGTACAAAAAAAATAGGAGCTTACCAAATGGATTTGACAACTAAATTAGGTAGAGGAGCCTATGGAGATGTGTATCTTGGTTAAGACTTAAAAAGTGGTCTATTAATTGCAATCAAATAAATAGCATTACCAAATAAGGATGAAAAAGAAGTGGAGAAAGCTTTAAATATGGCTAAGAATGAAATATAAGTAATGAGAACTATATAGGATGTAAATGTAGTCAAATTTGTAGATATGGTAAGAACATAAAACAATTTATATTTGATGATGGAATATTGTAATGGAGGGAGTTTAGATAAATATCTTTGTAAGAAATGTTCAAAAGATGAAAGATATTTGGCAGAAAAAGAAGCCAAAATTATTATGAAATAAATAGTATTAGGCTATAAAGCTTTATATTAATGTAATATTGTACATAGAGATTTAAAATCTGCTAATATATTGATACATGATGGTGTTGTTAAAATTGCTGATTTTGGATTTAGTAAATTCTTAGAGAAAACAGATGAATAATTATTATACACTTATGCAGGAAGTCCTTTATATATGGCACCTTAGATATTATAATAAAAATAATATACAAATAAGGCTGATGTTTGGTCAATGGGGATTATATTTTATGAAATACTTTTTGGAAAACTACCTTGGCATTCTATTACTATTCCAGATTTGATTAATAAAATAAAAAATGAAGATTTACATATACCTCAATAACCAGTTGTTTCAGATTTAATGAAAGAATTAATTAAGAAAATGTTATAAAAAGAAGAAATAGATAGAATTTGTTGGAAGGATGTTTAAAATCATGCTTATTTTAATGAAGATATGGAATTTGAATTTTTAACTAATCTAAGAAATTCTTATAATGAGATTGAAGAAGAAACAGATGAATTAAAAAAATCAAATGCAAAAAAAAATATATATTTTCAATAATAAAATGTTGTTTAACATGTATTTCATGCTTAATAAATATAAGACTAAATTTAGAATGTATGTCCTGGAATTATTGAACCTAAATAAGAAATTAAATTAGAAAATCATAAAAAGAATAAAAATTTAGATTAAATGTATAAAAAATAAAAAGAAAAAGTATCAATTTAATAATAGATGTAATTAATATCAGATTGGGTTGTACATAGAAAGAACAAATCAGCATTTCTAAGTTCAATTAATTCTTAGTTATATGATTAATTTTAATAAAGTAATTATTAATAATTATATATTTAGATTTAAAAAATGTCTTAAATGATTAATTATTTTGGGGATTCTTATTTCTATTAACAAAGTATCAAAATAGTATACTTTTTAAAATGAAATGTCGATTATGTAGTGGTAGATTAGACTCTAATAATTAAAGATTTTCTTATGAAGATTGGAAAAAGTTTTGTAAATCAAAAGAAGGTTAAACATCCCTTAAAGTTATTGAACATGATTTTCAAGTTATTAACCAATTTTGGGACTCTATTATACCTGAAACTCTTAAATCATTATAGGGCACTTAAGATCCACTTTTATTAACCATTTTGAAAGTTTGTAATAAGAATCAAATAGAAAAATAATCCTTTGATTATATTTTTAAGAATGCAGCCAAAGCCATTCTAGAAGGAGTCAAATTAAGAATAATTCAATAGAAAAATAATGTTTCATTATAACTTTTGAGATTTGGATAACATTTATAAAATTGTCTAGAAATGAATTTATTATTTAAATTCAAAGGACCAAAACAAGTTGATTTTTTCAAGTATTATGAGTAAGTTGAAAATCTTACTACATAATAAATACTTTAGAAATTGAATATATAACTATGAAATAAAACTATTAATATTAGTTCAATAAAATATTATTAAATATATAAATAGATCATCATAATTTATATTATATTCTTATATTTAAATCATAAATTACCTACTAATCAACATTATAATTAATAAAAAGCTCTTTAAATATCATATTATTTTCTTTAAAAGATTCTTTTAATAATTATTTACTTATATAAAATTGTTAATATAAAATAATATTCAATTAATATGGCTATTTTAACAAAGATTTAATCAAAATCTTATTTCTTTAATTACTTTTAATAGAGTTATTCTATGAATAATATAAGAAAATCTGTTATTTCATTAATTATCTTTTAATTATTAGCTGAAATTGGAAACTAAATCCAAATTAATATTTATAATTAAGGGTTTAATTAAACTGTCATTCAATTATAATTCTTATTGCATTTAAAGCCTAAAAATCTTAAGAATCAATCCAGAAATATTTAATCATAATTTTCTACAAATTAATTAATATATTTTCTTTTATAAGAATATTATATTTTCGAGTTTATCATATTGAAATTTACAATAAGGTTTGTTGATTTTGATTTGCAACAATAAATTAAATTAAATATATCTATAATAGTATTGAGTGCAATTATTATTTATATGAATCTAAAAGTTTATTAAGTCATTTAATTTAAGAGAAATTACAAGTTATATAATTATATAAAAAAGTTCAGCAAATAAGAATTTGAAACAATAAAATCTTCTTTAAAATTTAGTAAAATTAATTAATAATCTACAAATTCCTTTGATTAGACTAATTCTTGCAATTAAATAATATATAATTCTATACTATTTAGTAGTCTTAAATTCATATATTGATTTAAATGAATATTTAGTAAAAAATGGTGAGTATTAATATCTAATAGGTAGTTTCAATAATTATGCTAAGTTTACAACAAAAATTTGGGTATTTTTTGATAAGAATTGATGAATCATTTTAAGTATATAAATATGTATTAGAAATATGTTTAATTATTTTCTTTAATTATTGATTCATTAGACATTTGGATCAATGAAAATATAGCATTTATGTGTATATATAATTTATTATATATAAGTTATTGATCTATATTAATTTTAGAATACCCGTTTTTGAAAATTAGATGAATTGAAAGTATTTGTTATTTAACATAGTTAGAAGGATGGTTGATTAATATTATTTATTTTAGATATGAAAGCTACAATTGCAATCCTTTTATTGGTGAGCATTGCCTCAGCAACTTCAACTCATGATTAAATTATGGCATTACTTTAAACAGGAACAAAAGCCATGGATGCCATTGACACAGTCTTTGGCTTGTTGAATGACCTTATTTAATCAAATAAGGATGCTTAATTTGCTGCTGATTAAAAGAATGAAACAGATGAATGGATTGGTGCACAGTAATATCATGATCTAATTCTAGAACTATTGAACAATTCACCAAAATTAAGTCCTTGAACTAAAAGCTTTTCTAATAATCAATTGAAAATAGAGTGTAATTTGAATAAGAACTCTCAGACACAAAGAATTATTTGGCATGGAATGAATAAAGATAAGATGAAATTGCAAGAAAAATTTAAGTCTTATTAGATGAATAATGTTTGAGCAACTAACTATTTGTCAGATCAATCAAATAAAATAGAGAGGCTCTTGAAGTAGTCAGAGTACTTAAATAAGATGTTGCAGGTTATATCATTAATGGAGATTCATTTGAACTTGTCTAAGAAAAAGCCACAAGTGTTGCTGAAAAATTAAAGGCTTACAGCAACCTTTTCAATGAATAAGAAGTTAAATCTTTCCTTAGTTTAGCTAATAAATAAGAAGATGGATCTGTATTAATCCTAATTCTATTCTTTAGGTTAGTAGAGGTGCCACATTAGCTGAAAGAGTCTTGGCAGTTTTAGAATCACTTGAAGCTAATCTTTAAGCTTCTCTTGAGGCTTTGGAAGTCAATGAAATTAATGCCTCATGGGAATTAGCTGGATGGGTTTCTTTGAGTGAAGCTGAAGTTGCAAACCTTAAAGTTGAATATGAAAGAAAATAAGTATATGCTGATAGACTTGCCACTGTAATTTCATTTGATTTATATTATTTAGTAAATTTAAGCTGCTTTAGCCTAATAAGCAAAATCAAAGATTATCCTCCAAGAATCTTAAGATGCTCTTGATTAAGCCTAATCTGATTTGGAAAATAAGAGAGCTGATTATGAGGAAGCTAAAGCTAAGAGAGATGAAGAAAATGCCATTTTGGAAGAAGTCATCATCATGTTCAAGAAATAAGTTGCCTCTTGGTCTGGAAGATGATTAATATATGAAAAACTATAAAACAATCAAATTATCGATAATATAAAAAATGAGATAAAAATCAGATTCCTGTTTTAGTCTTTATTCAAATAGATGTACATCTTTATGGATTAATGGATTGCCAAATCTTTAGGAGAACTCTGAAAGAATTATTTTTCATAATGTTAATATAAAAAACAGCTAGAAAAAGCCAATTAAGTTTTAGAATGCCTTTATCTAAGAAAAATATTTAATTGCTGATTAAAGATTTATTAATCTAGAAAACTTATAATTAAGAAGGTAAGTCATAAAGAACGCAGAAAGATAGATATCAAATATTTAATATCTCAATATCTCTAACAATTTAGATTCTATTGAAATATTTGGTCCAGAGTTATAAATTAATTAGATCTATAACTATTTGAAATTATATACAATATAATAGCAATTTGAAGATAGTTATTAAATTATCAAAATTTTAGGTAAAGGATCATTTGCAAAAGTCTATAAGGTTAGAAAAATTCATGTTAATTATTAATCATTAGATAAATAAGAATATACTTTTGCTTCTAAAGTATTTAATAAAATAAAACTTAGACAAAATTAAGAAGAAAGTGAGGTAAAAATTTAAGTGATTTAATAGATGAGTTTATGGAAAGAGATAGAAATAATGAGATTGATGAAAAATAAACACATTATTAAATTATTTGAAGTTTTTGAAGATGACAAAAAAGTATATCTACTTTTAGATTTACTAGAAGGTGGGGATTTACTAAGTCATATATTTAAAAATAATAATATATATGACGAAACCCTTGTTTTAAAATTAATACATAATGTGTTAAATGGCCTATCCTATATACATAATCAAAAAGTTATTCATCGAGATATTAAACCAGAAAATTTGATACTAAAATACAAAAACAATATAGAAGAAATTATACTTGCTGATTTTGGTTTAGCTGATTTTTATAGTTTAAAAGGTGAATATTTATTTTAAAGATGTGGATCTATAGGATACATAGCTCCTGAGATTTTGAATAATTAAAAATATGATTATAAAGTCGATATCTATTCTTTAGGAGCAGTTTTTTTTCTATTATTAACAGGATAGCAAGCTTTTGATGGATAATCTTCTCATGAAATTCTACAAAAAAATTAAAAAGGAAAAATTGATTTTAAATTATTAGATTAAGCAAATATAAGTGAAGATGCCAAAGATCTTTGTATGAAAATGCTAAAATAAAATCCCACAGAAAGAATATCTTCAGATGAGGCCTTGAATCATCCATGGTTCCAAACATACAAGAAGAATGTAAAAATTGGATCCTTAAAAATTATTAAAAAACCTACTATTGTCAGAGGACATAAAGGTATTATAAGATGTTACACTCCTCTTTGGATAAATAAAAGTTTAAAAAGTATTACTGATTCTTCTGATAATTAAGAATATTTAAGTAGTTTTATTTACTAAATTTTAGGTTTTAACGTTAGAGATAAAACTATCCAAGAGTTTTTAGATGAAGAACATTTAAAATAAAAACAAGTATCCCGTGAGTATGATTTAGAAGATGACACAATAGAAGAAGATTAAATTCCTTCATTCAATGTCTTATAACATTTTCCTCTTGTGAAACAAAAAAGTTTTCCATGAAATAATTGCAAATTAAATCTACTTGAGCTTGGATATATTTTATATATAAATACAATTAAAAATAACTTATATTTCTATTAAAAATCATTTTCTAAAATTGATATTATCAAAAATTATAAATAATAGTTTTGAGTTGTAATTTATCAATTTTTTGATAATTATCTAGAATGATTTGATATTTTTATATTTTAAGAGTTTAATGGTGAATATAGTAGTTCGTTAATTTTTTTAATATTTTTTGCAGTTATAGGTTCCTTGGAATATTACAAATAAATACTTTCAGGAAGGAATTTTCCATAAGAGATGGGTCTAATATAAGTTTTTGTAGATTTTCCATTAAAACTTTTTAAGTTGGTACCATTAAGCTTTTCTTGAATTAAACAGTGTTGAGCAATTTGGCTTTAGAAATAAAATTTTCTATTTCAATTAATTATTTTTTATCGACCACAAACCATTTAATATCTCTGACAGATGAGGAATTCAATGCAAATTACTATCTCATATCATAAAATAATTTCATTTTTTAATTAATTTCAAGCATTATAATTACTAACTCATAGAATTACAAGGCTATTATTATATAATATAAGATATTACATTCTCTAACTTAAAATTAAGAATAGGATTCAACCATTTCTGTAATTTCACGTCTTAAAAAACCATATTCCATTAAACAGTCTTTATATACTAAATAAGCAATATCTCTGATTATAAATGAATTCTATGTTTTGCAATCAAATAAGAATTATAAATATGGTATAAAAGCAAGTTTATAATTAAGCATATTGATAATTTTGAAGAGCCAAACAAATTACAATTTTCTGTTAAAGGTTTCATCTTCATATGGATATTGATGAAATTTACAAGAATTATAGATATCAAAATTTTGAGTTATTCTTTATATGTAATTGAAATAGATGTTCATAAATTCAGATTCATTTTGATGAATTTATTCATAAAGTTATAATTACTAAATAATTAAAATAATTACATCAGATACATTAAGGTACATTGAATTTTAGAACTATGTAGCAATCATTTACTAATCTGACATAATCTAACATGTTTAATTAATATTTGTAGTAGCTGCTGCCTTTGTTTAAGTATTTTGTATGATTGGTTTTATCTCTATTTTATTTTATTATTTACATGATTTTGTTCACTAAAAGAGACTACCTTGTCTATTACTTAATATTAATCGCTGCTCAAAATAATATGTAAAGTGTAACATTTTTTGAGTTGTTCATTAATTGATTCAGGTTAATAATTAAGAACATATTCTAATTTCTTCATATCTTTAATTAATAACTTTGCATCCCTCAATCTTACTTATGTATATTTTGGATCAAGTACTGAGAAATCAGAGTTCTAATTAATTGGTTTCTATTGTTAAGTAGGTACTGAGAATTTTGAGAATATAGACTTTATAAAATTCATTTATTAATGAAATTTGTAAAATTCAAATATATAAACACAAGTTTCAATGAGTAAATCCGATTGCTGTTTATCCAGCTCTTTTTGCAGCTCTACAAATATCATCTGCCAAAATAGTTGCCCTTCCTGAATAATTAGCATAGATCATTGAATCACGAAGAATATTAGAAATGTACAATTTCATATACAATTTAGACAGTTCATAAACATCTGAACTAATTCTTTTGACTCCTCCTCTTCTAGCTAGTCTTCTAATATCTCCATTAGAAATTAATTTGGATTTATTTGTATGCTGAGGGAACTTTTTATAGTCTATGTTTCGTCCTTATCCTTTAAGTTTTTAATTGTTCTGCCTATATTTAATGGTATTTGATTTGGGTGTTACTTTTGGTGGCATATGTAATAATTTGAAATTATATATTATTTTTACTGTTGATAATAAATTCATAATTCATATATGTAATAATTTATATATACAAATAATGATAATCAAATTATTCAGACAAAATTATGAGTAAGTAATCTATTTTGTTTTAAACTATTTTCCTAATTGCTACTATGTCTCACTCTTATTGAAGGCTTATAAAATTTAACAATAAAACTATCTTAAGGACTATTTTATTTTATTAACTAATGAGTATAATTATTTGCATATCTTTCCATTTTGTCATTAATTTTTTTTAGAGGCTAAGTTTTATTCCTTGATCTTTTTGTCAAATCCTTAATTTTCTCTTTTAATCCATTATCAGTTTATTCAGATTTTTCCATTTATTCTGTAGGATTTTTCTTTCTTTGCATAAGCAATTAAATCTTTTTACCTGGTTATCTGATGACTAAATCAACTTTTTCAGGAGTATGACAATGTGCCTTTTCTTAAACTGAGTGTGTTTTCTATCTCACATAATCAATAATATTGCTTGGAGTTTATTTACCTTACATTTAGATATTATTTAATTTATTTTGGATTCCAGTATGTACATCTTAAAATTATGAATAATCAATTCTATTTTTATTGTGAGGTAATGAATATCTCAATTACCTTTATTATTAAAATTTTTCTCTGCTATTTGAACCTCCAGTTGAACTTTATAATTATCTATATTCCATTGGTTAGTAAATTTATTGTAATTATGATTATAAAATTTAATTTTTTTTAATTTGTTATTATGTTTATTACAACAATTGAGTATTCTATTTAGCAATAGGTTATTAATTAGATGAATATTTTTTCATTAGTAACCAATAAGAAGCAGTATTTGAATTATGTTTTTTTTTTTAAACTTAATCTATAACGCTGTTGACGTCATAACCCAATTCTGATAATTTCTTTAATACAACTTAATCCTTGCTTATTAATCCTTACTATGGTTAGATGATCATTTTCTTATAAAATGGATGCTATTTAATTTCATTGAATCCAATTCTCAAAGATGGATCTTTGGTCAATAATTATTTTAAGAGATCTTAAGCTATAGGGGATATGTTTTTTGGTTTCTCATAATCCTCATATTTAATCATCTCATACAACTTCTTTGTGTTTTCATGTTCAAATGGCAAGTAACCGCAAAGCATAGCATATAATATGATGCCACAACTCCAAATATCACTCTTTTGTCCTCCATAAAGTTTACCATCTATTTATTATAACCTTTATACATAACATTTCAGGTGCAGCATAACAGGGAGATCCACATGCAGTTTTTAGTTGATCGTTATCTTTATAGATATTACTCAATCCAAAATCGGCTACCTTTAAATTCCTTTATTCATCCAATAGCAAATTCTCAGGTTTCAGATCTCTATGTACAATCTTTTACGAGTGTAGATATTCAACTGCATCGATCAACTGAATAAAATATTTAGTAGCAGCTGGTTCGGATAACCTGATTTAGTGTTTAACTTTACTGATTCTTCTTCACTATATAATCGAACAATTCTCCTCCCTTTGCATATTCCATTACTAAATAAAGATTTGTGTCTGATTCCAATATCTACTAATTCATTTCATAATTACCTCATATAGCTTAATAACATTTTAATGCTCCACTTTTCGTAATATTGCAATTTCCCTCTAAACTCTTACAAAATCAGCATCACTTTCAATTTTTCTTTTCTCCAATATCTTTACAGCCACCTTAAAATCTAATTCAATTTTACATATTCATCACAAATTGTATGATAACCTAATTTTACTTTACCAAAGGTTCCTTTTCCAAGAGTGCGATCTCTAAAATTATTTTAATTATACCTAAAACATAGTTTTAAACCTATTTTGTTTATTCATTGTTAGACATATTTCTAAATAATAATCCAAATTTATTATTATAAATTATATTCCACACACCAATTAACTTTACATTTTCATCAATAATTATTAAACTAGATAAAGATATTGATAAAATATAATATCAATAATAATTCAAATAAATACTTGATTCACATATTGAATTAAAATAAGAATTTAATCTTGTTTTAATCATATATTTAAATCATATTTTAGATTTATTGATATTGTAATTATCTTTAGTTAATATTCTATCAAGAGAAAATATAAAATATATATGTACTAAACCATAATTAATTAACAAATAATGTTAAAATAAAATATTATTGATAAATGTATGGTAGCAAACTCAAAAGCTGATAAATAGCTCTATTTAGAAACCATCAATTAATATATTTGCTAGACTTCCTTAAAATCTTTCAAAATTAATATACTTAATCAATTGAATAAATAATCTGGAAAATATATGCAATTGCCTAAGTAATCACATAAGATGATTAAAATTACCATTATTTATTTCAAAGCTATAAATTTATGGGTTTAGCACTACTCTTTTAATAATTTGAATTTATGTTTGATAATTGGGTAGTTCTAAAGAGAAAACCCTTTTTTACCTCAAATAAATTAAAAACAAATATGGTCTTTTCATGTATCATTAAAGAAATGAAGTTTAATACTCAGTTCATCTAAGTTAATATAACAAGCCATTAATTTTAATAACAACCAGAAGTAGAAATTGATAATAAGGTAGAAATATAAAATGAATATATATATCTAGAATATGTGCAAATAATGTAAATCACTTACGTGCCTTACGTCTCTTTCTCTTAAGTCTTCGCATTCTCTTCTTTCGCCACTTTTCTCTCATTATTTATTTATTTTTAATATTAATATATTACAAGATTTAAATTAAGTTTTAAATTGCTTTCTTAAATTAAATCATCAATTATCACTAAATTTTGTATAAAGTGATCCTTTTGATAGATTATTTTAAAATATCTCAAAATAATAATAGATGGATTTCATTATAAAAATACAACATCATCATCATTTAATTTATTGTTACTTTCTTCTAACTATTTACTATAATCCACATATTCAGGTGTAAAATCTGAGAGGAAAATAAAGAAATCTTCTGATTATTGTTTTATTTGTTTCATCTAAATATTATTAAGGTATTTACATTTCTCCAAAATTGTAATAATTCAATTTAATTACGAATATAAAATGATAGTCCCATAGATGTATCTACATGCTTTTAGTTTAATAAGTGAATGTATTTACAACTATAAGAAGTACGATTAAACATTTTATTTTCTATAATTTGATCCTTATTTTCAGCTTCTTATACATAATGTGGATCTAAATAAATGTAATGATCATTAATTCTTCCAAGTATGTAAAATGCCCTTTTTGGTGTACCTCCTACAATACCTTAGAAATATGGTAGTTCCATTATTTCATCTAGAATTTTTAGATATTTTTAATTAGGTTCATCTAAACCAATTCTAGTTAAGACAAATATTGCTAAACTATTTTTGCTTTTTAGTTAAGTCTTTTCTAATTATTCTTCTAAATCTTTATTAGTATCAAATTTAGTTTCGAACATTCTATTCATTAATTAATCAAGAAAGAGACAAGAATCATTAAATACTGATAATTTGAGATTTTCAGATGCTAAAATAAAATAATTATTATATTAACCTCTAATGGGTATAGTATTGTGTAATTATTCAAGGAGAAATAGAATATAATTAGGTTTATACCATTCACCTGGATCTAGATTGAATTCTTTTTTGGCTAAATAAGCTATTTTTTAAATGCTAAATGGACAAATAAAATTGTGAACTTTTTATTAATCCTTTTTATTTAAATATTCAATGAATTCCTTATATTCTGATGAATCATTATCAGCAAAAGCTAATAAAATGTTATCATAATCATCATCTCTCTTATCTCCATGATTTTTAAGATGTTTTTTTAACATTTAAGCCATAGCCATTTATCCTACTCTAAGCATACATCCCCATCCAGTATCTGAAATGTAATTTGATTCTTAAAAAATAATAATTTAAATTACAATATAAAGGAGGATAATTTCTTCTATATGTAATCCAAATAGTCTCTTAAACTAATTATTTAATTTTATTGATACGATCCTTATATAATAATCAAGTTTACTTCAATATCATTATTATCAATATCAATTCGATGTCCTAAAATATATATTGGGTGACCAGGAGGAACGTTCTTGTTATTTAAATATGCATTTAAAATGTATTTCAAGTTATAACTATTTATTATTTAAGTTTCTCTTACATCCAATCTATTAAAACTTCTTTATAATTCTCTTATCTCTAATCCATATAAAATATAATCAACTAAATTAATATTAAAAATCATAAATCATTTTATCACTTATTTTGACATATTTTCTTATTTTAAACTCATTGTCTATCATTAATCATATCTATATATGTAATATGAACATATAATCAAATATAATTGATATTCAATATCTACTTTAGAGAATACTTAAATTTATAGTTAATATTTAATTAATTATGGCTAATTGGAGTTTAAAAAAGTATTTAGAATTGGCCAAGGGCTTCTAAGGACGTGCCAGAAATACTTCTAAAATTATGATGATTAGAGTATAAAAATCCTTGCAATATGCTTATGTGAGTAGAAGACTTAGACCAAGAATTTTAAGTAAGTCTATTATCATGAATAGGACGTGAGTGGATTTAGGCTATTAATGCTGGAGTGAGAGAACATAGAATAAGTTATAGTCAATTTATTTTTGGATTAAATCATTCTAATATATAATTAGATAGAAAGATTTTAGCTAATCTTGCTATCAATGAACCATTTTCTTTTAAAGCTGTTGTAGATGAAGTCAAAATATAAAATAGTATGAAAGTATTCATAATTTATCAATACTCAGGAAAAACCATCTGATTAAGTGTCTCTTGATTAAGCATATGAAAAAGGTTTAATTGCTAATAATGTTACTCAAACTTGGTTTAAGAGAGGTATAAAGGAAGGACATAAATTATATGGTCTAAAAAGAGAATTAACTCCAGAAGAACTTAAGAAATTCGAAAAAGGTGAATGAATATATCATTGCACAAAAAATAATAAAAAAAATGATTAACTAACATCATGTCTTAAAAACTCTTATTAAGACAAAATATCTTAATCATTTTTTAAAATGATCTAATTTAATATTGGTTGTTTTGGCTTCCAATAATCAACTACTTTAATCTAAATAATTTATTTATTTTAATTTACATCTTTATTTTCTATATTAATAATCAATTTTGAATGAGCTTTATGATATGAATAATCATATTTTTTTATTTAATCAAGTAAAGTTAAATTTGGTTTTTGTCTAATTCATTTTTTAACCAATAATGATTAGTTATAGAAAATTTATCTGTTTTAGGAATAGACAATATCGAACATCAACCATAAGAATATGCCTTTTCTCCCAATGAACTTTATCCTAATAATATCATATTCTTGGCTTTCACTGTTTCAAATAAAGTGATAGCTCCACATGAATCAGATATCAAAAAGGCTACTTGATAAAGTTTCAAAAATTTCATTTCTTTAGTTATTTTTTCCATTTCAAAATCCAATAAATATGGTGTATCCTAAATTTTGGTATATTCATATCCACCATGTCCATTCATAAACATCATAGTTTATGGCTTATCTATAATTGAACCAAAATTTGGAAGTTGGAAAAATAACTTATTTATTCTTAGGGATTGGTCGATAGCATAGTAGAGATGAGAATAAAATGAAATTTATCATTAATTATAATAAGTATTTAATTCATTATAAATAATTAGACAATTTAGTGATATTTATTAAATTATATTATTATCTGTTTAAACTTTATCATAATAATTTTGTATTAATTCTTTATAAATGGAAATCTAAATGAAGATTATAACGATTTTTCATTTATTTTTAAATATATAACTAATTATAACCAATTAATATATATTTATAAAATAATTATCAATTTTCAAACTTTTTATTTAATTTAGAAATCTTGATCTAGTTATTAATATCATAATTTATATTATTTCCAAATTTATATATTACTTTTTAAGATTTTAATACATTTATAAAAAGTAAGGAATTCATAAGTTCTGAAGAATTTAAATTAAATATTGTTAATTGATATTTTAGTATAATTGAACTAATTGACAGTTAGATTTCTAATTTATTCATTCAATTATATTTATAATTATTATTATAAGAGGTTGATAAAGACAAGATTATAAATTTTTGGTTTTGAGTTTAATAATTTGAACAATTGATTCATTTCAATTTTGATTTTTTGAGAATAGTAAGTAATTTTATATAAGATTATTTTATATACAATACTTGAAATGAAGTCTATATTGATACTAAGATTACTAAATTTTATTAAACAAGATCGATATAATTTATTGTAGAAAAGTAATAATATTTTAATTGAAAAATGCAAAATTAGATTGATTAAGGATTACTATAGGAACATGAATAAAATAATGGTATTATTTGATTTAAGTGAATAGTTGACATTATGGAGAACGGGAATATTGATAAACACAAATAACCAACTTCAATATTTGAGATGGGAAAGGAATACTTTAAACAGTGCCATCAGTTATTAGCTATTTACACAGCTCTTAAATTTATTGCTGCAGTTACTTTAGTATATAGTGAAACAAAAATACTAGATTATTTTAAGAGAAACTATATATGGAGATGAAATACTAGTAAAGAATTACCATGAAATCTTTAATGATGCTTATTTAGTATACTGGATGTACATTTCATGTATTAATGTAATTGAAAATTAGGTACTCATAGTCTTTTTGCTTTTATCTATTATATTCAACTATTGATTAAGATTGATAATGAAGTTAAATGTACACAAGTAGTTGAAGAAATAGGATAAATGATTGTGATAGAAATTCCTGAAGGTTATACCAATTAAGAAAGATAGGCATTCATAAATGAATAAGTTCAAATATAGAATCAAGAAATGATTTAAAGATTAGAGATAGATGGATAAATTGAGGAATCAAGAAGAATAAGTCTTATTGCAACAGAAATTAAAGTTTTGTATCATATTATATTAGAAAACCCTATTATAAAATGAAAAGCCCTTAAATATTTTAGGAAAAGGATGCTTTATCATATTCTAATTCATTTAATTATGGGGGTTGATATTCTATTTCAATTAGAAGAATTCACTAAATTGCGATGTCTATTTCTATCCCTTATACAGAGGATATTTATTTACTGTATAGTTATATGTAAATGATAGGTTGTATTTATGGGAATATATTAATATTTAGAAATCTACATCATAACTCTATTAGTTTTAATTTTCCTTCCAATTTTACTTTTTTATAGTTTATATGACTGGATAAAGAATTATTGTTAAAAAAGAAGAGAAAGAAGAAGAATTGATGATTCATTGAAAGAAAGTATGTATAGTTTATAAGAAACAGCTGAAGGTAAATATATTCTATAAAATAGGAGAAAATGAATGTGCAATTTGTATGAATTAATATGAAGAAAAAGATAAAATTGCAATACTTCCATGTTCAAATAAACATCGATTCCATTCAACTTGTGTTAGATCATGGTTGGAAATTAATAGCAAATGTCCTTTATGTAGAAGTGATGTATTTCCACTGCCAGAAGAAATTTTCTGATTTATTTTAATAATATGTAATTCACACTTTTATTGTCATTCTAATCTATACTATAAGGGATATTTAATTAAAAAATAAGAAATTACCAAATACAATTATATATATATATAAGAATTATAGTTATTTTAATTTAAGTTATAGGAATGATAAATCTGAATGAGGAATAGAAAATACAACAAAATAAACTATTTAATATATTTGGGTAACATACAAAATAAGCATGTATAATCTTTATTATGAATGCACTTTTAAGAGTTTAAGAAAACGATACATTTTTTATGTCAATAACATTGTATTTAACAATCATAATGTTTCTATTTAATTTTGTGGCAGCAGTATTTCTGTTGTGTTTTAAGAGAGAATTTCCAAAGATTGAATATTTCTTAATATACACAATGAATGTATTTATGTTTATAATACTTCTTGTGTATTCACTAAATTACTTTATCTAAAAAAAGGAATAAGACCATTTACTTTAATTGTATATAAAAACTTACATCATGATATTATTGGGCAAAGTAACTTTATTTATTTATATATATTAAAGGAAATAGAAATACTCATAATCAAAATATTTCCACTTGAATTAACGAATAGATCAGTTAATTGTTTTACATCATGTATAATTGTTATGATGATTCTATCTCATGGAGACAAATACGAATGCTAAAATAAATATTCAATGGTTCTTTTATCACTCTTACTTTCAAATGTTCTGACATCCATATTTAATATCATTTTTACATTGATTCTATTTAATTAAAATAGATCTTAAAAAGAATTAAGAAATTTTGCTGAGTAATTCTAATTTAAATATAAATAGTTTACTTTTGACAGTATTATTCTTAGTGCATCTTGCCTAATATGTACTTGTATTCATTAAGACAAATTCTATTATTGAAGAAGAATGTTAGTGTTTAAGTTTCATATTTCAATTCTAAAAATATGTTGCACCAATCAATTTCATATCATTCTTATTTGTAATATATTAGGAAGTATGTTATTTCAAAGAAGCAATTAAATATTAAGAATTAATTGAAAAGAACAGTTAACATAATAATATGTGTAATATTAATCAATTAATTTTATTAGATAGTGCAGCCATCTAAAATTAATAAACATTAAAATAAGGAGTAAGACATTCAATTAAAAGTCTCAGCTCTGTAGTTAATCCAATGGAAGCTAGTCAAAGTAATTCCCAAGCCCCAAACTTTGGAACGTATCATATTTATATTAATTTAAGTGATAAACAAGGATAAAAATTAGAAAAAATGGGAACTAGTTAATTTGGAGCTTCTTAACATAATTAAGGTATGTAACACTCATGGGCTAATGTTTAAAATCCTAATCCCTTTGGTACTATTGTTAAAGAACAATAAGATAGTATAGAAAATCAAAAAAGAGGAAGTAAATCAGTTGATGAAAGTTTAATTCGTTAAGAAGAATCTTAAATTCCAGAAAATTTATCTCAAGTTAATAATCCAATGGAATCTGGAAGTGTGGTTACTATACATTGATATATTAATTAAATTAATAATTATGTTTTTGATAAATTATAAATATCATTTCCTTTTTATTAAATTCTAAATCTAAATGTCAATTTTGAGTAAGATCATGATAATTATTTGATAAAGTTTTAAATCAAAATTATTTATTGCAATTCTTCATATTTATCAGAATAGCTTAATTAATAATGATGTTTAATTGATAATTATAAATAAAGAATTAAGGGCTAATGTTGCCTTTAAGATAATAAAATCCATTCGATTATTCAAATGATGTACATACTGATAAAGTTCTAAAAAATCAATTGAATTAATTAATTATTTAGTTTTTAAAAGACTTCAATTATTAATGTTATTTTTCTCTAATGATTGATATAAACTTCAAATTAAGTAATTTTAATAATAAATGAACAGAATATTTGATCAATATTCATTATTTTTTAATTATCTAAAAAATAATTACAATCATTATTAAATATATTAAATGTGATTATGTATAACATTTTAGATATATGTAAATAATAGATTTAAGAGGATAAAATTGTCTATATTGAAATCAATACCTAAATTTTGCAATTATAAGTGTAATATATTTTGTATGATATTAAGATTTATATAATTCATTATTATTAAAAAATTCTTCTTACTCTTCTTACATCCCCAAGAAAAATATCTTTAGGAAATTTAGATTTTTGTTTCTCATTACTCTACCTATTATATTGAAGTCCAAAAGAAAACTGCATGATTTCCTATTCATTCAAATGATCAGATTTTGCTAAAGATCTTGGTACATCTATAGTTGTTTATTTTAAAGGAGTAAAATTGCTTCTCCTTTATGGCTGATTTTTGTAATCTAATGATTTCTATAAGTCTCGGATAATCATTTAAGAATCTTCATTTTCAGAATTTAGTGCTTTCTATTCTAATTTCAGATTACTTGTTAAAACATTTTTTTTTAATATGAAGAAGCACGCTCTTTCAATCTTGGAAAATATGCTGTAGATTAATCAACTTTCTGATTTAAAAAATGAAATTCGAGATTTGATTGATCTATTTCTGTTTTGACTCTTTATTTTGAAGCTGATCTATCATTGAAACGAGGTACATCAATTGATCTATTAATTAAATTAAACTATGTATCAATATCTTGATTATCTAAAATATTTAGTATAGTTGATATATAACTACCACGAAAAAGCAAAGAGCTTTTTTGATTAGCATTTTTGTTTGAATGCAATTTTAGGAGGGCTCCAAAATTATTTTCTTGGACTCTTCTTCTATTCTTATTACCAGTTAGTGTAGGACGATAATAATGATTATTATTCATAAATTTATAAAATAATGTTATCTTTACTAGAATAAAAGAAATTTTATTGTTTAGCCAATTTTGATAGTTATTATAATGATATCATTTATTCAATCTTTATTTAAAAAAAGAAGGTAGTAATAGTATCTAAATTGTCAATATATATTCTGCAACAGATACTAATTATATTTATAATTAATATGTATAGTTAAAATCATGGTATATTCAACTCTCTCATGAAATAATTAGAACCATACTAATTTGATGAACCTACATTACCATAATGGTAATTATCGAGTATCAAATAACTTATTTTATCTCCTTATTTTGAAAATGCATAAGAAATTTAGAGTTCAAATTTTGAATTTGTCAAGATATAAAATGGTCGTGTAAGCTTCAAAGTTACATTACCTGCAAAAACATAATTAAATTTCTTACTAAGACGCAATTTTTAAGTGGTATGAGTTACTAATTAAGAGATCTTAGGATTAGGGGAGGGAAAATTAATTTGTAAAACAGAGCATAGCATTAATGAAATACCTTTAAAATAACCATGTAATGTAATGAAACCATTTGAATTAATTAATTAAGGATTAAAAGAGTGTAAAGTAGGAATACAAGTTAGTTGATTTTATTAAATATGATAATATAATTTATATATGTAAGAACTCATCAAATAAACTAAACTTAAGATTACTTTGAATTCAATTTAAACTTCTGATTACTAAAAAATTATTCAAGAAATAGAACCAGAAAAAGAATTATTACATTAAAATATAATCGTTACTTTTAATTCAATTCAAACCAAGGAAATTGAACTAATCAACTTAATAAAAAGATTAGGATTTCTTCTTTATACTTAAGTCAACTAAATAACTTTATAATTTTGTTTGTGGTTTACTTTTTATTGCTGCAAATATAAATAAAATTATATCAACAGATTATTCATTCTTATTGACAAGGGTATGAGTCCAAAAATTAAAGTGTATTTTTTAAGAATTATAGATCAATGTTTAAATACTCTTTAATATATAATATTATTCTATAAAAAAGATAATAATTGTATTTTAACATCAAAGAAGCTATGAAATAAAATAATTAAAATATTAAAATTGATGAACCATATACAATAACAGAAAAACTAGAATAAATTCTAAAAATTTGTTATTGATTACTATGTTTTATTCAATAAAAATTAAAAAATACATCAAAGGACCTATTTAAAGAATGATCAAGATCAATAAAAATTATATGTTAACAAAATTAAGTTAAAATTTAATTAGGTTGAATTAGAGGAAATATTAGATGAAAAAATACATAAAATATTACAATTTATAATACTGAAATATAATTAGAAAATAAAAAATAAATATAATCAACTACAAATCAAATGCCTTTAAAAAATCTAGTATCGATTTAAAAGACTTCAATTAATATTCTAAAAAGATTTGATGCAATCCTAAAATATTTATAAGTCTCTCTTCAACCAGATATCATACTTTTAAAAAATAGTCTTCATTAAAAAAAACTTCAGATTAATGAAATTAATAAAAATAATTAAATAATTGAAAGAGTTTACAACATATCAATCAATCAATTAATTCTTCTAGAAGTTGTTAAAGTGTAAAAGAATTTAATGAATTCATGAAATAAAAAAAGTAAAATAAGTCTCCACATCCAGTTGTTTCAACTAAAAAAATAAATTAAAAAGGAATTTCATATTTTTTCTTAGAGTATTCAAGATTTGGCTTAAATTGTTGAAAAAATAAACTAAGATGATACTTAAATAGAACAATAATTAAAAAATAAAATATACAATGTTATTAAATAATTGAAATAACTTGAAGGAATTAAGAAATATTTATTATGGGAAGATGATCAATAAGTATTTATATTGTTTTCATTTATTTATTAGTGTAAATAACCTCAGTCAATTCAATTATTTCATAACAATAAAGATTGTAAAATAAATAAGATAATGATAATTTTCAGTTAATTAAAAATTAATAGTAAGTTTAAACAAAAAAGAATTCAGAAATATTATATCCTTTAAAACAATACCTAATGATTTAAAAAATAAGAGAATATAAGTCTCTATAAAGAATTGAAGAGAACCATAGAACAGAAGAATTAAACATATATGGATACTTTATGGATAGAGTCATAGGTGTATACTAAAAATTTAGGAATTTAAAAATATTGAAATATCTAAACAAATATTTTAAATAATAAATTATCAATGGCTAAGTCAAAGAATGCTACATCTCATCATAATGCCCGTAAACACCACAGAAATGGTATTAAAAAGCTTCCAAATCAAAGATATAGAACATTGAAAGGAGTAATTGTTAATTCTAATCGAAGTGCAATTAAAGATTCGCCAAAAATAGAAGATTTGCTATAAAGAATGATCCTTCCATCAAAAAGAATAAGAGTCTTGAAACAAGATTAGCCAAAAGAAAAGGAAAGAAAAATATACATTGATCATGACGTACACATATAAATATCATACATTAAATTGCTTCACACATTCATATATATATATTATAGATAATTATTCATGAATTGATTTTACTCTTGGAGATAACATCATTCATATAATCTATAATTAAATCATCAGGGATCAAATACTTTATTAGAATTTCTTATTTTTCATTATCATCTTTTAGTGAAATATATCAATGTTATTTTAATATATATAAGCTTAATTAGGCTTTAACTTATGTTAAATCATATATTGCAGTTATATAATTGATAATTAAATATATGTATATGTATATTATTGCTCAACTATTGCTGACTGAATTGTAAACCAAATTTAATCTTTCCATCAAAGAGAACTAAAAATTTGCTATCGTTGATAACATTGATACTACTTATGTTAATGTTTAAGAATGCTAATTCAATATTGTCATAAATTCTTAAGATCCATAATATTACTATGAAACTTCATGATTTTATGAATTTGGTTAATGTAAAGCCTAACTTAATTATTATTGAATTAAACTCAATTCAGATGTAACTGATGCTTGTTTAGTTATTAAATAATCTATATTTTAATTTTTCTAAGGAATTATAAGATTTTGATTATTTGGGCATAATAAGTGTTATTGATGTTAATTTATACCTGGAAATCTTTAAAGTTAATAGGTATCTGATATATCATTCTAATTTAAGCTTTATTTTTAATCTAATATCTATTAAATATTAATATTATCTTTGTTCTCATTAATATTTTACTATTATTCATACTAATTTGGAATTATTGATGATTATATTTATTCTGAAGGTTAATTATAGAGATTTTAAGATTCTATTATAGTTGTTTATTTAGATATTTCTTATTATTATTATGAATAATTAGAATTTAAGCCAATTTCTTTTTAGGTCTAATTTTATTCATTTTAATAATTGTATTCCTAATCATTTGAGTTTTTCTATTTTTAATCAATATTCTCTCTTTGATTATTGATTTAAGGTAGTTAATTTGATATCTAAGTAACACTTTATTGACTTGAATTTAAATTATGATTTTTTTAATCTAAATTATTTTAATCTTTGTTTGTTAATTTTTAATTTAAATTATTGTTTACAATTAATTGTTGTTGATTCTAATCTTTTCCTAATTATTTAAGTTATGTAATTTATTTCTTATGACTATTATTGTTTTAGTTTATATTTAAATCATCATCTAATACTATAATATGTTTAAATTTGTCTTTTTTTTAATGATGACTCTATTAGTTTTGTTTTTATTAATTACTTGATTATTATACAAGATTTTATTTAGTTGTATTTGTTTAAGGAGAATCTTTTCCAATTTATTATTATAATGGTAAGTTTGTTTATGGCATAATTGCAGCTTATGAATTCAAATCAGATTGTGTTGAGGAATTCAATTTATTTTAATTTAATTAAGATGTTGTTTAATTTTTTTATTAAGATTACTTTTTAATTTGATCTTAATTTTAAATGCAAATTCTTAAAGGTTTTGACAATTACTCAGTTTATTTATTTTAAGGTTATATTTGAGTTGTTTTAGTAACTATCTTTTATTAATCTTACTTATTTTATGTTTTCTCTTATTAGGGTTATTTTAATGAAATATCATTTTATAATATTTCTGCTAAACTTTATTAAATTTAGTCGAATTATTTTAATAAGTTAAAATTATTTTATTATTTCTAATTTTTATTATTATTATCAGATTATTTTTTATCTTAAGAGGGATGATTTGAGATATTTTAATTTTTAGTATTTAATTTTTAGATTTTTTTATTAGTCAAGTTAGATTTATTCACTTCTTTCTTTTTATTTTATTTTACTTTATCTTTAGATTCTATAGATTTATTTTATTTTTTCTGTTATTCAGATAATTGTTATTTTGAAATACCTTCTTCCTTCACTTATAGATTTTGAAGACTTTATAATTTAATTTTTTTTTATGTATTACCTATAATTTCTACATCTTTCTCTTCTTCAGGTTAGATTTCAATTTGAACATCAAGTCCTTCTTTTTCATCTAACCATTATCTAATTGTGAATAATGGAATCTTTAGTAAATAGCTAATATATTTAATATCGACATCAGTAGGATTATCACCTAACTATTCATATACTTATCTTTTCTGATCTTCCTCTAAATCTTGCTATAAAATCATTGCTATATTTTTGATTATATTTTGAACTAACTCTTAATTATTAACATGCAATTTGACTATTTTTTGTAAACCTTTTTATAATATAATTTATATTTAATATATCAATTTCAATATAATTTAAGATTATATATCATATAATTAATTGAATATAAGTTATAGTATATATAAACAATAGTATATATAATAAACATCTAAGTATTCAAAATTAATAAACAATATAAACACTATAAAATTACTAAATTAATTTTAAATCATAAGATTTCTGTCCATTTATGAATGTACAATTAATATAGAAATATATGGAATTAATAATTCAAAAATCAAATTAAATATTAATATGACTTCTAAAGTTCACTCATAATTAAACGAATCTGATATATAAAAAGTCAATTATCCTGATTTGGCTGATGTTAGATATGATTAAAATAGTGACAAAGTATTTATTGGAATTCCAACTCAAAATCATTATATACAAAATGGTATTCAAAATTTATATACAAGGAATCCCTATACCTAATGGATTTCTCATTACTCCCATTTATAATAATGAAAATCCTTGCACAAATGTGCCTTTTGATGCATAGGGATCAATAATCCCAATATAAATACAATGTAAATATTGTCGTAAGGTTGGAACCACAATTATGCAACATCGAGCTGGTCCATAAACATGGATTGTTTCATTTTTGCTTTTCATTTTCTTCTTACCTCTCTTCTTTTTACCATTCTTGCTTGAAAATTGCAAGGACAAAGTACATTACTGTCCTAATTGTGGATAATGTGTTGGAAAGAAGAAATACAAATTATGCAATAGTGATTGAATTTATTTATATTCCATATTATATCATAAGAATTTTGAAGAATTAAGTTAACTCTTATATATTAATCATCATTATTATTGACTTGAAATAAGATATTATAAAATTACTTATATCTTAAAATTGAAAAACAAATTTCTAAATTAATTGATTAAAATTGATATAAAATTTTTGATATTTTTATTGATTCACATCTTTGATCATTAAAGAGGTAACTACTTAAAAATTATTCTTTCTATATTTAATTATAAAATATCTTTATCTCTTAAAATAAATAAATAAAATGTTAATTTCTTTTTTTTAAATCATTACATATTAAAAATTGATAAGGAATAGTAATATAAAAAGAATATATATTCTTTATTTTTACAAAGGATATAAAAACATAATAAAAAATTTAATTCTTATATTATATTATTGATATTAATAATAAAAATATATATTTTAAAATAATTATGCAATAAGAATAAGGGATTAATACAATTAGGATTAGTTTAAATAATCCTGTCGAGAGATAAGAAGATGATTAAGAGTCAGATTAATCAAAGGAAGACATTAATAACTCATAATCTAAAGACTCAGAGAATAATAATTAATCAGAATTATTAATTAAGATGATTAAAAATTCTTTGTATATTTATGCATACTTCAGCATAAGCATTAAAATATTAAACTTGTTTGAGTCAAAATATAAATTCATCTGGAATGCGTATGAGCATATTAAAAAATGATATCGAAATAACAATATAGATATTTAGTCATTTTAAATAGTTTTCAAATTCACTATATATTTTTTCAATTTCTTAAACATCATTTCCAATATAATCATCATTTTCATCAATCTCAATTTATTTATTTAAATTTTACAACTTTGGTATTACTTCTAATAATTCATGTCTCCAAATGATCCTAAATTAAATTAAGAATTTACTGATGAGAATAGACTACTTCTTCATCCTTCTATTCAAATATAAATGTTGGATTGCATACTTACTTTTTATATGATTTTGAAACTTTATAATTTTCAATATCTACATTATAAACTAAATCCGAAGCTAATAGAATATCAAAAATATCCTTGGAAGGTTAATATAATTTTTATTCAAAGATTTTCATTTTTTCATTGATAATTTATAAGAGATCATCATTACTACTAAGATCATCTGTTTATTCTTTATTTTCAACAATTTCATCTTATATTCTAACATTCTTTAGATCTTCTTATTCTTCTATTTAATTTTTTTAATTGTCTTTGTTAATTTATATTATTTAATTGATTTAATGTGGTTCATTATTTTCTGTTATATCTAAATTTTTATTTGATTTTATAGGCTAATAGTTTAAAATTTCTTATTCATTTAATTATTATTCAGAAGTCATCAATGTTGTTCGTTAATTTAATATTTCTGTAGATTATTAATTTGTATTAACATCTTTATTTCTTTTTGATGTTTATTCAATTTATTTTATTTCTTATGGAATTGGTTTCTGTTTGATATTAGATTTATTTGCTACAGGTTAATTATTATCCCAGAGTTCTACAGCATCTCTTTATTCAGTATGGTGTAATTATTTATTTTATTATATAGGTTATATAGATTCTTATATTAAGATAGGTTAAGTTTATTAATTGATTTTTTATTGAAAATCTTATTAATCTTATTCATCTTAAACATCAATTCCTATTTATTTATTATCTTAATTTTCTTATTTAGAAGATTCCTATTTTTTGGTTAAGTTTTTTTCAAGTTAAAAAGTTTCTTCATGAGATTTTTCACTTAAGGTTTCTAAAATTTATTCTTTTTGAACATTTAAATATATTGGAACTTATTTTTAGACTACAGTATCTCCTGTTATTTTTCTTGAGTGAACCTTGCCTTTCTATTTATCATGAGTAATATGTTTTTTATTATTATTTTACTTTTAATGCTAATTTTGTGTTTATTAAATTTATTAAATATTATTAGTTTCATAGTTAATTTGATTTTATTATTAAATTTAAATTGGTTGAATAATTTGTTGATTATTTATTTTCTATAGTAGTTCTCTTGTTTAACGAATTTATTGTGTAGAGGAGATATCTGGTAATTCTGATTAACTGGATTATTAAGACTTTAGATTATTAGTATCAGATATTGATTAATTTTATTATTATTATTATTATTATTATTATTTTTGTCTAGGTTTTCCTTTCCTTTATGATAATTTTCTATCACGAACTTATTCATTATCTAAAATCATTTATTTTTGAGTTTCTTCTTCTTTTAAATAAATTGGTTCTGTTTTAACAACTTCAACAATATAGGGTGAATGTTCTTCCTATTGTTCTTCATTAATTTGACTTTATATTTATGGTGTAGATTGTCTTGATTGCTAGATTTCCTATATAATTTAATCTGCTAAGATGTCTAATTTAACATCTATAGATGGTATTTATGGTTCTTCTTTTTTTTAGTAGAATTCATTGTAGTCACTCATTTAAACTTCATAATTTTAAGGAAGCTTTATTGTATAAGTTTGTTATCTTATTCTATTGAAAATATCTTCATATTAATCAATCATTGTTTGCATCCTAATAAAATATATATATTTTTGGTACTTTAGGTCATAGTTGTATCTATCATCTTTAAGAAAAATTTCCATCTATTTAAGAAGTCTTTATTGAATTAATTCACTTGATATAATTTATCTTGAGACAACCTTTCTATTACTAATTACAAGTATCTCTGTTGCTTTCATTGATTTATCTTACATAATAAGGATATTCTTTACACTCAGTACGGATAGTATATTTATTAGAACATAGTGATTTATTAAGCTATTCTTCATTAGTAGTAGATTGAAATGATTCAAATTCATATAATGAAGAAGGTATTTTACTACCGATCATATTAGTCTTTTAATTGTTTTTTTATAAGAATGCATCTACTTTCTTTTTGAAATCAGCAACCATTATTTTAGTTTACATTTCAGTGTATTTAGTTAGATTAGGCTCTTGATAACTAAATATCATTATATATAATTACTCTTAAGGTTTGCTCAATTCCTTAAATTCTTTTACATTGTATATAGTAGAATGATGATAGAAGTTCTTACTATCCTCTCTTTTGTGTGACAACGCTTACTTAGAGATTAAATCAGCATGTATACCAGTTTCGGTTTTACTAAATTCTTCTGAGTTCTAGATGTAACCATTTCCTAAGAGAGACTAATCTATAATTCTCTCTGTACTTGAAAAATTGACTGCCTGTAGTATTAAGTGAGGGTAATCTAAAGTGCCGTTAAGGATTGATTCTCAAGTATTCTACGCTACATTGTTGACTCATTTTATATATTTATTATAACTTTAATTACAATCATACTTTGAACCTAAAGATTTAAACTTAACTTAATCTATAAAATATTTAAGTTTTTAGACAAGTCAACATAAAATTTTATATTTATAACAAATAAAATGAGACTATAAATAGAATATTGTTTAAGTTTATTAAAATTGTTTTAATATGATTATGAAATAGTATATTTTATTGTTATCAACTTAAAATATTATTATATATAAAGTAATAGTTATTCTATCTTATAATTATTGTATGATAGATAAATATTTGATTATTTATATAAATTTTAATAATTGTAAAACACTCTTATGATGATTGTATTATTTTTTTATTTTTATTCTTTTAAAAATCATCTAATTCAAGTAATAAATTATTATTCAAATATATAAGCATAAATTTTAATGAGTATATAGGTTATAAATAAAAACTATTAACTTAGATCTTTTTTGATTTAATAATTATTATTAATATGTAGTCTTGCTGAAATATGATATAATTAATCTTTGAAATGTATTATAAATTTAAAGTTAATATATATTGATTCATTTGTTTAATAGATTTATATCAACCTTATAGTTTCTAATTACATTTATAGTCTATGTGAGTTAATAAAGACTTTGATGAAGAATTGTTATCTCATATTATTAATTAAAATTATTATGACAACAATAAATGAAATGAAAGATGCTCTGAAAGAAACTCTAGAATCAAGAGGAGTTTTATCTCAATTAAGAGCTAGAATAAGAGCAGAGATATTTAATGCTTTGAATGAAGACCCAGAAGATAAACCTAAGCTCTCTATGGGTATATTTGGATTTTGAATTAGAAAATATGATAATTAATGATTTAATTAGAGAATACATGGAATATAATCATTATAGTTAAACTACAAGTGTTTTTAGTTCAGAAGCAGGAATGCCTTAAGAAATGCTTGATAGAGGATTCATTACAAAAAAATTGAAAATTGTAGAAGATAATAATTCTAAATAAACTCCTCTATTATATGGTTAATATATTATTTAATATTGAATAGGTCTTGTATTTGGAATGAAGAAGGTGATAAATAATTAAGAAGTTCAAAATGAACCATAAACAGGACCAAAATATAGAAATGTTTATCCTGAATCTGGTTAAGTAGTTGAATCTAATAATGAATATGAGTTTTAAGGAGGAAGGAGAAACATTTCTGATTAAATTTTTAAATGAATACCTCAATAAATAATAAATTATTATTTTTAACTAAAAATTCAAATAAATATGTCTAAGAAGGGTATTGATTGGGTGAGTACTTTGAAAAAGTTTGTTGATTCTAAACAATAAAGAACTGCATAAGAAATAGATGATGAAACTGATCAATTGTTTCTTGATTATATTGAATAAGCAAGAAAGAAAGTATATTTAACAGTCTAATTTAATAGGAATAAGAAGAAGATCCAAGTTATAAAAAAATACCTAAATTTTTCTAAAAGGCCTCAGTTACAAATGAAAATTAATTAAGTTTCAGAGTGAGATAAGAAGCAAGAACAAGATTTTTGAATCATAAAACTGGTGAAATATTAGATAAAGAAGATTTAGAAAAATTATGGACAGAACTTAAAAATAATATATCACCACCAGATGATAAGAAAGAAAGAATTAATTATAATTCATTTTTAACAATTGCTTCATTATTACCTATTAAATGTAGACATTTTTTTAGTGCATCCACTTTTTTAAAATTTGACAGAGATGAATATGGAAGAATAGATATTGTTGCATTCTTTCATTCAATAGTTAGGAAAGTCAATCTATTTTAAACTAGAATATAAATAAGTTTGTATGATTCAATTGGGTATATATTATTATATAATATTTTCTAGAAATGGATATTTACGAGAAAAAGACTTAGAGAATTACATCTTTGAATTAATACCTACATTTCCTTAGTTAGAGAAATTAGATGTAAAATAAATTGTTATTTTTTAATTTAGTAAAACTTTTATCCTTTTTATGTTATTACAGCTGTCAGAAAGTTCTTTTTCTTTTTGGATTCTAAAAGAACAGGAAGAATATATATTAAAGATATGTTAACATCCCCAATCTTAGCTGAATTATATGAATTAAGATAAGAAAAGTTAACCTTAGAAGAATTAGGTTAGAATTGGTTTTCAAAATAATCTGCCTTAAAAGTTTATGAGAGATATCTGAAATTGGATAATGATCATAATGGTTTATTATCAAAATAAGAATTATCTAAGTATTCATGGGGATTAACAGATATATTTATTGATAGAGTATTTGAAGAATATTAAACATTCGAAGGAGAAATGGATTATAAAACATTTTTAGGTATTAATAATATTTATAAATATAGATTTTGTACTTGCAATGGAAAATAAAAAAAGTCAATAAGCAATATAGTATTTCTGGAGAATATTAAATGTTTATCATAAACCAGCTATTGATTCTTTTGTTATCAACATGTTTTTTAGGCCAATTATTTAAAAATTGGAGCATAAAGTAGACATTTAAAATACTATTTAAGGATAAATTTGGTTTTAATGTTGAAGATGTTAAAGATGAAATATTCGATATGGCTAAACCAGCAATATCAACTGCAATCACTTTGACTGATTTATAAAATTGTGGTTAAGGAGATATAATTATTAGTATGTTAATAGATGCTAAAGCATTTTATGAATATGACCAAAGAGAAAGTGGTTAATTACTTGAAGTTGAAGATTATGAAGAATTTTGATTATTTATTTATTAGATAATTTTAATTCAAATCAATTTTTAATTTTTTATAATTAATTTATAAAATTAATATATTATAATTAATTAGTTATTCCTTAATGATATATTATATAATAGAATCATTTTGGTTATTAATTTAAATATTTTTTGTAAGAATTTCTGAATATCATAGACTTGTTTAATAATATTAGTATGAATAATTTAATCATTAATCTTTTAAAATTTATGATTTATAATAAGAAGAGTTAATAATAAAAATAGTGAGATAACTAAATAATATAAAGGAATAAGTTGCGATAATGAATTATTAACTAAAATATATTCATTATTTTTTTATTAAAAATTAGATTACGTATATTAATATTAATAATTTAATGGATACAAAAAACTATAGTATAATGAAAGGTTCAAAAAACGGATTAGTAATTCAAAGATAAGATAAATTTAGAACTAATATAACAAAAGGATCAAAAAAACATAGAATTTCTTTTATTGATGAGATTGATAAATAGCACTCTCTTGTTTAAGTTCATGAAGTAGAAAATTGGAAAAATTATAATGTTGAATCACCTGTTCAAGAAGTAAAATAATCATGCGGATGTATAATCATTTGAAGTTATATCATAAATTCACTTCTACATTTCTCATTAAACCTAATTATTGTAACAAAGTTATTATTAAGTATTGCTATCTAAATTGGAAATTATTCTATATCAAATGAATGAATAATCAGAGCATTCATAAAATATAAATAAAGATTTTTATCAATAACAATAATCCTTTTAGTTTTAGTTTAAAAAAATATTATTTATACATAAAATTAATTTTTATTAGAACTTTAGTTATTTATATATATAAAATGGTTTAGTTTTTTATTATTCTAAGAATTTGTAATTAATATAAATATCAGAAAATATGTTTAAAAATTAAAAGAATTAAGTTTAATTATATAATATAAGAATTCTATAATATAAATAATGTATTTATGAAATCCGATATATTATGTATTAAATATATTTATACTTCTGTTTTCATATCAAATTAATTATTATTACTCATTAATATTTACTTAAACAAAACAAATTATAATATAAATGAATAAATATGAAGTTTTAGGAGTAGTGGGAGAAGGGGCTTATGGAGTAGTATTGAAATGTAAAAATAAAGAAACAAATGAGATTGGTAGATGTGTATATTTAATTAATAGTGGCAATAAAAAAATTTAAGGAAACAGAAGATAATGAAATTGTTAAGAAGAGCATATAAAGAGAAGTAAAAGTACTAAGATTGTTGAGACATCTCAATATTGTAGAATTAAAGGAAGCTTTTAAAAGGTTTAGAGTTAAGGTTATTTTATTTAGAAAGGGAAGAATTTATTTAGTATTTGAGTATGTGGAGAGAAATTTATTAGAAGTATTGGAGACTTCACCTAATGGTTTAGAAGTATATATATTAGATTAATTATAGCCTTTATATATAAAAAAAACAATCTTCTAACTTCTGAAAGCCATCTATTGTTGTCATTAACATGATATAGTTCATAGAGATATAAAACCAGAGAATTTACTTATAAGTAATACAAATGTTTTGAAGTTATGTGATTTTGGATTTGCCAGAGTAAAAATTAATATCAATATTAAGTCATTAACAGCATAAACTTAGGATCTTACTGATTATGTAGCAACTAGATGGTATAGAGCACCAGAATTATTACTAAGTTATTCTAATTATGATAAAGGTGTTGATATGTGGTAATAATTATTATAATTAAAGGGCAATTGGATGTTTATTATGTGAATTAACTGATGGTAATCCATTATTTCCTGGAGAGAATGAGATGGATCAACTATATTTAATATAAAAAATGCTTGGTCCTTTGACTCCTAGTCAATAAGAAACATTTTCAAAAAACCCTAGATTTTTAGGTATGAAATTTCCAGAAATTTCAAAACCTGAAACATTAGAATAAAGGTTATTATTATATTAATTAATTTAATAGATATTTATGTAAATTACCTAAAAGAGCAATCAATTTCGTAAAAGGATTGTTAAAAATGGAACCATCTGAGCGTTTAACTTGTAGACAAGCATTAAAACATTAATATTTTGAAGATTTGCCAGAAGCTATTGAATTCATGAAAGAATTAGATTTGTAAATAGAATAAGAGAAAAGATAAGTAAGTGCTGGAGTAAATAGAACAGCTTAATCACCAACCAGTTAATAAAATGTTATAAGAACTAAAGTATAATTAGATAAATATTGAAATAGACATCATTTAAAGTACCTAATTATTTGGGATAATAATTAAATATGTAAAATACAGCTTATGCTTATAATATATAGTAATAAGATTAAGGATAGTAATAATAAACTTAATAAACTTAATAATAAAGTATGAAGAAAACGGTATTATATTTAGTTTAAGTGTTAGTAGTCGATTGACAAATTGATACCATAATATAAAGATACAAAAGTAGGTTTTGTTTCAGATACAAATAAAATTAAAATTTCAGGTTCTTAATTTAGTCAATAATAATTTGCTATAGCTAAACAACCCTAATCAATTAAGATTTAAAATTTAAATATCATTTACAATTCAAACACTTTTAACTCTTCTCAAAAAAAAGGAGGTGCATAAACTAAAAAATGATTATTATTTAATTTTTGAGATTAGGATAATTTAATTAAAATGAGTAGAGGAAGCCAAGGTCATGAATTCTATATTACACTCTTTTCACCAGAAGGTAGATTATACTAGGTTGAATATGCCTTCAAAGCAGTGAAAACAAGTGGATTGACATCAATAGGAGTCAAAGGCACTGATACAGTTTGTTTGATTACAGAAAAAAGAGTGCCAGATAAATTAATTGACGAGAAATCTGTCACAAATCTATATAATGTATCAGAAAAAATTGGCGCCTTAACAACAGGCATTCCATCAGATGCTAGAGCTCTAGTTACAAGAATGAGATATGAAGCAGGAGAATTTAGATTAAAAAATGGTATTATTATTATAAATACTTTTAGGTTACTATTGTCCAGTTGATGTATTATCAAAGAGAATGGCTGATTTAGCATAAACTAATACTCAATATTATTAAATGAGATCATATGGTGTTGAGACTATTTTATGTTAATATGATGATGAATTAGGTCCATTATTATATAAACTTGATCCATCAGGACATTATAGTGGATATAAGGCAACTGCAAGTGGAGTAAAAGAATAAGAGTCAATCAACTATTTAGAAAAATAAATAAAAAAAAAGGCAGATTTAAATTATGATGAAACCATTATGCTTGCTATATAAACATTATAAAATGTAAACTTTATTTTATATCATAGGTAATTTCATAAGACTTTAAGCCAACTGACATTGAAGTAGGTATTGTGACTAAATAAGATAAGAAGTTCCATAAATTAACAAATGAACAAGTTGATCATTATTTGAATTTAATAGCAAATAGAGATTGAACAAAATCTATTAAATAGTATTCCATAAATTAATATATTAATGTTTATAAGTCATTATCAAAAAAATTCATAGTATTTCTAATTTCAAAATTATTCCATTTGTAAATTTTACTATATTCAAAATTATTGATAGTCTCTTATTATCAAAATTTAATATAATAGAAAGGTCTTCTAAAAATTTATTACTCTTTCTTAAAGGAGTATATATTTCTCATCTAATATCTACTTTACTAATCTTTATTAAGTAATTATATCATTCTTTATTAAAGTATATCTATAAAACATCTTTTAATTTGAATCGGAAGAATAACTTAGATATTTAAATGAAGCTGATTTTTATAATTTAAATCATTTGGAATATTCTTATTTAGTTAAAAAGGCTTCGTAATTATTCCAGAGTAAAAGATAATGATAAAAATTTGGATATCATAAATAATTTACATATTTTTATGATCGATTATCTTAGAAGAGAAGAGTATATTGAACCTGGATGTAAGTTTAAATTATAGTTAGCCGATAAAATTATTATAGGGAATAGAATACATAGGAAGATATTTGAGAAAATTAAGATGCATCCATTAGAATAACAATGTTTAAAAAATTTTAAACTAATTTTATCTTAAATGCCTCCCTTGCGTTTACCAAAATAGTAAATAATTATATTTAATATTATACTAGTTGGCAGGATTCTGACTATTTAAGGGTTTTGGCTTTCCATGATTATGATATTGTTAAATCTGCCTAGGTTGAAAAATTAGATTATATGTTAGGGATTAGTAGTACATCTAAGTTGGATACATAAAATTGATTTATCAATTAGACCAAATGAATTACTTGTAAATCTCATTTACATTAAATAGCTTAATGGAGTTTTGTACGTAAATGGATTTGATAGAGTCTTTAGACCAGTAATAATTATTAATTTACAAAAAGCATTAGAAGTATTATTAATAATAATAAATACTTAGTACACTCTCCCTTTATTTTAATAAGCTTTTGACTTTCTCCTTTGCTTAATAATTAGAGATGTTTTAATTTCTTATTATATTGAATCAGTTGTAATTATAATTGATATTAATACTCATCCTCATAAAATTTCAAAGAGTTTTTCAGCAGAATTATTGAATTATATTAAAAGTTGTCAGCTTAACTTTTATGGAAGAATACATAAAGTATTTATTTTACACGAGATCAATTAAGAAATATTTTATCCTTTGTTAAAAATATTAAAGCCTGAGTTTGAAGAGAAAATGATAATTTTAGAAAAGATAAATATCATTTAATTATAAAAATAGATAGATCCAAAATATCTAGAATAAAAATTTCTAGGATATTCTCAAAATTTATATAATAATTTTTGGTAATTCATTAATTAATTTTTAGGCCACCAAAAAATCCAACAAAAAGAGTAGAAAATAATTTCTTATAAATTTAAATTGATGATAATCAATCTAAATCTAATCATATTTTATCTATATATAAAAATGAGAGCATTTAAAGCAGTTAATTTACACTGTAAGTTTAAAATGAAGAAAATGAAATTATCTTTTCTGAAATTCATCAAATTTTAAATGATGAGTCATTTCAAGGTTTTCCTGAATATGTAAGTATATGTATAAATTAGTGTCCTGATTCAATTTTATTTGCTGAAAATTCAGTATAAATTTCAATGGAGTGTGTTTTGTAAGAGCTTACTAATTCACAATTTTCAGAAGTAAAAGGATTTAATAATATTTAAAATGATTATGATAGCTAAAGGTATATAGAATAACATGTAAATACAGAATAATAAACTTGTAAAGTAAATATTAAACCTAGTTGTAATTGTTTAATAATGTGATTTTATATTTAATTTTAATTTTATTGAACAAAAATTTAAATTAAAAACTTAATAGTAAATGAGAATTACTTTAATATTCGCATTTTAAATAACTAATTATTCTACCCACTAATTGATGCTTTATTTTAAATAATAAAATTAATATTATTCTAATACTTTAGACAATAACACTTATGTATATTCTTCAAGATTATTAATATTATTTAAATGTTTTATCATACATTATTAAATAATTTATGAGTATATCTTACTTAATTTATATTCTAATAATAAATAAATTAACTAATTATATTTATTAGTTTATTAAAATTATCTAGATGTAATTAACTAATTAATATAAATCACTATACATATCTTTATATTTTATCATACTTTTAATCTTCGATTTCATAAAATGAGACACTTCCATACTTGTACTTTATAATTATTTAGAAAATTGAAATATAGAGACAAATTTAACTTTCAATTAACAATAATAACTAAATATTCATTTTTATTTCATGAATAAAAAAATTTTAATTGTTATTAGAAGCCTTATTGCTATTTGTGGAGTTTATGCTTCACGAAAATTCATAAGAAAATTCTAAAGATATATGGATTTAGTATTTTATGGAAGAGCAAATACATTTCCTCTCACTTTGAGTGAATCAAAAGAATATTTATTAGAAAATCCTTAAACAAAATATATATTCTTAACTGGACATATTCTCCCAGTAGATTAAGAATAGACAAGATTTCTTAAACTTTAGTGTGGTATTAAAGATAAATTGGAATTTAAAGTAAATGAATTTTAATTGCTAGATGTTTAACATAAGTATAATTATAAAATATCAAAAAGCGAAAGAAAGAATATTAAAATAAATAAAGACAGCATATTACTACCTGAAATATTTGATTATACAAAATCTTATTTATATTAGAAAGAGAGTACTTCATTTTTTAAAAAAGTAAATTGATTTCAAATTTAGATAATAAACTAAATACCTTTCCTTAATAGAAAATCTAGAATAGTTGAAACTCATAAAGGAGCTTAATTTGGATAATTCACAACTATGTTATGTGAAAAAAACGGAGATAATTTAAATCTATTGTACCTCTCCAATTATAATTATAACAAAATATAAAATCAGATTCACAAAGAGATCTTTAATATTGTTACAACAACATCATTATTATTTACTCTTGTAAGTGTATCATAATTGATCTATTTTTTTATTAAATAGTGGTAAAATAAACAAAATGAAAATATAAATATAGATCCACCAGCTCCACCACTATTTAAGAATTCTATAAGTGTGTTACTAAACAGCTAAAATGATTAAGATATATGTGTAATATGTCTAACAAAAACAAGAAGCATAATATTAGAACCTTGTTTACATTTTATATTATGTTAAGATTGTGTGAATCACTTAGATAAAGAAATTTGTCCATTTTGTAGAATAAAAATAGAAAAAAAAATAAAGGTTCTATATTAATAATGACAAATATATATATATTAAAATCATTATCTAAGTTTATCGCTAAATTTAGAATGAGTTGTATAAAATGTTTACATTAATCCTTCACTAAGAGATTTCGTTATTTTCTTAGATCCTAAAATCTAATATTTATAATTACCATCCTAATTAGATTGATAAAAATTCATAGCTGTTCTACCTGTTTAAGCAACAAGTCTTTCTCTTGGCATTTTATACCTTTTTATTAGATATATATATAAATTTACATTTATTCTAAACTTCCTTTATAAGCTTTGGTCTCTAATGATCTTTTTTGCAATTTAACTGGAGGAAAGTAAGTAGTTTTATTACCTATTTATTTACCTTAATCCTTTTAATTCAATAATTATTAATTAAAAATATCAATAGGATTCCTATTCAAAATATAATTAAATTTACTTTGATACTCCATCTGGAATTTAAGGTAGAGGAACTTCTTATTTAGATGATTTAGGTGTATCTGGCAATCCAGTTACTATTAAATTTTCTATCATTCTAACATTTTTTAATTGAATTCTTTCTGTTTAAGAAGCTTATTAGGAAGGTACTTCTTTTCTTAATGGCTAAAATACATTAGATCCAGTATTAAACTAAACTTATTTGTTATCTTATGGATTTTCTGTTTTTCCAATTTCACCTAATTTTTTTTTTAATAAAATAGATTATTGAGTAGTTTATTATTCATGATCTGGGACACGAATAGTTTCACTAGGCATAAACTAAGATTTAGTAGCTTATAAAGTTTAGGCATCTGTAATCAATTAATATTCAGCTCTAGTTAATCTAATTTAGGAAGCAAATTATTAAGCATCATCTCCAGATAATAGATTAGAGCCTGATAATTTGATTTATAAATGTTCTGCAGAATCACTTATTTAATGTTTTATTCCTTCCTTCATTTTATGTTCAAAGTATAATTTAACTCCATTATTCATTGTAAAGACTTCATAAGGAAATTATGATGTTTTATCAATTCTTAAAGCTTTATCTCCTATCACTTCTTTTGTGGCATCTTTGCGTTCTTATAAAACCTTATGTGTTAATAATATACTCTATTTGGTATTTCCTATTCAGGACATGATGGTTTATTCATTTTGGTCGAATCTCTTTTTCCTCCTTTTTTTAAAGGTTATTATTATTATTGATCAGGCTTAGAAGGTTCTTTAAATTCAACTTTCAATTTCTGATTGGTAGGTTATAATTTATCCATTTTAACAGCTCTGGCCAAAAGTATTTTACCATCAAAATCATAAGTATATTTTTATGTTCCTCCATCTTTTTTTTCAATCTGAATTAATTATATATAAATAATTACCTAACTTTGTAATTTATCTTCTTTTTTCTTTTATTCAATTTCATTTTTCTTTTTCATTTCATATAATTTAGCATTTCTTAACTTATCTTCAAATTCATCTTCAAATTCTTCTTAAAATATTTAGATTAATCTAGATTCAAACTAATTTTATGGTTAAGGTGTTGTAGGTAATCTAACAGTATTTTTCTTGGTATCATAGAGTCTAGATTTAGATACAATCTTATTGGGATCAGTTGTTAATTTTTCATCATTTTAATCATTATCATGAGTTTCCTCTTCTATATGATTTAATTAGATATAAAATACCAATCATCATTTAAATTCTGTTTCTTCTCCATCTATCACAAAAAATAGGTTCCTTTTATATAAAAATAATTAAATACTGGTTCTTGATCTTCAATTAAATCACATGATTCAACTTCTATTCCTCCATCATTTAATTTAGCATTCAATAACAATTTTGTTTCAGCTTCAATTTCATTCAAGGCATTAATTGGAATATTTCTGAGTATAAACTTTTATTATAAATTTAGAGTATTACTCTCTCTTATGCATCAGCTATAGAGTTTTTTATAATGAGATTGGAAAGCTAACGACAAATTTAAAGTGATTATGCAAAAGTACCATAATTTTATATAACTCCTGGGATTTCACTATAAACCTTAAAGTTATTGAATAAAGTACTTGTTCAATATTAAAAAAGAATGTCAATTGTTCATCTTCTGAGAATTCAATCATTTCTCTATCTGATAGATCATCTGCAACACTAGCACTCATTTTAATAAATAATAATGACAATAATAATTGTATTTATTTTTTTATGCATATACTCTCAAATCCAATGGATAAAGTGGGCATCCTTATGATATGGATCTGCTAATCTTTCTAAGGGTTGATTAAATGTACCATCCTATTATATAATAATTATATGAATACCCAATGAGCAATATGTGTTGGACGACCATGCCACTTTTTAAGAATATGTAAACACCAATTTGTATCATTATATAATAAATGAGCTGGTTATTTAGCTCTCCAAGCAAGAGATTCTGAAATTCTATTCTAAAATGTTGGCATTTCTAAAAAGTTTAATGCACTACAAACATTATGATATTGATTGATATCTTTACTATAAGATATTTATTTATTATATACTTAGTAAATCTATCAGATTATGTAGATATCACTATTTTACCATGATATGGTAGAATTGAAGTAAAGTGATCACTTAATTTTGCTAAGAAGATCCACATAACAAAAACTCTTGCATAAAAATTACGTAGTGGTAACTAAATTCAAATTATTTTTATACTTCTCTTAAAACCAAATATCCCAAACCAAATCCTGACATCCATTTAGTAACTGTCCATTCTCTCCAATAAGTGTGATTTGGTTTAATGAAAATGTATTTATTAACAAACTCTTCGCATGTATATGATTAAAATGGTCTGGCTAACTATTTAATTTTTTAATATTTATAATTACTTTAGATAAATCTTTCTTATATCTTTCACTTGCCTATAAGAAGAATTCTTTTTTACTTCTATTAAAGACAGGAGAAAAGTTTTCATCATCAAAATCTAATGATTTCAATTCAATGTTGGCAATCATTTTATCATCATATGCATCCTATTTTAATATTTAATATTAATCTACTTATTCTTCTTATGTTGGATGCCACAATTTTGCTTTTCCTTATACAATAGGCATAAATAAATTATTAATAAATAATTATATGATTTCTTCAAAATTAATCAAGTCATTATATGTATATATACCATTCATACAAATGGACTTAATATTGATACATTTTTATTTTAAAAAAATAAACAAAATTTATTCTTATGTTAGATATTATTCATAAAAAAGTAAAGTTGGATATTGAATAAATCTATATTGACAAATCCTGTAGAACATCAAATAATCAAAGAGAAAATGAATCTTAATCAACTAAATTGTATTAAGATATAATCAATGATCTCCCTATTACAGGAGAATGTGACTAATCATTCCCTTTAGATTAAGAAATCATTCAATTACTTAAATATTCTTAGTATTATGGAATGTAAATACTTTCTAAATTTGTTGACTCTTCAATACTCATTGAAAAATTGAGACTTAAGCAGTTGTAATTAAAAAAAGAATTGATGATCTATTTCCTTTAAAATGTTAGAAGTCAATCACCAATTTTACATGACTTAATCTATCTAGAAGCAGCTAATTTAGATAAAGATATTAGATAAGCTGCAATTGAATGTATGAGCAGATTTAAAGTTATTGATGATTAAGAAATCCTCAATTTAATTAGAAAACCTAAAGATAGCTTAGAATTATTATAAAATCATTCAAAAGGACTTCTTATATCAATATTAGAAGATTAATATTATATTATTAGAATAAATGCTATTAGAGCTATCATGAATTTTAATAAATAATCTACAATATTTGCCAATCATGTACTAGAAATATTAATCAATATGTTAAATGATGAATCTGATTTAGTAAGAATAGAAGCAATTTAAGTACTATTAAATTATCCTAAAATTGAATTTAATAGAGGAGATTCTAATGCTATTAAATTCAATTTGAATGAATAAAATTTTAAATTAAGAAAAGCAATCTATGATCTTATAGGTTAATCTATATTCCCAGAAACTCTCCATGATATTTTTGAATCAAGTAATTATCCTCTTTAATTTTAGTCTGTTTCAATCTAACCAAATTCCCACAAGATTTTATTTATATATCTAATTCAGTAAGATAGTTAGCCCTTAAAAATCCTAATATTTTATCAATATCAGAAATAATTAAAAAAGAAAGACTTACATAAGAACCTAACATTTATTCAGAATCATAAGAATATATTGTAAGAATGATCTATGCTTATTACACTACAAGAAAAGATACTGATCCATTCTATTTTTCAAAACATTTTGCTTATTTTTCTGATAAATATCCAGATCTCTTTTAATCAAATAAAGTTACTCCAGATGAATTTTATGCCTTTAAATTATATAATGAATATTAGTAACTCATGAAAGAAGTCTTTAATTCTCTTAAAATATATAGATTACAAGAATGTAAATAAATCTATTCAGAATTATGTGCTAAATATGAATTTGATTAATCAATCATCCCTCCACCACCTTTAGAATATAATCATGAGTTTAGAATTCCTAATTGGGAAATTACTAAATTCCAAAGCAGATCTTTTAAATTTATATTACCATTAGAAGGAACTAATTTCAGAGTTTACCCTGAATTTCCATTAACTTTTGTAATATAGGGAGAATTTAGAAATTTAAAAATGCCTATATCAAAAAATTATGCTATATAACTTTTATTTATGGATGGAACAAGTGAACTTAATAAGATTTCTTAAATTGAAGATAATATAATTAAAGCTAATTTAGAAATGTAAAGAAAAGTATAAGACTTCTCTTAACCAGCTAAAATACTATTTGTGCAATTAGTAGATGGATTATAATTAGGTAATCCTATAAACATTTATCTATAAATTTGATTTTGTTTTTATAAATAGATTTAAATATATACATATTCATTCATTCATCATATGTTATTTATATATTTAAGTTCATTTTAATATATATTTTCTAAATTTAATATTTTTATGAATAAAGTTGATATAATTAAAAAATTTTCACTTGAATATTCAGATGAATTTTTGAAAAGAATAGAACATTAGAGTTTATAACAAATTATTAAACTCATTTTTGAAAGTCCCCTTGCAAAAATAACTAAACCCATTGATTTGAAAAACTTAAAGCAATTAAACAAACCTACATTATTTGAAATTTCTGCAGTTTAGAATATAAGTGAGCCAAAAAAGACAAGGTATATGAATACAAAAGATTGTACCTTACAATTTATTTTCTATCCAAATATAGTTGCTATCTCATTATAAAAACACCCTGAATTAGATTAAGACTTATTTTAATTGGAAGGAAAAAAAGTATTATTATAATTATAGAGTTAGATATTAATACCATAAGGAACAGAAATTTGTAGATCCATTTTGATTTTAAAATAATTCACTCTTATTAATGATTACAATTAGTTACTTTGATAAGTTATAAGTATAATTCTGATTGATTTTTAAACTATTTTTAATAATAACAAATACTCTAATTATATAATCAAATTAGTCTCTTAATATATTAATTTTGAGATTATATTATACTCAGACATATAGATATGTATATAAGATGAAGAATTCTAAGAAAGTCTTTCTATACATTTTAATTTAAATTTATATATATATAGCTCATATTTTAAATACTGATACCAACTTATACATAAGTTAAAGGATTAAATTACAATTAAGATGAGCATTTATATAAAAAAAATTGCATTATTGATTTTATTCTTGCTAAAGTAAAAATAGTTGCTTTAGATTGATTAATTATGCTAATATATTTATTACAAAAAGAGCCTGATGAAAGATGTCATAAAGATCATTTAGCCATAGAAGATCAATTGATTTGCTTATAATATTTTGATCATTTACTTAATTAAACAAAAACTAAACTTTATAAGGCTTTGTTACATGTTATGGCACAAAATGCAGTACTGACAAATTATGAATCAGGTAATTTTGATTCATTATAAAGGTTCGATAATATGGAAATTTAATGATAGATAAGATAAAATCATGATTTTGTATTCTGGTTAAATATAAGAGTATAGAGAAATCTCAGAGGATGAATTAGATGAAAAAAGAAAAAACTTAATGAAATTATATAAATCAGATATATTTTTAGAAAGACCAGGTCGAAAAGTTACTTCAACATACTAATAAAATGGTTTATTAAATTTGACAATTAATGATTAACCCAGATTACGTAGAGCATAGGTTTGTGAAATACCTCAAAAGATTGAGTTAAAAAGAACAAGCAGTATACGGCATAACCGTTTTCCTTAATTACCACCTTTATACTTATAGTCTTTAAATACAGAATTACATTAACTGTTAAAAGGCATAAAATTAAACAATGAATCATACATTTAATATTTATTAAATCAATGCGTTTGTAATACAAAATAAACTCATTTATTTCAAGAAGGAGAATTATTAAATAATGATCTTGTATTGAAAAAACACAACACTTTATTGCTTGCTCTATCTGATTGTGTAATAATTTAGATGAATTTAAGTGATTATTAATATGTAGAGAACTAAATAAAAATATAAAAATAATCAAAAATATATAGATAATTAGAAGCTGGATTTGTAAGTGAAATTGCTGAATCAGAAACTGAAATGCATTAATTAATTAAAACCTTAATGAGTAAATTTATAAAATTTAAATATAATCCTAATAATACTATTTATTAGAAAGGACAATAATTGACATATATTTATGTTCTTGTTTCTGGAGAATGTCAAATTAATGATGATCATAATGCTTTGGCACGTGTTAATTAAGGATGTTTATTGGGAGAAGAATCATTTGATAATAATTAATATTAATACAAATGCATTACAACTACTAAATGTAAATTATATGGAGTCAAAATTATTGACATTAATTTATTATGTTAAAGATATTATTGGTTTAAATAACAATTATTAAATAAAAAGTAAATTAAATCAAATTGGCTAAATAGTAGATGTATTGATTAATAAAATAGAAAAAGAATTGATTCTACTAATCTTAAATTTTAATTTCATATATAAATTAATAAGATTCCAAATACTCAATAATAATTAATCAAAACTCACAGATCTACATAATCTTAGAATATATTTGACAAAAATTAATATTAAGAAATAATGTCTTATCGTAGTTCATATAGAAATTCAAGTAGGTAGACAGTAAAGATGAAATAACTCAAACAACCTTAATCTTAACCAAGTTTTTCTAAAGACTTTAGTAATGATTTTGATATCTTACCTATGCTTATGAATTTAGACAAAAAATAAAGTAATAATCTTAAAGAATTACTAAAAAAAGGTAAAATTAAACCTTAATAATAATAACAAAATTAAAAACCTTCTTCTGCATAAAATTTATTATCTATTCCTTTTAAAGAGTCCACTTTAAAAATTATGAAACGTATTCAATAATACTTAGGCTAATGATTGATTAAATTATAAATATTTAAATTTTCATATATCTACAATTATAATTTTATTATTTTAATAATTAATAAAAGATAAAAAATAAAGAAAATTATTGTAATACAATAATCAGTTAAAAATTAGATGAGCAATTGAGATTTTAGAATTAAATTTAATATTTTATTAAAGAAATTAAAAAAGATATTAATTACTATTATGTTTTAAATTTTCATTCTTTGAATTACTCATGCTAAGTATTTGGAGCTCTATCTACTTTAGCAGAATTAAGAGCTAATACTTTCTCTTCCTTTGGTTCAGGAACTGGTAATGTTTTAGGATCATATGGCCATTTCTCTATCATTTCTTAAGGATTTTCTAGATAACTACCTTATCCAAAATTGACTTTCAATCCATAAAATTTACCCTAAGAATATTATAATATTCATACATAAAATAAAGGATGAGATTAATCTTTAATAATATTTAAGTAAAATGCATTAGGTACTGCATGTTTAACTGAAAATATTTATTCTGATGGTCCTTTAATACTTAAAACATATGCTCTTGCTTTTCCTTGAGTATATCCAAAATAAACATAAGTCCATTAATAAGGAATTAAATCAAATTAATGTGAAACTGGTTCGAAAGAAGGATCTTTAAGAGTATAAGTGCATGCTACTAATTATTAAACCTTGGTGAAAACTGCTAATGTTCGATCTCCAATGTATCGTTCATCTGAGCCTTCATTATTAGTAGTTAACCTAACAAGACCTCTTAAATCATCTGGCATTTCAGGTTATAAAACACCATTTTGCATCCAAAATCCAAAACTGTATTCTAAAAGACCAACTTTATTTGTGAAAGCAAATTAAAACTTATCTTTTTTCTCATTAATATCATCTGGTAATGTTGTATCAATAATATTTACTGGCCATTTAAAATCTTCTGCATCAAGTGCTGGTACTGGTAATTTGCGATGAAGTTTTAAAACCATATCAACAACTTTCTAACCTTCATTTATAAATGCTCCAGTTCCTAAAAAGATTCTTGGATCAAATAACCAACCATGAAATCCTTTTCTTCCAAATTCTTTTGCCCCCATAACAAATTTAGCATAACCTGTCAAAGCTCTATGTTAAACTTAAAGTTCAACATGTTATGCCTTTTATTATTCTCTAAATAACACCATTCCATAAAATTATCCACTCTTATATGCTGCATATATATAAGTCCAACTTCCTTCTAATTCAACATATGGTAATTTAGCATCCATAGCATTAGAAGGCTTGTTAACATCATAAGTACTGAATTCATAATTACCTATAGTTAAGTATGCAGCCAGTACTCTATCTCCTAATTCACTCTTATCCTAATCTTACTTATTAGATGAGAATCTGAAAATATTATGTTGTGGTTATCTCTCTGTTAATGTACTTGGGAAGGATATTAACCATCTAGTCCATAATCCAATTGAATATTCATCAACTGATTCAACTTCTTAAGAAAATTCTTATATTACTGCTTGTTCTGTTTCAACAACTTGATCTTCTTTTTTGAACCACATATACTTTTGATTGATTGCCAGTGCATTATAATTAAGTAATAAATCTTCATAACCTCTTTTTTATACACTTACAAATGCTCCAAATCCATAAGATGCCACCCATTTCTAAATTTCACCTTAAAATCTTTTAGTAAATGGATCTTTAGCCACATAAATTCCAGTATAATGTGGAACAAAATGCTAAACACCTTTGAATATTAAAGGTTTATCTTCCTCAAATAAATGAACTAATGCATGTACTTCCTATAAATCTTCATTATAACCCATATAAATATAAATCCATGCTCTTTTATTATGACCTAATGGAACATTTTCTTCTAAAAATTTAGCCTCATTCCAATCCTTCAATCCACTCAATGTATATGTTGATAATTTAAGGGAATCAACACAAATTGATGCAAATAATGTTCTATCTCCCTAAGATCTCTTATCATTTAAATGTTCTCTATCATTATTTGTAACTCTGAATAATACTTAACAATCATTAGCACTTTATCCATTTACTTGAGATGTCTTGAACCATCCACTAATTGCATATTCACCTACAGTTGACCATGTTTCTCCTTTCAATTCTGTTCCTCCTATTTCATCTGTTACACTTTCTAATTTCCCTATTAATTCTTATTATCCATGCTTCTCCTTATGAATAAATCCTACAGTTAAAGATTAATCTAATGCATAAGAATTATCAATAGTTTTTTTGACTTCTTCTACCAAACTGAAGAAAGATCCAGGTCCAAAACTAAGAGCTATTTTGCTCATTATACCTTAGAAGGATGGCACTTCTGGTTCTCCACCAATATGTAAAATTACAAAATCTCCAAGTGGTTTATGTAAAGCATCCTAATTTTTGGCAGATTACATATCTTAGCCATTGTAAACGAAAAAGGAAGCTACTTATTTAGATCTTATATATCCCATATAAATATAATGCCATTAGCCTTCTATTCTCTAGTTAGGAATTTAATGTAATTCATTTGGAGCATCATCATTTAAATCATAAGTTGAAAATTAGAATCCACTTTATATAAGATGAGAAGCCAAAATTCTATCTCCAATAGCTACTTTTCCAACTTCTAACTTCTCATTATATGTTAATCTAACTAATTGCATTTCTAATGGTAATCTATACAATCTTTCTGGCCAAGCTTATAAGAATCTGCACCAGAATCCAATGCTATATTCTTACATTGATTCTATAGGCTTATCTGGCTAATCATTAAATCTAATTGTCTAAGATTATCCAAGTATCAACTTCTCACTTCTTTCCCATTTATGGACTTTTTCTTATGAAAATAATTTTGGTCCTAAGATATAAACTGGTAACTAAAGGAAATTATCATTTCTAAATGCTCCATCTCCAAAGTTAACTGTAAGTTATGCTAATCTGCTTGAGAAGTTTTCCAAAAATCCATCTCTTGCAACAAATAAAAGGTATTTTGATGCCACAGCATGTAAAACTGGTTCAAGACCTTTATTTTCATGAGTGTCTGCTTTGAGATAATATTGGATCTTTCTCTCTTTCTTGGAATAGGCAAAATAAGCAAAGGTCCAAATTTCCAATTATTATTTAGGTATATTACATTCGTATGGAATATTTAAAGTTTAATCTTACAAAGAATATGTACTAAATAAAGCTGTTCCAATATGAGACAACATTAATACTTTATCACCAATATTTTTAGCATCATCCTCTCCTTTATTAGATGTTAATCTATAAATTACTTAATTTGGCTTTGTAGCAGTCTTAAACCATCTAAACCATAATTAAACCGAATATTCTCTTGCTTCTTATTCAATAACAATAGGATTTTCAATTTTTAGATTAGTAGCATCTTGTTTTCCTGCAATAATTTCAAATTACTTTTAATTTGATATAATTTCTGGTTTTGGATCTTTATTCTTGATTCTTCCTAAAATACCTTATTTATTGTCAATAAAGGCTCCAGGTCCAAGGTTAAATCTTACTGTTGTTATTTACCCATTGAAATTAGGATAGAATTTACCTGCATGGCCAACAGTTAATTACAAATAATTTTACAATAAATTATGAAGAACATCCATTTAAATACCTGCTGTAATATCATTATAAGAAGTAAAAGCAACTGCATGTCCAACTGTTTAAGATATTCGTTTATAACTGAAATAAATATATGTCCATTCACTTTCTGATTCAATTAAATATGGAATATTTCCATTAATATTGTTTGATTAAGGTTGTACATTATAAGTTGAAAAATGATGAACACCTTTACCTTATAGAATCAATAAAACTCTGTCACCAGGTTATTCAAAATCTTTATAGTCCTTTTATGTTGTTAATCTTGCTAAACCCATCCATTATGGTTGTTAATATAGAATTCCTTTCTTGCCATAATGCTAGAATCTAGCCCAAAATCCATATCCATATTCACTTACACCATGAAGATGTAATTTATCACTTTATTCAAATTGAACATGCAAAGGAACATCTTTTTCATTTGATCCACATTCAAGAACTTATTCAACATGATGAGCTTCTTATCCAGCCTATTCTAATTTAATATGATCAGTTCCACTAACAAATCCAAAATGTACTTTTATATTCTCATCTGAAACAAAATTACCTTCTCTATATGAACCTTCACCTACATTTATAACCCAAGTCTTCATTGATCCTTAAAATTTCTATTACTCTGAAGAAATGATAATTGAAAAAACTGCTACATAAAAATGAGTCACCTGATCTTAATTGAATTTTGAATCAGTAAATGTGAACTTAACATATCCAAATGTTTTTTTCATAACTTATGAATAACCATAATAAATATAAGTCCATTAATCCCAATATTCTCCTAATTACTAATCTTAAGTAACAATGCCTGAACAATCATCTCCTTTACATGAATAGGTATTAAAAGTATATGATTGATCAGATCTCAAGATTTACAAAGTCTATTCAAAATTACCATTTAAATCATCTATTTTTTTTTAAGCCATAGATGCGATATGGAATGTTTTTCCAAGTTTCTATGCTCCACTCCATTTTACCCACCCAGAAATACTATATTCTTTAATACCCTAGAACTTATCAAATTAAAACTTTTAACTAGGTTAATCAACTGGTGTTCCAATCAATTATTATGTTTATCTACTTATGGGACGAATTTGAGCTTTATCTGGAAGACTGTTTTATGTGTATAATTTCAAATCATCAGCTGTACTGATAAATGATCCTGGACCAATGGAACATTAAATTTTACATAATTATCCATTAAAAAGAGGAGCTTAACTCTTTCCGATAACAAATTCAACGTATTCCAAAAGAAAATCATGCAAAATATCAAAAACAATCTCTTTAATTTCTCCTTCTAATCCAAACTATACATATCCTTTGGCAATACCATTAGTACCCACTCTCTTATAACCAAAGTAAACATAATTCCAAGATCCTTCAATATTATTGAACTCAATTTCATCTTTGGCTTTGTAAGTATAAAATTCATAAGCATCCTTACTTAATGTAACTGCTAAAGTTTGATCTTTTTCTGTTGAAGGTCTGGTATTTGCTCGTTTTAATTTACCCTCTACTTATTCAATTAAATATGGTGCTGTACCAAATCTTGCTATATTGTGTACAGCTCCTCTTTAGGCTAAAAATTTTGGTAAAGTCTATAACCACCTTGTCCATAAACCAAATGAATATTCACTTTAACCATTCAGTCTCAATTTGCTATCATCATGCAATAAGATTTTATCAACTATTGGCTATTCAGCATCATATTAAGAGTCTCTAACTAGATTTGGATCTTAAGCATCATCCTTGTATTAAATTGGTTTCACAAGTTGATAAACTCCAACGGCTCCATCGCCATAGAAAAATTATTACCCAAAATCTAGACTTGATCTAAAGGCTCCAGGTCCTAAATAAATTCCTACATATCCAATCTTTCCATTAAAAGATGATATCTATTCATCTCCTCCAATTGTGAAATATAATTTTGTCACTAATTTGTGTTGTATTGGATCCAAAATTACTTCATCTGCTTTTCCTGGTCTTATTAATGCTCCATAAGCTTTTAATTTATCATTATCATATCCAAAATATACATAAGTCCAAATCAAATTTGGAGATTCAACGTTTTTAGAAATATAAGATGTTCCTTTTGCTTTATTACCTTATATTGTGTAAGTATTAAAATAGACTGTACTCTTAGCTCCTCCTCCATATGTATAATGTATTTCTAATGTTCTATCTCCTAATACACCTTTGTTTGGTTGTTTTTTTTAAGTTGATCTTAAATTAAATATTTAGAAAGTATTTTATTCATCAACCTTTAAATCATCAATCCATCTAAACCAACCTGCTATGCTATACTCCTCTATGATTAAAGACGATTCTTATGGATTCAATTCTTAAGAATCTCCTTTACTATTAGCACTTAATTATTTAGGAGTTGTTAAAACTTCCAAATCAGTCAAGCTATTAACTGCTTGAGGAGGATTACTAATGGTCTTTATCAATTCATTTAATTTTTACTCTGAATCTATAAAGGCTGGAGCGTCTATATCATAGAAAATATTTGCAAATTATCCATTAAATCCTTAGTAAGAAAGGTGCTTGCCTCCTATGATCAATTTAAAATAGGTTGGAGGTACATGTAAGCATGATATTTCTGTTTTCAAAATCTTTCCATTATTTCCATAACCTAATACAAAACCAATAGCAGACTTTTTAGCCAAGCTGTATGAGAAAGTTATGAAATACCACATGCTTTCTAATTCTTCATTTAAAGCAATAACTGAATCCTTCACTTTTTTTCTATCTCCATGATCATAAGTTGAAAAAACAAAAGTATTCTCGAATAAAAAGATTGAGAGAGTTCTATCTCCATAAAATGTGAAGTCTCTATAATCTTAGTTAGAAGTCAATCTAGATATAAAATAAAAAGTCTAAGCCTAACGTGAATGTAATTTAGGAGCACTTTCAGTGTATCTCAACCAAAATCCATATCCATACTCATCCGAATCTTAAAGCATTTCACGATCTGCAAATTCATATTATTCAGCTGCTTCTCCATCAAATGCACTCTAAACATATTTTGTTGAAACAGGTATAATTATTTTTTCTTAAGATGGTCTTGTATTTATCTTATGTTTAGGAGGGCTATATTAAGTAGGCTCATTAGCATTGTATTCATCCTTTAGAGAATGTATTTTTATAGATTTTTCTTTATTTATTTCTTTACTAATTTCTTTATTTTCTTAACTCGTTTCTTCAACCTTGGCTTTTTCGTTTTTTAATATATCAGAAACAACTTAATCGGGTTACTATTCTTTCTAGTTTTACCCATTTGTATCAGATTATAGACCCTCTTATGATTAATTTTTTTATGAGTTATCTTATTATTATTAAGATTGATCTTGAGTTTTCTTGTTTTATTATTATTTTTGTTCGTCCTGGTTGATACCTGTTTATTTATCACCTTCTTATTTTTCATCATTATCTTTATTATCATCACTTGAAGTTGAATCAAGTAAGTCATCCCAAGATTATATAATTAATGATCTCTAGTTTTTTGTTTTCTGAACTACAGACGATTTTTTGAAAGCATTATTAACTGGATCAAATTCATAATATATAATTTTGTCATCGAATTCTTGATAGTAAATATAATTATCTTCCATTTCAGAACCGGTTTAAGAATTATCTTCCCCCTCTACTTCCATTTATGTATCAGACCCTGAATTGAAAAGAATCTTTTTGGAAATAGTTTTTGATGCTGGAGCTGAATTAGTTAATGGAATTTCTCCTTCATTTTTTGATTATTCAGTTGGATCATTCGCTGATTTAGAGGAGTTCGACTTTTTCAAAGATTGTTTCTTATTATTTTTTCCCAATTTGGCAAATTATTATTTTGTTTTTTTTACAAGTTTTTTCACCATTTTTTTTAATTTTTTCTTTCCTCCTTTTCCATCTGGTACCTCCTCTTCAACTTCTACTTCAACTTCTACATAATCTTCTTTTCCTTCTTCTGTTGATACAACTCCACCTTCAGGTTCTTTTGATTATTCGTCTGAATAATAGTCACCATCCTCTTATTTTGATGATTCTTAAGTTTCTGTATTCATGTCTTCATTTTTTTGCTCTTCATCATCTTTAACTTACTAATGGATTGGTTCTGAAGAGGCATCTTCATCTTTACTTTCATGCTCTTCATCAGCTAGTTACGAGGGCTTTTATGCTTACGCTTTTGGTTGTTATTAAGAATCATTTGATTTTGAAGCTGATTATTTTGCAGGCATCTAAGCTTAAAGTTTTGGATTGCTTTTTTTGACAATAACTTCTTCTTCTACTTTAGATTCTTCTTATTAACTGGGCTTTGGTGGTTGAGATCCAGATTTAGCATTTTATACAATACCCTCTTCCTTAATTTCTTCTTCTTACGAAGATTAAGCTGGTTTTTCTGATTTTAATTTAGAACTGCTTTTTCTAACAATAGCTTCTTCTTCTACTTTAGGTTCTTCTTATTAACCGGGCTTTGGTGGTTGAGAGCCAGATTTAGAATTTTTTACAATACCCTCTTCTTTTAATTCTTCTTATTTTGAAGACTAAGTTGGTTTTTCTGATTTTAATTTAGAACTACTTTTTTTAACAATAACTTCTTCTTCTACTTTAGGTTCTTCTTATTAACTGGGCTTTGGTGGTTGAGAGCCAGATTTAGCATTTTTTACAATACCCTCTTCCTTAATTTCTTCTTCTTACGAAGATTAAGCTGGTTTTTCTGATTTTAATTTAGAACTGCTTTTTTTTACAATAACTTCTTCTTCTACCTCTGGCTCCTCTTATTATTCTTATCTAGTATCTTCTGTATTTTGTTAATCATCTTGTTATTCATTATTTTAACTTTCTATTTCATTTAATTATTCCTCTTCTAGTTCCTTTTCTTCTTCCTCTTCTATTTCCTATTATTCTTCCTCTTCTATTTCATTTTTTTCCTCTTCCTCTTCACTATCTTATTCAATCTGTTGGGAATGTTCTCCTTCATCATCAATAATATCATTAAATGGTGTATCGTCCTCCTCACCCTACGGACAGACTTAATCTTCAAAAGCTATTGAGATATCACCTTCATTTTCATCAGGCAAATGAACAATTTTTTAATGTCTCAACTACTTATATTTAGGATTAGACTAAAAGGGCTAATCTTAATTAGCTGCTTATTAGTGAGATGATTAATTATCAAACTTTGGATCATTAGATTCAGGTTGATCGTATCTACCTGGAGGTAATCTAGTTGAAGGCTATCTTGGTTCTTTTTGACCACCTTGATAATTTGGATTTGATTAGAATGGCTTATCTTAATTAGCTGCTTATTAGTGAGATGATTAATTATCAAACTTTGGATCATTAGATTCAGGTTGATCGTATCTACCTGGAGGTAATCTAGTCGAAGGCTATCTTGGTTCTTTTTGACCACCTTGATAATTTGGATTTGATTAGAATGGCTTATCTTAATTAGCTGCTTATTAGTGAGATGATTAATTATCAAACTTTGGATCATTAGATTCAGGTTGATCGTATCTACCTGGAGGTAATCTAGTCGAAGGCTATCTTGGTTCTTTTTGACCACCTTGATAATTTGGATTTGATTAGAATGGCTTATCTTAATTAGCTGCTTATTAGTGAGATGATTAATTATCAAACTTTGGATCATTAGATTCAGGTTGATCGTATCTACCTGGAGGTAATCTAGTCGAAGGCTATCTTGGTTCTTTTTGACCACCTTGATAATTTGGATTTGATTAGAATGGCTTATCTTAATTAGCTGCTTATTAGTGAGATGATTAATTATCAAACTTTGGATCATTAGATTCAGGTTGATCGTATCTACCTGGAGGTAATCTAGTCGAAGGCTATCTTGGTTCTTTTTGACCACCTTGATAATTTGGATTTGATTAGAATGGCTTATCTTAATTAGCTGCTTATTAGTGAGATGATTAATTATCAAACTTTGGATCATTAGATTCAGGTTGATCGTATCTACCTGGAGGTAATCTAGTCGAAGGCTATCTTGGTTCTTTTTGACCACCTTGATAATTTGGATTTGATTAGAATGGCTTATCTTAATTAGCTGCTTATTAGTGAGATGATTAATTATCAAACTTTGGATCATTAGATTCAGGTTGATCGTATCTACCTGGAGGTAATCTAGTTGAAGGCTATCTTGGTTCTTTTTGACCACCTTGATAATTTGGATTTGATTAGAATGGCTTATCTTGATTGGCAGCTTATTAGTGAGATGATTAATTATCAAACTTTGGATCATCAGAAGCAGCTAAATCGGATCTTCCAGGTTATAATCTAGTAGAACCAGTATATTCTTTTGGATATTAACTTTCACAATACTATTGTTTATTTTTAAGTTCCTCAATTTTTTTATATAATTCCTAACTATTTTGATATTGATAGCTCTAATTTAAATATTATTACAGTTGTTGTTCCATATTATATAAGTTTTTAATAATTGTGTTTGCCTTTGTAGCTCTTTCGCTTTAAGTAGTTACTTAAGAAAATTCCCTCATTTATTATTAAATTTCATCAATACTATATTTTGCCCACTTACTTTCTACTTAAGCTAGAGACATTTCTGACACTGATGATGAAAGTCTTTGACTGATATGTAAAAACATTTCTGGATATAATTTCTATATAATTACCTTTCTAAATTCCTTCAATATGCTTAACTTTCTCTACTAATTTAACTATTTATTCAATTATTTAGAGATCCGTCTGTAATTTTTATTAATTATCTATAATATCGATCCATTTAAAAAGCTCTTGAATGACAAAATCATAAAATCTTGGCTCCATTTCACAATTAAATCGATCAACACTCAAATGAAATGCTTCTTCTAATTTTAATTCTTTTGATAATTCTTATGCTTACCTCTTCCTAAAGTCATTTAATCATTAGATTTAGTTTAGTTGGCAACAGCAACTAAGAGAAGGACTAGAATCAATTTATTCATATTATATTTTATAATCCGTTTTTATGTTTAATTTGTGCAGACAAAAGGTACAAAATTTTTAATTATAAACAGCATTTATTATTATATTATTGTTATATTGTATTGAAGGACAAGAGAAAATAGTTTATAAAAATATGAATTAATTGTATCCATTTTTAAGCTATAAATGGGTCGAATCATGCGTATTTTTATTATCGTTTAATTATCTGAAAACCTGATTTAGAAAACAATAGAATAACGGATTTGATGCCGCAAAGCATACTAAATAAAATAAAAAGTTATACTAAATAAAATAATAATATTTTATTAATGGTGAAGAATCCCTAGAGGATTACTAATTACACTCTTTTTATTTATCATTCCTAATATAGATTGTCTTTGGTAAGTATAAATTAATTTATTTTCCATATTGTTCTTTTGTCGTTAAGTGCAATTTATTTTTCTAAAAGCAAGATCTATTGATAAAAATTAGCATAAAAAAGGCTTAGATTAACATATTTTATCTCTATTAAGATGAAAAAATTGAGATACTTTAGGAACATAGAAATCCTAGATAAAAATATGTCAATAAAAGATCATACAGTTTTTGAAATAGAAATAAAGATTTAAAAATTGGAATTTTAAACTCTTATTATTTTTTTCATTTATAGCAAATAGTTTAAATTAAGTAATTAGTTAAGATTAGTTTCAAAGAAATGCTCAGAGTGAGAAGTTTAGATTTAAGGTATTTTAGAATGTGAAAGAGGATAAATTATTGAAGCCATTTAATCAACTACTAAGTAATTATTTAAAGATGGGCATTTTTAAATAAAGAGAAGAGATGAGATAATATGATTTAGAACTAATGACTTATGATAATTTTTTTTAGTTTTAAAATAAGAAAAAGATATGACTAAGTTAATAGATAAAAAAATTTGAATGAACATAGACTCATTAGCTATAAACAATAGTTTTTAATAGATCTTTGATGTTAATGATGAGCAACTATGAGAAAATTATATGAGGCTAGAACAAGAAAAGGAGATTTTGTATTAAGACCTAATATCTCATTGGACTAGAAAGGCAAAATTTATGATGATGAAAATAATAAAGTGTTTACAGGTTGTTAAACAGAGAAATAAACATATATCACAAAGAGATTTTATTTGGGGGAGTATGTTTATGATTATGTTTTTTGATTAGAACTTTTATTTACACTTAAAAAATTAAAGAACTTTGAATTAATAAAATAAAATCTATAGAGAATATTTATTAAGAATTAATGAGAAAACTTCTTAATTATAATTAAATAGTGCCTTTTTTTTAATCTAATATACTTAAGATTATTAAATTGATTAACATTAAGTAAACTTTCAGTAAAAACAAAAAATAAATATTTATTTTAAATTCTAGTATTTATCATATTGTTACAAAGACAATCTGTCAATTTTATTTATAGTAATTCTCAAATTTATGATTAATAGAGTTTTATTTTTGATTATTTTTATCATTACAAAAGTAATAGTAGCATAAACATCTTGATTATTTTTGTTAATATTTTTTATTTAAATTCAAACAAATCAATGAATTGCAGCGTCTTCTCTTATTATGTTGAATAGACATTGCCAAATTATGTTCAATAGAAATTAGAGGAATGTTTTGTATAATTGAGTAATAATTAAAACATAATAATGTGTGTTGACAAGATATGTGAATAGATTGAATTTTGTCGGAAATTATGTAATCGATTATAAGCACAAAAATAAATATTCACGTTGATAAAATTATTGGAACATCAAATATATCCGATAAAAGATGCTGAAAAAAATAATACATATCTGCTATCCCTACAGGATGTATATGTATTTCAAATAATACTCAGAATGCTTTGTATAATGATTTAATTTGAATCAAAAAAATATCATGATAATTTTGATGATGATTATACAGAAAAGTATGTAATATTTAATAAATTTTAGATTTAGTAACGATTTAGTCAAGGGTTTCTTAATATTAAGAACTAATTAAGCAAACTAATTAGACTAGTAATTATTAGAGATGTTCCTAAAACTAAAATCAAGATCTATACTATTTTACAAGTATTTGATAAAATGGAGTGAATAATTTTAATTGAAAAATTGTTTTTCATCATTACGAAAATTAAAATTGCAATTAAAAAAAAGACAGACAGAGCAAATGATAGAAAAAAGACGTTAAATTGATACAATTAAATAAGAATATAAAGAAGAGTGCTCCAATTCATTTTATGAATAGAATGATTTTAGAATAAAAGATAAAAGGCTATAAATGATTATGAATGTAAAATAACCAAAATAAGAACAGCAATTCATATCATTTTAAGATATCTTAAGATAGAAAGAAAACACTAAATTTATTAATACTACAGAATCCACATTAAGCCGCCCTTCTTTGAATAAAAGAACAATAAATGGTGGAATTAATGGAAAATACAAAGTATTTAATTATATGAAATATCAAGTTAGGGAATGAGATAAAAGTACTAAGAAAGACTACCTCCTCAAGCAGTAAAAAAAATAATAAAGCTGAAATGCAACCATTTTAAATTTTATAATAATAATACTAATTAGAATTTTGCAAAGAGGTGAGTAGGAAGCTTTTGAAATTATAGTAGAAGAAGTAAATGAATTGGAACAGTGAGTATTTGGCTGCTGATACGGAATCTGATAGTTGTTTTAATTGATAATTTAATTCATAAACTAGTCGTTTTTGTTGTAAATCTAAGCCTTTTTATTGTGTTGATTTTCATAAATATATTTTAATGAAAACATTGTTCCTTATTGCATTGATTGCTATTGCATTCACAGCTAGAGTCTAAGAAAGAAGTCTATCAAAAATTACAACAGATTTGAAAAAGAGTAAATATGGAAGTGCTCTTCTTCATTTAGTTGAACTACATTCCATGGCTGGTGGTCCAGTCTAAGAGTTGATTGATGCAATTGAAGAATTAATTAATGATCTTGAAGAAGAATTAGAAGAATTAGAATTCAATTTCTAATAGAGAACAAATGAGCATAATTCAATGGTCATAGGATATCAATAAGATATTTAGGATGCTGTTATAGGTATTATACTAACAAATATGTAGATGTAAACAACACTTAAGACACTTTAGATAATTTATTATTTCCAAGANCAAAGACAATCTGTCAATTTTATTTATAGTAATTCTCAAATTTATGATTAATAGAGTTTTATTTTTGATTATTTTTATCATTACAAAAGTAATAGTAGCATAAACATCTTGATTATTTTTGTTAATATTTTTTATTTAAATTCAAACAAATCAATGAATTGCAGCGTCTTCTCTTATTATGTTGAATAGACATTGCCAAATTATGTTCAATAGAAATTAGAGGAATGTTTTGTATAATTGAGTAATAATTAAAACATAATAATGTGTGTTGACAAGATATGTGAATAGATTGAATTTTGTCGGAAATTATGTAATCGATTATAAGCACAAAAATAAATATTCACGTTGATAAAATTATTGGAACATCAAATATATCCGATAAAAGATGCTGAAAAAAATAATACATATCTGCTATCCCTACAGGATGTATATGTATTTCAAATAATACTCAGAATGCTTTGTATAATGATTTAATTTGAATCAAAAAAATATCATGATAATTTTGATGATGATTATACAGAAAAGTATGTAATATTTAATAAATTTTAGATTTAGTAACGATTTAGTCAAGGGTTTCTTAATATTAAGAACTAATTAAGCAAACTAATTAGACTAGTAATTATTAGAGATGTTCCTAAAACTAAAATCAAGATCTATACTATTTTACAAGTATTTGATAAAATGGAGTGAATAATTTTAATTGAAAAATTGTTTTTCATCATTACGAAAATTAAAATTGCAATTAAAAAAAAGACAGACAGAGCAAATGATAGAAAAAAGACGTTAAATTGATACAATTAAATAAGAATATAAAGAAGAGTGCTCCAATTCATTTTATGAATAGAATGATTTTAGAATAAAAGATAAAAGGCTATAAATGATTATGAATGTAAAATAACCAAAATAAGAACAGCAATTCATATCATTTTAAGATATCTTAAGATAGAAAGAAAACACTAAATTTATTAATACTACAGAATCCACATTAAGCCGCCCTTCTTTGAATAAAAGAACAATAAATGGTGGAATTAATGGAAAATACAAAGTATTTAATTATATGAAATATCAAGTTAGGGAATGAGATAAAAGTACTAAGAAAGACTACCTCCTCAAGCAGTAAAAAAAATAATAAAGCTGAAATGCAACCATTTTAAATTTTATAATAATAATACTAATTAGAATTTTGCAAAGAGGTGAGTAGGAAGCTTTTGAAATTATAGTAGAAGAAGTAAATGAATTGGAACAGTGAGTATTTGGCTGCTGATACGGAATCTGATAGTTGTTTTAATTGATAATTTAATTCATAAACTAGTCGTTTTTGTTGTAAATCTAAGCCTTTTTATTGTGTTGATTTTCATAAATATATTTTAATGAAAACATTGTTCCTTATTGCATTGATTGCTATTGCATTCACAGCTAGAGTCTAAGAAAGAAGTCTATCAAAAATTACAACAGATTTGAAAAAGAGTAAATATGGAAGTGCTCTTCTTCATTTAGTTGAACTACATTCCATGGCTGGTGGTCCAGTCTAAGAGTTGATTGATGCAATTGAAGAATTAATTAATGATCTTGAAGAAGAATTAGAAGAATTAGAATTCAATTTCTAATAGAGAACAAATGAGCATAATTCAATGGTCATAGGATATCAATAAGATATTTAGGATGCTGTTATAGGTATTATACTAACAAATATGTAGATGTAAACAACACTTAAGACACTTTAGATAATTTATTATTTCCAAGAAGAGAACAACTTTAAGTTAGAATTGAATAAATTTAAGAAAATTAAGAGGCAAATAGAAAAAATTATGATGAAGCTGTACTTACAAGAGAATAAGAACACGAAGATTTTGAATTCTAAATTGCAGAATTGAATGATGCCACTGCAGCAGTAGATGATGCTCTTGCTCTCCTTTCCTCATTAACAAATCCATCACTCCTTTAGATTAAGAGATTCTAAAATTCTTTAAAAAATATTGAAAAAAAGATCAAATCAAGATCAAAGATGGCTCCAATGATCAAGGCACTTATTACATTAGCTTCAAATTAAAATTTCTCAGATTAAGGCATTATTGGCTAAATTGTTGATGCTCTTAATGAATTTAGAAATGCAATTGTTGATTCAATCAATGCCTAAACAGCTGCTGAGGCTGATGCTTAAACTGAACATGAAGAATATCTTGAATAATTGGATGCTGAATATGCTGAATTTTAGAGATAAATCAACAGAGTTAATGTTGACTTGACTGCAACAAATGGTAAGAAAAATTTGAATAATATTTAGAAAAAATCGATTAATTAAGTGAATTTAGAGACTAAAGAGAAGCTGATAGAAAATAATATACAGCAGAACTTGAATTAGAAAATAACACTTATGCTTAAGAAACAGATATCTATACAAACTTAAAAAATGAATTTACAAGAGAACTTGGAATTAGTGAACAAGCATTGTCAGTTGTTTAAAGCGCTGACTTTAGTAACATTTAAGTTTGAAAGGAATGACTTTAAGTTTCTTTTTAATATGCAATCATAAATTTACATTTTATTAAAATTCTTTTTTTATCTATAAAGTAGTAGTTATGATCTTTATAAATAATAAATTTAAAAATAAAATATAAACGATTAATCCGATTCTTATCAATCTATAATATAAAATCGTTTTTATTTTAGTAATACATATGAATTTATGTTTTCTCTATAATATTTCTTTTTGCATCAAGTGATTACGAATTATTATCAAACTATAGAATTTAAAGTTCAGAAAAACTATTAATGCAAAATAGAAATATTATAGAGAAAACAAAGATTCAATCTTTGATAAATTTAAGTGCATCAATTTATGGAGTATTAAATTAACTTTAGGTTTATGTAAAAAAAAAAGAGAATTAATAATTAATTAAATAAATTTTGAAATCATGCAACATAAGGTTAAATGAATTGTAAATTTGAATAGAGATATAAGTATTTTATTTAAATTCCTATTTCATTACATATTAAATTAAAGACAAAATTGATTTACAATAAATTTTAGATTGAAGAATTGAAATAGATTTTTCAAGATAAGAAGAGAAAGTTAGTTCAAATTATAAATTAGAAGGAGTTCCTTTAAAAATAAGATACTATAGTGCTCATATCAGGATTAAAGAAAGGGAAATCTATTTATCTCAACTTTAAATTTCTTTTTTCTAAGTCTGTGATTTTAAGACAAATGGCATAACATCCTGAATAATAAATTAAAGTAGCCTGAATGAGTGAGAATTCTTATTGAGTCTGCTCATGATGATAATGTTCCAAAGATCATCTAAATTTTTGATGAATTTGAAATGAAATGATCTATAGAACTTAATTTGATAGAAATAGAGATAAATAGAAATTGATTAATTTTTATTATAACAAAATAGATATATAAAGTTTAATTACCACTATAGCTTAATTATAGGTCGAGGTAGAAATTTAAAAACAGAAATTGCAGGAATTATAAAGTGATATTTACAGAAACACAACTTTTATCTGTAAAAAAACTAAAAATTTATTGAGTGGAGAAAGACTTGTAATTATTATTTCAAAGCTAACCAAACTTAAAAAAAATAAAGCAATTTAAATAAACTAAGCATCATAAATGAGTGTATATAAATTTGATTGCTAGTTTAATACATAAATCAATAGTTATATCTAAGAATTAGAGATTTAAAATTTATAATAAAATTTGTGATATTAAATTATTTTATTGCTTTTTTCTTAAGAATTTCCAAAAATTTTCTTTTTTTTCAATTACTGATTTTTTATAATAATAATGTTTTTATCATTGATCATGCAATGGTTAATTAGAATATATGTTATCTTAAATAAAATGAACAAAATTTCAAGTATTATTTTCTAATCAATTGAATAATAAAAATCGCTTATATTTATTATAATCTCATAAAAAATCATTATTTAATCATCAATTTTTAGTGTAATTATAAAAAATTCAATTTAAATTGTATTATAATTATATATTCAAAATATTTTGGAGTGTTTTTGTTAAAGATTTAATTATATAGTATGTAAACTAATTTATGATACTTATTCAAAATTTGAAGTGAATTTTATACTTAATCATAAAATGTTCAATTTTCTAATTTATATTAAAATTCTTACGTATTATGAATAGCCTCTTAAGCTTCTCAAATAAATCCTTTGAAATTAATTATTTAATCACTCTCTTTTGTGAAATGATTCATTTGAAAATCCATTTCAAAACAGAATTCGGTTTAGCAGTGTATGTTTCTGGAAATTCAAAATATTTAGGGTAATGGAACCCTAAATAAGCAATAAGAATGAATTGGACTGAAGTAAGACTTAATTTAAGGTTTAGAATGATATTTGGGAAGTAGAGGTAGCGTATCATGAAATGGAATATAAATATTTTATTTCTCAATATGGGGGTGTTTAAACAGTATTGTGGGAATCAGGACCTAATAGAGTAACTACTAAACATACAATTGATGTATGGAACTAAAGAAAAGTTTGCTTTTAATGCTTAAACCCAACAAATTACGAAGTTTATATTTCTGGATCACCAGAGAGTATGGGACAATTTTAAAAGAGAATTAGAATGAAAAATAAACACGGAATTTCTTAATACATTTGTCACTTAGATATTACAGATTCTTAAATTCAATATCAATATCACTTTCTGACTAAAGGTGAATTTTCGAGTCCTGTGTATAAGCTGAATTTAGAATAGGAATGTATAATTGATTTCATAATTTTAGAATCTTATTACAAAGATGCCTTACTTGTTTATTCAGATAGTCTGGCAAAGGTAAAATAAATGATTTTCTAACTGAATAAAAATATCAGTTATGGATATGTCCCATAATCAAAAGAAGATTATAGTGTTTTGAAGAAGTTTAATTTAAAGACAATAGTAGAATTTTGTAATACTTAAGAGAAAAGTTTATTGGAACAATAACATTAGAAAGATGATTGCCTTCATATGATCGTCAATCTTTATCATTTTAAACAAGAGAATTTCACTCAAAGATTACTTTAACTTATACAAGTTTTTATCTAAAAATATAAAGTATAGAATTTAATCTAATAATAGTTTATTTACATATGCAATAATTCGCTCTCTCATCTTAGAAAATATCTATAAGTCTATGAAAAACTCTAAAAATGCAAATGAAGCATTGAATAAAATATTCTAATGTGTATAAATCTATTCTAATAAGTAACAAATATTATAATTCATCTTTCTCTTGTAATAGTATTTTATAAATAATTCCAGTACTATTATTATTATTCATTCCAATTATGAATTTCTTTATTAAGTGACTCTCCTTCATTGTAATTCAATAAGATTTCTTATTCTGGATCTATATTTTTTATGGCATAAATAGCCAATTGATATTACCCTAAATAAAAAATAATATTATACCACAAGTAAAAATCTGATTTGTTCTACAATTATTTAAATTTAGGCTGTTATGATTTATGAATCTGCTTTCATTTCCACAAAATCTACTGTCTAATGAATATCTCTCATCACTTAATTAGTAATTATAAAAGGAGAATGTATCATCAAATTAATCTCTAATTTCATCTTCATCATCAATTAAAACTTCCCCTATATAAAAAATAATCAATTCTCCTTTCATAATGAATTATTTTGAAAATAGTCCAAGTCCATTACAAACTGTAGATCTAGCTAAAAGTGTTGGTTTCACATTATTTATTAGTATTTATGTGTTGGAACAAATAAAATTAGAATCAGTACTACAGCATTTGCAAATCAAAGGATCGCATTCCATATTATCTTTTCTACAAGAACATCTGCCATCAGAGGAACATCGATCCTTGCAATTACAACCTCTAAACTTTTTAAGACATTAATTGGTAGGACAATCACAATATTTTGAACAAAATATTTCACATTTGCATTATTCACATTGAAAATCTTATTTATGACAACAGGATATATATAATGATGCAGATTTATATGGATTATTAATTAAGGCGTTTTAATCTTTGATTCTTTAGATTTAATTTAAAGCTTTAATATATTCTTCTCTTAATTCATTATATTTATGTTTAGCTAAAAGGAATATTGATAAACAATCTAATTTAAGTATTTTAGCTAAAATACAAGGATCTTAATCAATTTTTAATGTTTTTTACATGTCAAGTAGATGTTGAGGTATATTGTTTTTTTTAATTTGATTATAATTACTAGGATTTTTGTAACATTTATTACTACATGCAAATTTCATATTATATTACAAAACATCATTAACCCAAATAACTTTTTTACCATTTACTTTATAATTCAAAGCTTAGCAATAATCTAATAAGTTTCTTAGTTAAGATAATTAATTATTAAATTTACAATTACATTTAGATGAAAATTTTAAACAAGAATTACACAAAAAAGCCTTTTCTTTATTTATATACTCATTAGTTTAATATGATTTGTAAGATAATTATTAAATTTTATTCAAGTTAAATTATTAAATGCAATTTATTTTTTGGAAAATTGTTGGTTTTATCTTAACAAATTATTTATTTTGTAATTAAAGAAAAATTATACCTAATGAATATAAGTTTATTTTTAAAGAAATATTCTTTTTTTACATTTAATCTTTTAAAAATTTTTATAGATCTTCTAAATTTAAATGTGAAATATTTTATTACTCTACAATAAATAAATATAATGAATATAATTATACTAAATAAATAGAAGATAAATTTACTTATGTCAAAATTATGCAGAGAATATTTTGAATTTAATTCAATCATTTATATTATACCATCTTAAGATCTCCAAACATCTCTAGAAATTTTGAGAATCTCCAATTTAAATTTTTCTCTTAAATCTGTAGTAAAATTGTATTTAAAATTAATATCTTAAACTTCCAATCTCTATATTAGAAGAATATATACTTTTATATTTTAGTCAATTTGAAGGTAGGTTGTATATTAATGCATCGTCTATGGTGATATATTATGTATTATAGTATTCTGACTGTAGTTTAATAGTAAATAGATTTAAGTATCAATTGGTATATTTGATTTTTTGACTTTTTAAACTTATTTTGTTAAAGGTATCCATTCAATTTTTGGATATTTAAGCAATTTTACATTTATTTTATTAATTTTTAAAAACTAATAATATAGATTGTAAATATTAATACCTAATCAATTTATGGCTTTAATAGAAATTTAATATTTTGCTCTATCTATTAAATTAATTCTTCACTTTTGGGCTTAAATTCAAATATCTTTTATAAATTAAGATTTTCTTTTTGTCTTAGATTGTAATTCCAAAATGAATCTGTTTCTTCTACTTTATAATCTAATGGAGAGTCTTATATAGAATTTTTAGGAGTGCTAGCCAAATTATTAGTCTCTTAATCTTTGTCCATTATATTTACTAGTGATTGTTTAATTGAGCTTAAATTTTCTAGGTTTATTATTTATATGAGTTTAATTTTTTGATAAATTTAATAAGCTTTTGTGCAAATTATTAAAAGCATTTTATAATAATCAAATGAATGTAATTATATTTAATAATACTTATAAAATCAGTATTATTAAAATACTTGTAATACAAGATAATCATAATAAAACAAAGTACTAATTGAAGAAACTCTATAAAACATAATAATAGAACAAATATATGATCAAAATTCTGTGTTTAATATTCTATCAGAAGAACATTTTCTTAGAGGGAGTTATTTAAAATTCTTTTGGTAAACCTTTACTTGGACTTTTATAAAAAGTGAATTCCAAATGGTTAGGACTTAATAACCTAAAATTTGCTTTTGATTATTAATTATCTTTTTCTTAAGGAAGATGCAGACTTGTAACTCTTTTGATTTCAGTTCTATCATCAATAAGCATTTCTATGAGTTTATTTTTTTTATCACCTTCTTCTTTTAATTTTAGGTTTTTTAATAACAACTAACTGATGAGAGCTTCTTTATCTGAATTTTAAGAATTTTTTTTTTGAGCTTTTATTGAAACAGTTTTATTTTAATTTAAATCTTTATGATGCTCTCCTTATTGTTTACAACTCTATTACCTAATAACCCTTATAATTGAATACTTATGTCATTTTAGTATTTGTAGTGATAAAACAATCTATTTTGGATATAATTTTTATTTCATGCCCTCTAGTAGTGGGAAAACATTTGTGACTAGGTGATTTTATTGTTTTTGCAGACATAGAAAGATGTTAATAAAAAATATTAATATAAAATAATTATAAGTATCATATTTTACTCAGATAAAGTATCGCTTTTTACTACAAGGCAATATCTAAAATTCTTTAGGTAATCTTAATTTATGATCTTGAGTTTTTGGACTATAGAATGTAAACTTATATTAATCATCATGAATAATGGATGATTTCAATAATGGCATTAATTATTACTATTAGATTTCTTAACTTGGTTCTGTGTTTAGAACATTATCTTTTCTTTTGGCGATAAATGGTTTGGATGGAGATACTAATTCTTTAATCACTATTTATTTTCGAGAGCATTATGAACGAAATTAAAGACTTTCTTGTAAGTATTTATTAATGATTTAGGATTGAAGTGATTTGTTTGTAGTTAAAACTAGAGATAGATTAAATTATAAATACTATTTTAGTCTGAATATTTAACTCTTCTTAAAGTTTGCTTTGGGATAAAAAACACATTCTCTTCAATAAGTTAATCAGAATTTTATTGATTGTTTGAATTGTAATTTTATTCCCTATTTCTTAAATTGGTAGGGAGTAATAGTTTATTAATAGTCAAGTTAGACATAGATTTTCTATTATTCCTTATTCTTGTTCCTAAGGATGTCGAATTCATCAACAATTATCGAGATTTATAAGAATTAATTATAATATATATCAAATTAAAAGGCAAATCAAGTAACAAAATATAATTTAAAATAATCTAAAAATTAAAATATCATATCCCTACTATTTTTATATTATATATATGTAACAAAATAGAAAGATAATAAATTCTTATCTTAAAAATCATATTAAAATATTAAATTAAATAATTGATGTTATCAAATAATAACAGAGAGTCATATAAAATATTTTCTTTTCTTAGGTACTACTTAAAACACTTTTGGAAGTTTACATACACTAGTTTTCTGATTTGGTTCTGGACTAAAGAAAGTAAATAGCATTTTATCATCTTTGCTTTCTGCTTCTCTTGTATAAATAGGTTTTTAAATTTTAATGATTTATTTTCTATCATTATTTCGAACATTATTTAAAGTATTAACTCTGCTGGATCGTATTGGTTCCTATTCTTCTATTTGTTATAATTTATTAATGATTAAATCTTGCACAGAGCTTTTCTAAATCAACTTTTAATTTTCTTCTAAAAGCTCTTTAATTTTTGCTTAATATTATGCATCAGATTATATAGGCAAATCTATAAAATAATTTGATGGATATTACTTGAATACGATAAGGCAGATGAAGTCCAAATCTATGGTGATTTAGGTGACAATTATCTAGATGGAGTTTAAATTGTTGATTCAGTCGAATAAATACTTTAAGTTTTTCCATTCTTCAACTAAAATTAGTTTTTATGTCTCATTAAGATGTTGATGGAAGAAGTAAATGTCTTCTTTAATCTTGAATTATTTTTATATACAAAACACAATTATTGAAATTAAAATATCTCAATTAATTAATTACAATGATCAGATAAAATATCTTTTTTTGTTGGGAGATACCTGAAATTCTTTTGGAAGCCTTACACTCTTTACCTTGAGGTGATGATTCCTTTCAGAATTTTAAAAAGTATATCCGAATAAACTGACATTCAAATTATCATCTTATTCATATTTTTATTCAATTTTAAGAGGAAATTCAGTTTAAATCACTTTAAACTAATTATTAGCATTAGAAAAACTGCATTTATTTAAGTAATTTTAGTTTCTTATGGGTTATTTCAATTTATTAATAAGTCTGTCTTTTTCACAATTTTATATTTTAAGTTGAGTATTCTTATAGATTAATTATTAAATAAGTTAGGATTAAGAACTACTACCTTACAGATTTAGAGATATTTTTTGTTATTCAGTTAAATTAAGAAAATTTTATTTATTTGTTTTATTACTACGAAATGCAGAAAGTATATTAGGATCTAAGTATTGTTATTTGAATATACCAATTTTGGAAATTTTAGGTCTTGTACTTTAACTAGTAGTCTCCTACATATAAATAATAGGATCTAATTATCTATTGTCTAGATTATTTGGATGAACAATCTTGGTATTAAATTATCTTTTCATTTGGGTAAAAAGTTTATTGGAAAGAGTTTAAAAGAATTAATAAATGAGATTCCAAAATATTAATATAAATTTAAATTTAATACTAAAACATGTTGAATAATTTAATTTTTATAGAAATTCTTCAGTGAATGATAAAATTTCAATGGATTTTATATCGAATTGTCATTTTTTTTAAAATTATAGAAATAACTATTAACATATAAATATTGAAATATAATTTATTATAAAGGAGTGTAAATTTAAGTTCATTATGTTTAATAGTTATCAGTACGATAAATAATTGACATTTACAAAAGAAATAGATAAAATCAAAAATGACTACTTGAAGTAAAGAGAGAATCGTAAAGGTATTTCCAAAAGTTTATTTAGAACTCAATCAAAGATTATCTAAAAATTATAAGAAAAGAATAGAAAATTTTGTGATAAATATGTTGGAAAAGCCTGTTGTATGTAATGAGTATAAGCCACCTGAGGCATACTAATTTAGAGATGAAGATCCAACAAAAAATCTTGGAGATCCATAAATATATGTTAAAGGATTTAAGCATGAAAAAGATAGAATTCAAGAAGCTTAAGAGAAAAATAATAATTTGGATTTCTTACCTAATTTAAAAGTGGGGAAATATTGTTTTAGAGAAAGAGATCCATCTAAAGACATAAAAAGAGATGTTTTTAGATATAGAGATAAAACTGCTTTAGCAAGAATTGAATAATTTTTAAAAGATCATACATAATCTCAAGTAGAAAACATGAAACTTGATCATAAAAAGATTCTTAATTTAGAACATTTCTCAGAAGGAATGTCTTCACTAGAAAGAAAGGCATATTTATCAAGATTAATAGCAAAGAATTTATTACCGTCATTACATAATAAAACTCATTTTTAAGCAGCATAAACTATGTACAATAATTTACCATGTAAAATATATATATTAAAATACTCAGTAACTTTAATGGAACATGCAAGATCACTTCCTTAAGTTCATACATAAGAAGATAGTAGAAGAAAACCTCCAACATCTCAAGAAAAATAAAAAACTATTCCAAATGATAACTAAAATAAGTAAGATGATAATGGTACCTAACCAAAATAAGGCAATGAGACAGAAACATTCAATCCTATTGAAACTTCTAAATAAATTTTAAAGAAATGTAATATCATAAAAGAAAGAAATAATAAAGTAGAAAATTTAATATATTTATAAGGCTCCTGTTGTTCATTCAGGTTCTGGCCATTTAATTTCTACTCTTGATAAATCTATCTCAGAAATCTATAAGGAACTTTATAAGGTTGAAATTGGATAATCAAAATTGCGATGAATTTTATTTTTATATTAAACATTATATATTTTATATGTGGGAAATCAAAATCAAGAGAGAAAAAAATTTACCTGATCCAGTTGGGTATAAAAAGGCATATGATGATTGTTAAGGATAAGAGTTGAGAGATGATTTAGAGAAAGTAATGTTATTACTATAAGCATTTAGAAAGCTATGGGTATTGCTAAAGGAGGATTTGGAAACATATTTATGATTATGTTCACTTTGTATATGACAGGAAATATGATGAATATATTTACTATTGTGATTATTGGATAATTTTTATGGTAAGCTATATCTACAATTGCAAAAATGGATCAAGCATTTTCATCATTAGAGAATAGAGGAATATCATTGTTTTTATATAAATTGATTTATTTATCTGCTGGATTATTGTAATTGGGAGTAGTGCTTTATAAATTATACAATATTGGTTTACTTCCATTGAATAGTGCTGACTGGATTGATTTAGTTCCTTTACATCATGTAATAACAATTTAGATTAAGTATTTAGTAAGAAGAGATTGTTGTACCTTATAGCTATAATTGATTTTATGTTAATACACATTAATACAAATAAAATGTATTTGTTATTTTAGTTTAATAAATTTTCCATTTCTAAAACCTATAAATGAATTGCTAAAACTAGAAATGCAAGGAGCAGATACAATATAATTCTATAATAAATGGCACTTAGATAACTTGTGACAATTGTTCTAATGCATTTTATTGTTCAATCAAATGTAGAGATTTCGATTGGTATTTAGTTATTACAATTGTTATAGGGAAGGTTATCATTAATTGGTTTGTCATGGGTCATTTGAGAAAGTTCCTAAATTAACTGTAAGTTAATTGGATGATGAAATGAATCTAATAGGAAATGGAAGTTTTGGAATTGTATACTTAAAATAACTGAATGGATATAATTTTGCAATAAAAAAAATAAATAAAAATCTAGCCTACAGGGAACTTAAAATACATAAATAACTAAAGCACAAATACATTATATAGTTATTATAATTTATAGAGAAAGATGATCATATTTATTTGATTTTAGAATATGCATGTATTGATTAAATTTTCTATTTAGAAAATGGTCATTTGACAACTAATATGTAAATAGATCCAAAATAGATTATAGTTCAATTATGTAATGCATTACAATATCTTCATAATAAAGGAATTATTCATAGAGATATTAAACCAACAAATGTGTTATTAAGTGGAAATAATAATGTTAAATTATGTGATTTTGGTTTAGCTACTCATAAAGATGTCATAAGTAACTTTTCAGGTACTTATGAATTCATGGCACCTGAAATTTTAAGAAATTATCCATAATCATATTCTGTAGATATTTGGAGTTTAGGTTGTCTCTTATATTGGATGCTTGAAAAAAAGCCTATAATATCAGGTATTCCAAAAATCTAAATAATTCGATAGGCAATGAGGCTGAGATGATTGAGTAAATCCTCAATTTCACTGATCCCAAATTCACTATTACAGATATCTATGCCAAAGATTTAATTAAAAAGATGCTTGTTACTGAACCTGATGATAGAATAACTCTAAACGATATTATTAAACATCCTTTCATTACTAAAGAATATTAAAGCAACTTAAAAATTGAAGAAATTTCTTATTCATATTCTGATGAAACATAAGCAAGTTATCATCCATAATAAATTGCACCATAGATTAATAATGAAGATAGAAATGTCTTTTAAAGAATAGCTAGTTTATTTACATGCATGGCTAGAGATAAATGATAATAAAACTACAAGAGATAGAGTTATAATATATATTATGACAAAAATTAAATTTTATAAATAGTTCAAAATATTTCCATTTGAATCTAAATGAAATCTACTAATATATATATATATAAGATTTAAATCATATTTTTAGTTCTTTTGCACATAAAATGTATTTTTTTACATTAAAATTATCTTAATTATTACTTAATATAAATTATCAATTCTAAAAATTAATTAATTTTCTTCATTTTTCTTATATCTAAATTAAATAAATTTCTATTCAATTTAGATATATAACAAAAGGTAATAGAGTAAAGAACATCATTTTTCAATTCTGTAAAACAGATTCTCAAAAATAGATATCAATATAAATATCTAATTAGATATTTATTACTTATCAAGTTTATGTTATTCATAGAAAATTCTTTTGCAAAACTTTCAACTAAGATATAATTTTAATCTAAATATTTTATATAATATATTTTCATGATTACTAACTTTATAATTTTAGTATATTTAGGATCATGGACTATGTTCATTCTTTTGATAATATTGATTGGATATCTAATAGATAAATCATATAAATTAGCATCAATATCTCCTTAATTCAATAATAAAACACCTGCTGATACAACATTTGCAATTCATCCTATTTCATCAAAAGTATAAAGTCAAACTAGAACATAATAAATAACAAGACTTGAAAACAATGAATTAGAGGATTTTTTTAATAATCCAGGAGATAATTCACCAAATTTGAATTAAGATGATTAATTTTATAGTAATGGAGAGAGAAATATCACAGAATAAAATTCTCCAGTTCGTTTAACAGTTGATTCAAAATAAGTTTAATCTCCAAGAATGAATAGAACACCTTAAAGATCTAATACTTTAAGAAGGACAATTTTAAGAAAACCAACAATTGGTACATATGAAGGAATAGAAACTATATAGACTACAAATAGAAAAAGTCTAAGGACTTCTGGGAAAGGATTATCATAAATTTAAAGTGATCGAAATAGTGTAGGTGATTTTACACCTAGATCAACAAATCAAAAATAATAATAAAATTAACCAAGAATATCACAATTTAGTATTCTTGGAAAGGTTGAACCAATCAAATAGGATCCAAATTATAAAATACCAAAACCAGATAATGATTTTTATGTATAAATTGAAATAAAAATAGAAATGTCATTAATTTAGTAAAATATTTTATTCGCATAAAGAAGAGATTTCAAGAATATTTATGATCTTTACTATATATTTTCGATAATTAATTTGTTTGGATATATCAGGAGTGCTTATACATTATCTACCTAATCTTAATTTATGGATTATTATAGCAATAACAACAAGCACTTGTTTAATATTGAAAATAATTGATTATTATGCAATCAAAGGTATTGTTCATCATCATCAAAAGTTGAAATATGTATAAATAGTTATTTGGATTTTAAGTATTGGAATAATAATATGGCTCATTATATTTCTAAGTTTTGATAATTTATAATGGTTTATTGAATATCTACCTAGTTTACTATTAGATTTAATAGTGATTGATCCATTAAAATACATTATGATCAAATATTGTTTGCAAGAACCAAAGAAAATCAGAGAACCTAAATCAAAGGTAGATGTCTTAAAAGTAATGCAACAAATTAAATGATTGTATTCATATTATTCGTATCGTAACTGTGTATAATTATAGATAATATATGTGAAGATAGTAGTTTATAGATAAAGTCTAAAGAGTATGTTTATTATTATCTAAATACAATACATCCTTATAACAGACTAACCCATAAAGCTATTTACCAAAGTTAATGCTAAATATTTAGGATTTGTTTAAAATATTATTAATTCATATATCACCATTTCATCTTCTCCATGATCTAATTTAATGTTAGATTATAATTACTTTTGAATAGGACCTCTACTTATCTTAAGAATTCCACTAGTTTATCTGTCATTGTTATTTTTATTATTCTATCCAACTAATTTAGCAGACAATCTTCTCAACTAACAAATTTTATAAAATGTTTACGCTTTTATCATCTCCATTAACATTAACAACCTCACCATCAACTTTTGAAACAAATAATTCAGCATTCTCTTATTTAAAAAATCTAATCAAACCAATTCCTTCAGGCTATAAATAAATAATTATATAAAATACCTTGACATTTCCAAAATTATCTCTCTCTAGTTTACACATCTCCATTGGTCCATATTAAGAACAAAATTCCTAAAAATATTCAAATTAAAATATTTACTCTAAGTCCTGTCTCTGTTTGATGTGGATCTAACCCTCTAACAATTACATTAGGTCTAGGTCCTTTAGAGTTGAAATCTCTTTCTCTATCTCTTTCTCTATCACCATCTCTATTATCATATCTCTATTCTTCTCTATTTCTATCTCTATCTCTTTATCTAGCTCTATCTCTATCTCTATCTCCATCTCTATCTGTTTCTCTCACTCTATCTCTTCCTCTTTCTCTTTACTATTATCTAGGCCTATTTTAGATTCGATTTATTCTTTATCTTCTAGCTTATCCAGTTGGTATTCTTCTAAATCTATTTGATCTTTATTATCCCTGTAATGTTTTCAAAAAGATGTACTTGTTATTATTATTATCTTTATTGTATTTATCTTTATTTCCATACAGGTCTAGTACTTCTGTTTGATTAATTTCTATTTCCTCTTCTGCCTCTTCTGTTGAATTAATTATTATTTCTGTTTTTATTTCCTTTTGATTATTTTTCAAGATTCACATATTCCAACTCACTCATTTATTTAATTAATAATTTATGTCTATATATTTCAACACACATTTATAATTAAAAATGATCAATCATCATCAGTATAAAAATCTAATCTAGAATTTGTAAATTTTAAAGAATATAACCAATAAGAGAAATGTTATGTAACATAAACAGCATTTTTTAATTTTTCAGCACAACTACCAAATATTTTGAAATTCTTTTCAATTGCCTCTAATCCCAAATAGGATTAAGGTAAAAATGATAATATAAAATCGTTAGCAATCAATAAAATATGTTCACCATTTTAAACATCACAAAACTCCTAATTTTGAGTAACCTCTAATTAATTATTTAGATATATAACCTTCTTTGATATCTAATTATTTATGATCACCATTTTTCAATCCTTTTTAATAATTTAAAATTGCCTAATAACCTATAGTATTCAAACATTTTTAATAGAAAACTACAAATATAGCCATCTATTAAAATATTTTATTCAAATTTACTTCTCTATATGCTTCAACACATAACTTCGGTCCTATTTATGTTAAAAAATATGCCAAAATTTTAGTGACATTTGTATTGCGTAAAGATTTATCTTTATCAAATGGTTCATTAGCAAGAAGATCAATATCTTAACATTTAATCTTAAATAAAAATATATTGCCTACTTTCTCATTTGTAAGATCTTTTAATAAATCATAGATTCCCTAATATTCTTAACAATTCGAAAAGACATTGCATGGAAAGTTTGAAAGCAAAAAAACCTAAGTTTCTACTTCATTTTCAAATTTTTCAGGTTATCTAAAATTCCCTAGACTATCAAAGAATGTTAAAAGTTCTTCAAGAGTCTCCTCTGGCTCAATACCACTTTCAGATTAACCATCATCAGATTTAGCACTTTTTCTATCTTAATCTTCTTGCTCATATTATATTGTGATTAATTTACTCTTCTTGGTCTACCTCTACCAGGTCTTTAATTTGCATTATTTGGCAATTAAGTTCCATTAGGAGCAATTGAATCATGTTTCTATCTATAAATTATTTGAAGTTTCATACTTTAAATGAGTATATAAGGCAGCATAACTTAGATAGCTTTTACCACAACCACAAGTAAAATCTCTATTATTTGAATCATTTCTTCTTCTTCTATTTCTTGCCTAAACAGAATTTTCTTCTCTGTTGCCTGAATTTTATTAATCCATATTTATTTTATATATTAAAATCAAAAAATAATTTATTGATGATTTATAAAATAGTTACAAAAATATCAATCATCAATAAATTCATGCTTTTTCTGGTTGAATAAATTCACATGTTACACATAAGAATGTCAGAATAATGCTTACACACAATAAACCACATACGAAAAAATAAAATAATCTATTTAATTTATTACGGAATTTCATTTTTTTCACTTGCTTTACTAAGAATACATAAAACAAAGTAGGTAATCCCAATTAAATTGCATTACAAGCGATTGCTCCTAATAAATTATAGACAGTTCCTAAATTTTGTATGAAAACTGCTCCAATCGCTAATAATATGAATAACAAAATGCTGATTCCATAAAATCGAATGGCTTAAGATTTTTTTCGAAATTACAAAAGATCTTTGTAATACTATTCATTTTATTAAGAAGAATCTAGTAATTTCTTTTTGGCCAAAATATTAACTTTTTTATTTTCCTAATAATATAATTATTAATTTATTACAGTGAATTGTTTAATCATCTATATAAAATTATTTCTACCTCCAAAAAATATGACTGGTAATGTAAGAGTTGTAGAAAATACAAAAGATAAATTCAAAATAACAAATAAAACAGCTCCAACATCTTTTTCATTAATACTTAATAAAAAGTTTGGTTCTATCTATATTTAAATAATAAATTTTTTGTTACATTTTTTCCATAGCTTGCATATCCAAGTAATCCAACTATTAAATATAATATAGATCCTTAACAAAATCCGAATATTGTAGAAATGAGTAAATTTGAATCAGTAGGTTGCGCCATTCCTTTATATATAGGAAATAAATTAAATTGCCAATTAAATGCTAATATTAATGTTGGCATAGATGCTAAGGCTCTTTTTATTTCAAAATCATCTGGAATCCACCATGAGAATTGACTATTTGTTTTATCAATTTAAAAAAAATTATAGATTACAAGACATGAAAAAGAACTGATTGATAAAATAGCAAATAAGCTTACAAATCTTAACTTCTCTATTGATTTTACAATCAAAAAAGGAAGTAAGATTATACTTAACACTATTAAAAAAATTGGTCTTGTTAAATAGAATGGTTAATCTTCTGTACTTTTATCAGTAAAATAATTTATAAGATTGCTTACTGTATCTCCGAAAATACTAAATATATATATTTTTGTTACATTAATTCACTTAAACATACTCCCAAATTTGATAAAATAATCATCACATTCACTACTATTATAATCCATTTATGTTTGAATATGTAAAATCCAATAGTTGAAAAGTTACTTCTTTTGGATAAATTCTTAGATTTAAGCAATAAATTTGAAGAAAGGATTCCAATATTAAATATTATCATTAGAATTAGAATTGTTAATATTGCTCCAAAATTTGATGCTACATAAGGCTAAATTATATTCAATTAATACTATTCCTAATATTCCTACTCCCACCATACTCTTCATTATAATTACTGATGTCATAGGAATTGATGTTTTCTATCCCCTTTTTTACCATATTGATGATTGCGCTGTAGATTACATAAAACTCTTCTCTAAAGCTTCATCACCACTATTAATTATAAATAAAGAAGTAATACCTTAGTTAATTGACAGGAATTTCATCAAATGAATTTCTATATCCTTCCTATACATTAAATTGATCATCCATTTAAAATGATCCTTAAACTTCATCAAATGCATCTTATGAAGGCTTATTTTACATATAGTTTCTTGAAGTAGTAATTTTATTTTAATTATATTGAATTTTATATGGATAATTATTGTCGCATTTATAATTGTGTATTCTGTGATGGAATTTAATATTTTCAAAAATATATGTTTTAATTTAATTATAATGAATTATTAATTTTATAATTCAAAGATTGTTAATCTATTAAGATTACTCTACATAATCAATATAAATAATTTTTAAATAAAAAAAGTCAAAATCTTTTTTCAGCTAATGCTTATTACCTCCAACTTTCGCTGAATTCATTAATATTAGCCATAAATTCATCTTAATAACCAATGGGAGCTTTTTTAGGATCTTTTAATGGATTTAAATTTAGAGCTAGTCCTACTACTTTTTTTTCATTTTTAATTATTGTTTGAGGATCAACTTAAAGTATTTAATAATAATAATTACCAAATGGAATAGAATCATCTGAACTATATTTTTATGATTCATCTATAAATTCAGATTATTCTTATTTGAGTTTACAAGTTTCAACATTATCTTAACATTTTTTTAACATTTTTCTAGGATCAACTCCATGAGATCTAAGTGTATTCATTATTGAAATAAAGTTTTCTTCATTTTTAATTTTGATTTATTTCTGTTAATCTTCAATAACAGATTTGAATTTATCTAATTGAGAATTCAATTCTTAGATTTATGATTTCATCGAATTATTTTATCGAAGAAGAGATTCAATTTCTTTTTTTTATGTTTGAATATCATTTCTAATAGATTTAGCTAAAATAATGAAAAGTTTTTTTAAATCTGCAAATATTGAGATTTTTAAGGATTACTCTTTAATTTCCATTTTATCTAATAGTTCTTGAAATGAATTAAGTGAAACTTGATTTTTGAGGTTTTAGCATTCTGCAAAGAGATAATTTTCTAGAATTTTAAACATAGGTTTAGGTGATAACTCTTTTTCAGGTACTGTGAATGAAGATGCTTCTTAACAAGTGTTGTATTTTTAAACTTTTTAATTGACTTTCTCACTAACCTTTTCTTTTAATGTACTAATTAAATAACTAGTTGAGATGTTAGAATGTGATCCTCTTAAAACTGTGAAAGTAATTACATACATTTACTTTCATCTAATAATTTTTATTTTATATCTGCTCCTGCTTTGGATTAAAGTCGTTGATGTAAATTTGAATTATAGTTACATGATTTATTTAATTTTTATTTGCTAGTCAAATTCAAAAGATCTTTGTTAGATGTTTGATGGCTATTTGGATGAGAGTACATCTCTCTAGAATAATCATTAGGAGTTTACTTTTTGTTAACATATTAGACTTACATTTTTACGTTATCTATAGATTTTGGAAATCAATTAATCCATATGAGGAGTTCTATTCATTTTATTTTTTATATTTTATTAATTATATGTTAAATAGCTCAATATATTCATCCCCAAATACATAAAAACATAGAAGTTCATCTATGATGATGTCTTTGGTTTATGGAACTTCAGGTATACTATAAAACTAAATAATTAGTGTCTCCTAATAAATCTAGAGTCATCTAATTGAGTGAAAAATTATCTTAATTATCTATAGATGAGGATAGAACATTAAAAAAGGAAACTTATGAAGAAAAATTGAATTCAATAAATTAAAAGGTTTAAAAAGCCCATTAAAATGATCTTAGTAGATTATAATCATTATAAGAGTAATTAAGTAAAATTGAAGAAACGTTAAGAAATGATTAAATTATCAGAAATGTAAAATAAAATAAAATTTATTAATAGACTAATTCTAAAAACTTTCATTAAAATACTTTAAAAGAATAAGAAAAAAATGTATAACAGAGTATTTAGAAGGATAAAATAAATAGAAAGACATTTGAAATGAGATTAACAAAATTGATGGATGAATAATCTTATAAAATGAGATTAGAATTGGCTAGATAATAATAATATAGAAAAGAGACTGAAGAATAATATAAAATTGAAATTGAACATAAGATTGAAAATTTAAGTTAGGATGTAAGGAATGAAAAGAGAGAGAGGTATGATAAAAATATAATTAATAGAGAAATGATTTATTAAGAATTTGTTAGAAGAATGGGAGAATAAGTATTTTCAGTATCAGAAACATTGAATTTAGAAAAGAAATAAAGATCAGAATCATAAAATTAAATGGAAGTTATGATATAAGAAATAAATAACATTTTAAATTTGTAATTGGCTGAAGAATAAATATAAAGAGATGAAACAGAAAGAACAATGATTAGATTATTAAATGAGACATGTAATCGGGTGGAGAGTTCCCTGAGAAAATGATTGTATTTTATAAATATTTATGTTAATCATAATATTTTGATTAATTATATCAATAATCATCTTCATCAATTTCATTTTCTCTTTCTTCTTATTCAATGACACGTTATTTTAAAATATAAAACAATCTATCATCTCCTTTTTTATCTTCTTCTCCTATTAATTATTAATTTCTTTTAAATCTAAAATCTCTTTTATAAAAATATACCCTCTTAATGATATAATAGGTGTGGATTCACAATCCGTTTAGTAAGCCCTTTTAGATTTTTTTTAATTTTATATCATTTCTAAGAAATATTTTTGATCTATTTCTGAAATTACACTATAATCAGGTGATCTAGGTATGTTTTCTTCTGTATTATCAATTGAATCATCAAATTGTTTGTTAATTTTTTTGTTTAATTTCTTTTAGCTTTTTTTCTTTTAAATTAAATTATTCATACCAAATCTTATATCACATCATTTTTTTGAGGCTTATTGTCATCCAAATTTTTTTAGCTAGATGCTTTTTTTTTTTATTTTTTTTCAGTCTTTTCAGGTTCCACTTGTTTTTCTTCTTATTATTATTTATTTAAAAGGTATAAACAAGATAGTAGACTTATGCCAAACAATATTTAAGGAGTAGATTCTTTAACAACTGAAACAGATAAGGATAATTTCTATTGAAAAGCTTATAATAATGTTTGCATATTATTATTAATTATTAAATAGATGCTATCTATTTCTCATACATAAAAATCCTTATAAGTGCATTCATAAAAGCAATTACATAGATAAAACTTATATTCTAGAAACAGAACAATTGATAATGTAGATGCAAATAAATTGAGAGCCAAATATATTATGCATGATAAGGAATCTTTATATGAAGAAATTCAGAAATTAAAATAAGAGAACAATCAATTAAAATTAACATTGAGATAATTCCAATCATAAATTTAATATTTTAAGAGAGAAGTGCAATCAATTTCGAAAGATGAAGGAACACCAACAAAAAATTATTCAAGATTAAAATAAGGCTACTTAGAAAAAATAACTCGACTAGAAGTATTTTAATTATATCTCATTTTAGGATGAAAATATCAAATTACAATAATAATTAGAAGAATAGTAATAATATATTGGTTAACTATAAAATCCATTTAATAAAAACAATGTTGAAAATTTATGTATGTCTTTAAGTGAGGATAATATGAAGTTAACTCAATTGATTTAATAATAAGAATAATCAGTAAATCAAGCTTAAGTATTTATATAAAATTAAAGTTAGAGTTAATATAATAAAATGAATGTTAAATATAATGCAATATTAAATAAGTATAAATAATTGAAAAACCTTAATGCTTAATTACTTTTGGAAATAGCAGAATTAAAGAAAAAGGATACTTTATATCTCGAAAGACCTTAATAAAAAGATAATAAAAAAGTTGAAGAATAGTTATAATTAGATTTTGATCAAGCTCTTGTAGATTTAAGAAATGAAAGATAGAAAAATAAATATTTAGAAAATATGATGTAAAAGATATAAGCTGAAAATCAAGAATAAATTGAAAATCTCGAAAAAAAATTATCTGATTAAAAAAGATAATATGAATTATTATAAAAAGAATATGATTTAGAGAAAATATAAAAGTATTAATCTAAAAGAACAATACTAATAAAAAATAATGGACCCTAATAACCAGAAGAATAAGTATAATAATAAGAGGAAAATGAATTGTAAAAGAAAAAAATTATTAATGTTGATAAAAATGAAATTATGACAATAGCTAGATAAGTCAAATTAAATCTTATTGGATTAAAAATCTCTTTATAATAAGTAGAAGAGTATCTCTTAACTCATGAAAATTTAACTTAACATTAACTTAAATAAAATTTATCTAATAGAATATTTGGTCTCTAAACACTTGAATAAATTGAAATGGCAGCCATTTATTTAGCTGATGTTGAAAGTGAAACTGAAACAACTACTAGTGCAAGAGTTAGAAGTATATTTAAAACACTAATGGAAAATTATTAAATATTAACACTATAATAATTAAATAATATCAATTAGTAAATTATGAAAAAGAAAAATGAAATTTCAGATATATTAATAAAGAAATATCCAGATACCTATACAAATGGTTATATTAATATTGATGTAACATTATTGGAATATATTAGATATATTTAGAAGTCTTATAATAAGTTGAAATTACATTAAGTAAGCTAGAAATTGATCATTTCTATGCTCTAATAACTAAATAAAACAAATAAAAAAGAATACTCCTCTAATAAATTCATTCTCCTTTTGATGTAAATTAGAATGAAGAAGAAAATCAAGATGAATAACCTTAAATAAATCATTTCAATAATGATGAACCAAATAATGTGAGATTATCTTAAAGTCAATTTATAGGAGTTCACAATAGATAAGAATCAGAATTAGTCAATTTAATTGAAGATGAAGATGAAACAGATATAAACAAAAATTAATACAAAAATAGTAAAATTAATAAAGAAAAAGATTAACTTGAAAATTAGGAACTATTATATTCTGAATAATAATAATTAGAAGAAGAAAAAAATAATTTAAAAGATGTCCAAAATGATGATCCAGATATGAAAATGATTGATTCGTAAGAATTAAGAAAATAAAGTTAACCTGATTTATAATAATTTTGAATTTAAATAATGGATAACTAATTTGAGAGAAATGTAAACAAGCATATAGATTGATATAAAAAAACTACATCAAAAGATTCATTAAATTATAAAATATGAACCAATTCCTCAGTAGCCAACACAATATTTTATTGGTAAATCAAGACCAAGCAGAATTAATGATGAGGAGTAAACAATTCTTTCTTCATTTAATGAGAATTCTTTTCGAAAAAGGTCTTCACATAGCTGTTCTTTAAAGTAGATATATAAACTAAAAGTTAAATAGAATGCATAAGAAGCAAAAATTAGGAATTGTATAAAAGAATGAATATATTAGATTAGGAAAAAAAAGTAATCTTATTATCAATTTGAAAGTTAACTTTAAAAGACTTTATAAATATAAACATAGAATTACAATGAAAATTGTCTATTAAACAAAAATAAATTAAAGCAAAAGAATTAGAAAATATATTGTTACAAGATTAGAGAGTTTTAAAAGAAAATTTGAACATTAGAATGGAACTCAAGCAAAAAATTATCAGAATTATTTATTAACCATTAATTGTAATAAAGATAAGATTTTAGAACTATTGAATAGTAATTTATTAATCAATCTCTAGCTAAATAATTAAGTTTACAATATATAAGAGAAATTAAAGATTTTTTAATAACACCTAGATACATTCTATTACAACAAAACTATAATTAAAAAGATTAAATAATAGATAAAATTGAAATTAAGATAAATCATATTGTGAATTTTTGGTTTAATTAAAAGAGAAAATATAATCAAATAAAACTAGAGAAATTATTATAAATAAATAATTGAACATCAAGATTATGAAACATTTGATTTAAAATAGAAATGAGTACTAAATAAAAATATAGATTAAATTTAATATTCATTCTTTTATAAAAATGCATAAAAAATCTTGATCTAAGTTTATTGGCAATATAATTTTATTTTGGTAATATAC